TTCAAAAAATGTCGAATTACAGATTCCATTGTAAACAGATTTTAGCATTTGTTATAAAGATATGATCTGACAAAATATTATCATTCTTATTATTCATTATCATTTTTATTATTCTTATTATTATTCATTATTATTACTATTATTATTATTCATATAAATATATTTTTTGAATGACGTATTTCGAGAATGTCCGTACATTTTTCTCTGGTAATGACGTCACTGTTTCTCTATCAGGACTTTTCAAAGTGGTGTAAAGATATTCTTCAGAAAATGTACAAACACAGGGATCGGACCCCTCCCCCAGGAAATTTAAAGGAGTACTCCCCTTGGTTATCTCGCTTTCAGGCAACTGACTTTGCGCATGCTCTGGAGATACCTGGTAAGGGCTTTAGGACCAAACATGCAACTTTTTGACAGTTTTGGTTTTTTTTTGCTCCATTTAGATCATATATTTATGTAGGGGCTATTTTAAACTAAGAAATCCAATAACATCGTCTTAAAAACTGTTCATAATGAACTTTTATAACGTACTTCATTTTTATATTATTAGAAATAACAGTAAAATTGCGATCATCTTCAATAGCTAAAATAAGTTACATTTTCATGAGGAAAATTAATGATTTGAAAAACCATTAAAGCAACCGCTTTTGAAAAAATTATTTTAGCTTGGCAAGAGGCATTTAATGGGTGTTTAATCTTTAACTTTTTGAGTTAAGATTGTACTTTATATTCACCTTCTACTTTTGATGCTCTTAATTCGAGTATTTTGCACTCTTAGGTCAGTACAAGGGCAAGACGAAGCCGCTTCCGGAGTATCATGTAAAGATTGTGGGGTTTGACGAAAAGGTTTGTAAAATTTCTCAAGGTAGCGTTGATGATCAGAATGCCTTATAGTGTACTGTTAGTTGTAGCAAGGACTGTTGAAGCAACTTTTGTCTTGTGTTTTGTGTTTGTTGTTGTTGTGTTTAATTTATTTATTAACTGTTTTTTCATTGTGAGCTATATTATGTGGAACATTTATTTAGTTCCAGTTTCTCCTCAGAAGTGAAAAAATTGAAGTCCACCTGCGAGGATCATTTCTTTCCTTGATGTGTAATTTTATAGATTTTGGTGTTGCCGTCAATTCGCAAGCCTAAGCGCCTGGTTATAAGAGGGGATGATGAAAAAGATCACATGTTTTTGGTGAAAGGAGGGGAGGACTTAAGACTTGATCAAAGGATTGAACAAGTAAGGGAAAATGCAATTGCCTGAACCCATTAGAAACAAAAATTTGAAATTTCGTCATTAACGACATCAAAAGTCCTTCTTCTACTGTTGTTGATGGGTTTGATGTTGTCGCCGCTGCTCCCGCTCTGCTTGTGGTAATGCCGGTTACTGCTGATAGTGCTGGTGTTGTTTCTGCCACTTGTGAATGTGTATCTTTTGTTACTGATGCTGCGACCATTACTACTTCAGCTGCTGATGGTGCCATTAGGGATGATGTTGTAGGTGTTGCTGCTACCGCTTCCAGTGGTGCCGCTGTTACTGCTCCTCATGTTGTTGCTGGTGTTACTTCTACTTTTAGCTGTACTTCCTTTTCCACTTCTACCTCTACTTCTGCTACTCCTAGTCCTACTGCTACACCAAATACTATTGCTACTACTACTGCTGATGTTGCCATTATTGCTGATGGTGGTGCTGTCGGTTCGGCTGTTTTTGTTGCTGCTGCTGTTGCTACTGCTGAGACTGGTACATGTAGCTATACTGTATCATTTTACAGCAATTACTTATGTGAGTCCTTCTTTTGTGTTTTTGGTAGCTCTTTGGACTCATGAATGACATCATGGCGAACGATCCCGTGTGCAGTCAGAGGGGTCTAAAGCTCAGGACATACCAAGTTATTCCCATGACTCCTCGGTTTGATAATTTGTTCTGTTCTGTAATGCCTTTTGAATTTATGAAGCTTTATGTGAAACAGTTTTTGTGCAAAATCTTGTGTAATGAGTGTGTGTGATGCGTTGGTAAATAATCCACCAGCAAGTGATAGTGTTGTTCTCTTATTTTGAACAGGGTTGGCTTAATTGAGTGGATGAATAATACCAAGCCACTCAAAGGAGTGTTGAATAGTGCCATGACCAAAGCTGAATGCGATCACTACATGGGAACGTACGTTTACGTAAACAATTTCAGTCTGCGACTTGCTTTTGATTGACTTCCTCGTCCCTTAGAGAGGTTGATGCTATTCGTTTGCAAGCATTCTCGTCTCCATGGTTTTATTTAAACATTTACCAATGATTTTGAACAACACAGTCATTCTGTTCTGATAGCCTTAACGTATTTGTTTGTTTTTTATTTTATTTTATTTTTTTTTCAAATTAAAGTTCTGTTTCATGTAAGCAAGACAAGCTAACGAACAACTGGGTTTGTAATAAATTATAAATAATGTTTTTGTCACGCCTAAACAGGAATGGTGCAGGTGCTTGTTACAGAAACTGGATTGAAAAGTTTAAAGGAGATCCTCGGAATCATTCGCGATTCTACGGCGAAATGTTCAAGTACGTTAAATGTGATGTATTTATGTGCCATTGAAATCGTTTGTTATCAATAGCACCCATTTATCCATTTTCTGCATAAGAAGTGTTCCCACTATTGACATGCAGCTTTATGTATCTCTTGTATCTCTAGGAAAGCGAATCGCACAGAAACTGAAAGAAGCTTCACGCAGAAACAAGCTTTGGTGCCCTGGGATCTTCTCAGGTGAATCATAATTGATATATTAAATGTTGAGAAAATACTTTGCAGGGTCAGCAAATCATTCAAACAACAGGGTCAGCTTGGTTCAAACAACTATGGACTTTATTCTGATAAAGAAAGTAGTGAGATATACAATATTCGTCACGTTTTGTAGTAACATACTATAGTCTGGTCATAACGATTGCTAAAATTGCGAGCGTTAATTTGGTTTTCCGTCAGCAATGAAATCCAACTGCCGAGCCCATTGTCCGACACTTTCAAGCATACTTTAAGACCTTCATGAATCTAAAATCGTTCCTGTTCGTTTTATTGACAGGCGTGCCTTTTTGCAACTCGCTGTCTCCCCTGAAGCATTTTTTATCCTAAGGTCGCACTTTGCAAGCTCACATGCTTGTTTGTGCATTTGCCAGTACATTCTGGGTATCGGAGACCGTCATTTGTCAAACTTCTTAGTTGACATGGAAACCGGAAGGATGATTGGCATCGATTTTGGTCACGCCTTTGGCTCAGCAACACAGGTTATAGCTTTCTTCCTTTACTGTTTTATTGGAGTTGGGAAGGAAGGGATAATGAAACAAAAAAAATTAATAGCTGTTCATTTTGACGGTCGTCTGAAAATTACTGCGAAACTCAAGTAATGCCACTGAAGAAGAGTACTGACTTTAATTTAAGAATTCCACAACGAGATTTACTGTGTAAAATTGTATAATGTATTTGAGAATCTGTACCTGTTTAATTTTGCTTGTTTTCGACGTTGTTATTGTTTTCGTTGTTGCTATTGTGGTTGTTGTTTTGCTATAAATGCTAAATGCTCCACTTATCGATTTATTTATATTTTATGCAGTTCCAACCTCTGCCAGAATTGATGCCTTTTCGACTGACTCAGCAATTTATCAATCTAATGCTGCCATTACAGAAAAGCGGAACTTTGCAGAGCGTAATGATTCATACACTAAGGGCCCTCAGAAGTAACCATGATTTGCTCTTGGACACTATGGATGTCTTCATTCAGGAACCTTCTCTTGATTGGCAGGTTTGTTTCCGTAGTGCACGTAATCTTAACTAGGGGTAGTTATTCGGTCACCTGTTTTAGAAAATTCCTAGAATCTAATTGGAGCTGAGCTAAAGCTGTCACGCCATCAGCCATATTGTACTATGTCCAACCTTTCCGGGACTTCTCTCTAGTTTTTTTTCTTTTTTGAAAATTGAAAGTAATGCGTGGCGAATTTAACGGATTTTTTATTGTAAAACAAATGGAGAAGCCTTGACCGTGTTCTGTTCTGTTGTAAACACTTAAGACTCTGCTAGAACACTCAAGACTTGGGGAGAAACACTCGACCACGTCTCGTATTTCTCCCTTCTCTTCTTTTGTGCTTTAGCTGCTTCCCGCGTGCTTTACAACAGAATAGAACACAGTCAAGGCTTCTCTATTTGTTAATTGAAATCATGTTAAATAAGTGTGAAAACCGTATGAAGTTTTTTTTATAAATTTTACAATGAGGAGCGCCTGGGGACACTTAGATATGCGTCTCGTCCATTAATGAAGTGATAATTTACCAATCAGTGCAGCAACTTCCTGCGGCAGCCTACCGTGTTTGAAAACAAAGCCAAGCGCTGATTGGTAAACTTGAAACGGTTTACATGCTCCGAATTCCTTTAGTCGCTGAGTTTGACACCGATCATGTTGAGAAAGCTACATTCATGATTTCAGCATCGATTTTCTCGGTAAAAGTTTGAGGGATGGAGCTCAAATTCGGCGAAGAGCAACATCGCATCGATCAACAGCCGTCGCCAGTTAGGAGAGATTTCAGTGGTTTGGTGTTAATTTTTTTAAGTGGAGGAGGTCGCGGCTGGTAGCCACCAAGTTGCAAGCCTGGTCTCCCTTTCTTCTCTTAACGGCCTCTGGCCAAAAGTGGTTTCGTAAAAAGACGCTTCAAACGGCCCATGAAGGCGAAAATATACCAAAAATGAATCAAGTAACATTTCATTTAACTTTGTTGAGATATTCAGACCGAGATGAAATTTAGATATGCAATTTTCAGAGCTTTATTCATAACCCATATAGATTTTGTTCGTCTCACCTCAAAAATGATTTACCACGAACACATTGTGTGGTCTGCCTGTGGTGAGATTTCCGCTTGATCTCTACATAAGCTATAGGGATGTCATCTGGGCCTTTCGCAGATTCTTTTTTTTTCCTTTTTTTTTTTTAAGTAATACATGCCGTTCCGTGACCTTTAAAAACGCAGCATCATCACTGATAACAAATGGAAATTTACATACGCGTCTCGTCAGGGCAAAGACGTCCAGAATATATATTCAAACTAATGAGCGATTCAGTATCAAGGCAAATCTTTGGTGAAGGTCTCGGGTTGAAAAGAGCATCCGCCTCTTTCCATCAAGCTCTACTCCCCATTCTAGCATCTAATTCAATTATGTTCTTATTCAACTCAGAAATCTGCTTATTTATGATGTTTGGTTTGTCCTTTTTGCAGTGCGAGATTCTAGGTTTAGTTGTCAACAGCGACTGAAGGAGTCAGCCAGAAAGGGCTACCTGACGAAACTGAAGTAGTTCTCAGCCTAAGGAGCGCTCAGGGCAGCACTGAGAGGATTTGCTCACTGTGCAAATGCCCCTTTTTTATATCACGATTTGATCGACCAGTTTCGGAACTAAATATGATTTCCAACATCGTGATAGTTTCAATTTATAAATAATTTATAAGAATTGATTAAGAATTGATTTATTAATTTATTAATCACAGAATTTCAGTTTCGCTTAGTGTCATAGACACTTGCAGTTGTCGGTTCTTCGGGATGCTTTTCTAAGACCTGCTTGATATTTCAGCGCTGAATAATTGAATAATTGATTACAATATCGATAAAGTAATTGATTGAGTAATTGAGTGACTAAGGAATGATAGTTACTGGCAATGAAAATCACCATCAGTAAGAGAAACATAAACTCGAGCTAACATAAATTCACGCTTGACTTTAGGTGTATGCTCGCAAACAAGCCAAGACTCAAGGAATCAATACAGGTCTGTATTTTTTTTCATTAATAATTTTATCTGATTTGGAGTACCGAGTTGAAGAGGCCATGATTTACATTTTCTTTTAACTTCGTACTACTTTGTTCACGACAACAAACATTTCAAAGGAGATAATTGTTATCGAATACGATGCTAAGATTAAATATAAACGTTTTTTCATCAGTCTAAATTGATTCATGTTCTTACTTCTTTCTTATTTTGTCTTTTTTCTTATTTTTAGACGAGCAGAATGCAGATTGGTACCCAAAACAGAAAGTGTACAGTGCATGGAAGAAGTTGGAAGGATTTAACCCTGCATATGTTATGAGGTCTGTTTAAGGAATGGGATTTTGGCTTGACCGTCCGAGAGCTATTAGCGCCGCGTTTGCATTCTGTGCGACTTATACAACTTAATATGTGAATTGAGTTATCAATGTACTTTGTATGATGCTTTGATAGGGAAGATCTTCTGTTGGGGCACTCGAAACAATCTTGGTATAAGCAAATGGAATCTGTGTGTCTCGGAGACAGGAATGCCAATGTAAGGGCTCGTGAACCTGAAAGTGGTTTGTCAGTGGAGTCTCAAGTGTTGTGTTTGATAGACCAAGCCACGGATGCTAATATACTCGGACGAACTTGGCAAGGCTGGGAACCATGGATGTGACTCTGTCATGGTCAACGCTAGGATTATGAAACTCTTACATTATTTTATGTTCGAGTTGCAGTTTCACGAGCCAATAATCATGAAGGCTTTAAGACATAATGGTCAGAAATTTAGTTTTTTTGTTATCTGAATAGTATTAAAATAAAGTGATTAAGTCTACTAATGACATCCAAGTTTAATCCGTTCCATTCTACTTGACCAGAGAAAGTTCAAAACTATTCAAACAAGGAATCCTTCTGCATATTTATTAACTATCAACAACTACTAACTGAACGAACTCTACAAACTTTTAGATTGATTTGAATCCCCCTTGAATATGCCTCAGTCATCATCATTTCTTTTTTGAATAAGCAACATATGGCTTGTATGTGGCTCGGAAACCCTTGTAGATACCATTGTCTTGTGCACTACTTACAAAATGAATCCACATGTACTTGGTGGTCACCACCTGGCCTGACAAGGGACTGGGACCGCTCCAGGCAATCTCCAGCGGTGAAGTTACCCAGGGTCCATGGGCAACTTCGAGACGGTCGTAAGCATTTTCTGTCTTAAACTCGTTCAGAGTAAGGCCGATTTGTCTGTCGGGAATAAAGATCAGCCAGATACAGCTGAGGTTTGGCGGGTAACCATTCGGAAAACCAGGAGAGCGTATCTCTCCAGTCTTACTGGTCAGGATTCCTCCACAGCCTGAAAAAAAAATTTCATATATGTCACTGCAAGAAGATAAAGCATAGTATCTATACAAGTAAATGGAGAAATTTATTTCCAGAGCTCGACGTGCTCTAAAAATTGAAGGTTGGACCGACTTTACCTATCACCTGAATGTAAGGGCACCGGCAATTATACCACTCCATTCCTAACATAAACAACTCTTTAGATGATCACATTTACCCAGTAGTTTTCCATGAATTTGAGTAGATTTCAAAATGATAAAAAAAAAAAAGAAAACGAGTCACACACTTGGATATCACCAAACTGGTGCCGATCGCTCCTGACCCATCGTGATGATTTGAATGATGTGACGGCTGAATTTAAAGGTCAGCAGAAGCCGTGCCAGTGCGCTTTGTGAAAACTTTACTAACCTGTTTGTTTGTAAGAAACTTTAAATCCATTGTTAGAGTTGACACTGTTTGAAATGAATCTGACTCTGATGCTGTTCCCGGTGGAAGTAATTGCGCGCGGTTTGTCCTTAACGCCATTCAACGCAACGACCGGGTCTGTCTTGCCGGTGTCATAAATGAGTACGAAATCTTTGTTCTCTTCTGTCCGAAGCTCCTCGAATTCTAAACGGACCTTCTTTCCTTGAGGCACTTGAATTTCCCAAGTACAGTACTCATTGTTCGGGTAATTGTTCGGAAAATTGGTAGATTGAAGAGAGCCTGAGGGTCCGTTAAGAATCTTGCCGCAATTAGAAGCTGAAACGATAAGAAGATGTACGCTTGAGTCGAGCATGATTCGTATTTTGTCTGTTTCTTCCTTTAGCGTTCATTGGCTTGCCTCTAGGATGTAGAGCATTGAACCGGAACGACCCTACAGTACACTTACCCAAAAGGAAAACAATTTTTGTAGTTGTTTTGAATAAGATATTTTCGCATTCATATCAATTAGCTACATTATTGATAAGGGATTTTTTCGACGTTTCTCATAATTACGACCGATGAATTTGTGTATTAATGGAATGAGGTGGCTCCTTAGGACGTATGATTAGTTTAATTAGTTTCTCTTCAACCATCTACCGCAACGCAGATTTTTTAGCTATTTACCAGTTAAAGGCCTATTTACACGGTACGACTTTGTCGCATGCGACAAGCTTACGACAGGCCTACGACACGAATTGTATCGTGTAAATCAAACCTACCACTCGCTTACGACTGTCGTGCACGTCACGAAAAATGTCGTAGGATTTTAAAACATGTTTTAAAACGCTGCGACAATCGTAGCCGAAATTGATAGAAAATGACGTATTTTGTGACAAATTTCTACTGAGTAGGGGAGGAAGGTGAAATTTTCTTGCGTCAAAATGGCGGAGGAAGTCGCCTCCGGAAAGTCGAAGACTGCTTCCAAAGCGAAAAATACATTCTCAGATGAGGAAACAGAGAATATGATATCACTGTGGAGCGAGGAAGAGGTTCTTTTCCTTCTCTTGCAAATTATTGAAACAATGACCGCGGCCGAAACGAGTGGAATTGCACGCGATTTTGGCATGTCGTAGGTGAAAATGTCGTGCGCGTGTAAATTGTCCTAAGTCATGTCGTAGGCCTGTCGTAAGCTTGTCGCATGCGACAAAGTCGTACCGTGTAAATAGGCCTTAAGAATGACTCTTACGTCGGAGAAGAGTTTGCCAAGGAGCAAGTACTAAAGGTGTTCGCAACGAGAGGATAAAATAAAAACTCGATGAAACAATTTCTTACCGACACAACTAGCAGCTGATCCAGACCACTGACCATTAGCCCCACACTTCCTAACGATAGATCCTTGAAGTTTGTAGCCGGCATTACAGTCGTAAATAACGCTTTCGCCATAGGTAAACTTATTGCCTATCTTAAATCCGTTTGACAAGGATCCTGGATCACCGCAGCTCACAACTGAGGATTTAGACAATCAATTATATTAGAGATCATAACAAAAGAACCTTTGAAAGTACACATTAGACGGCCTTAATGAAGTTGCATGAAGTGAGTAAGTAACAATTTTATATAGAGGGTAGCACCTGACAGTATGACGGATAAACTAATGGCCATCTGAAGGAAGGAGGATAAGTTTCATTCCAAAAGGATAAATATTAAAAAAAATTGTATCTTGTAAGGTGGGAAAGGTTGATGACAAGGCTTAAATATTGTAAGCAAGCCTTCTACTAATGTTAGGTAGTACATAGGCGAAGACACATGCCTTGCACGACCGAATTAATGAAATTCTGAGTACCAAAGCAGCACCCAAGTTCTTGTAATGATGGTGGTTTAGCAACAAATTTGATTTGGTTCCAAGAAGTATATTAGACCTACTCTGGCATGTTGGCTGTGAACCTGACCACTCCCCTGAGTTTTGACAGGTTCGTTCCTGGGACCCGTGCAGTGTATATCCTTGATTGCATGTGAACTGAATGGAAGCCTCGTACGAATGGTTACTTCCGATCTTGATTCCATTTGATGGGATACCAGGATTTCCACAAGATCTTTCTAAGAAATAAAAACGTGAAGAGAATAGTTAATGTCGCAACAAAGACTCACCTTTTCTGTTATTTTACTGCCACTTTTCTTTATTTCGTTACCGATGGCTCTCTTAATAATACACGTGTGACGATTCAGCTACCATCAATCAAAATATATTCGGAAATTTACTAGGGCTCTGATTCTACCAATCCCCAATTGAACTAGGCGCTGGATTTCGTATTTACCCAAGCACTTGGGCTGTTGTCCACTCCACTGTCCATTCCCCTGACATTTTCTTTTGGAATCACCTTCCAGGTGATGCTGAGGACGGCAGGTGAACGTTACAGTGTTGTTGTACTGAAAATTTGCGCCGTTCAGGTATCCATGCCATGGAGTCCCAGGATCTCCACAATCTATGACTGTCAAGCATAAAGACGGAAAACATTTGATTTTAAGTTCTGCATGTTTTGGATTTCAGTTTTAGCACCCCACTGTCTTCTACTGTCTTCTGAGAATTTGTTTCCTCTTAAATATACTGTAAAATGAAAGTGTGTGATGAGCCAGGTGTACAACACGAGCTGTTCATTGAAATTAAGATCGAGTTTCCTCGAGTTTCGAGGAGGAAGAAAGACATATTTCGGTGGATTGAAATTTGAGAAGATTCTTATTGGAAGAAAATTTTCGCTTCCAATGCTGCCGCCCTCGATGTTCACTGTTTCCCACTGTTGTGGAACTGTGATATGAAAAAACAGCTTTCCCCATTTGTTAAGATTTTTTCCTTCGGGTGTCATGTAGTTTTAACATTGCCAACAGGTTGATACCGACAAAGCCATGAAAAATGCGTTTCTACGTTTTTACATCCAAGCTAAGTTTGAATTTCGCGCGTTATCGATAAAAAGCCAAGAAGCCTCAAGGATTTTGATTTAATTTTGAGGGATTAACACCTCGATGTTTAACCGCCGTTTTTGGATTCGGCCTATGTTTTTATGCCTACATCTTACACGGACCATTTACTAATAGTATCTGCGTTAAAGCGCTCACTTTGACAGATGGGGTCTGCCCCGGACCACTGCTCGTCTCCCTGGCAAGTTCTAAACGACGAACTATCTGGATTGACTTCGTATCCTATATTGCATGACACGCGGACAGTGCTGCCCGTTTCTCGGCGGTATCCTTGTATATGACCATGGACTGGAGCAGACAGTTGGGGACAGTCAGCTCCTGATAACCGAAAAAAATATCAAATACAGCGCACACAAACAATTAAAGATTAACAGATACACGAATAATTTGAAGACGAGAGCAAGGTTCTCGACCCAATCGAAGGTCTTTAACGCGGCGTTGGTAGATCAATTACATATTACGTTAAAATTTGTTGGAATTTTTGGAAGAAACGTAACTGAAGTATTTACACCAGTTATCACGTCCCGAAACAAATTAAAGCATGTATACACTTACGAACACATCTCGGCTGCTCTCCGCTCCAAAGTCCACCCTGTTGACAAAGGCGCTGGTTGCTACCCACCAAAGCATATCCACTACTGCACGTGAAGCTTACGCTCTTTCCGTAACTGAAGTCACTACCCTGACGAGCACCGTACTTGACTGTCCCTACATCTACGCATCTCCCGGCTACGAACGTGAAGTACTTTATTTTAGGAGATGAGGTAAGTAATCCAGTAACCTACTGAATAGTTAATGTTATCGCGAAACTTATTGTCATTCCGTTTCCTGTGTACATTGCGTTTACACGTTAATTACCAGTGAGTGTTTGTACGTTTCATTTGTTGTATTTTGTAATCGTGGTTGATGTTTACATCATTACGTAATGTTGCGTAATAATGTCGAGTAATTTTGAGGGTTTTCTGTATAAGTTAAGTCCATTGGATCGATGTTTATGTCCACTTTTTAAGAAGCAGCGTCGTCCTTCAGTTCCTGTAAAGCTTTGCACCGTCAAGGTAAATATTTTCTTTATTATGTTATTTTCTTCATTTGTAAGGTTTCGTTCGCTAATATGTATTTCCGTACTCATGTTTAGTAACGTAGGCGTGTGGATGTTTTTAAATAAATGATAAGCACAATTACGCGTGATTTCGGCTCCACTTAACCTTCGAAATGTAAAGGAAGAAAGGGCAGACGTCAGATCTATGTTACTGTGTTATGTAGGTATCATAATATAAAGCAGAATTTTTAGCTGAAATGAAAACTCCGTTTTAAGACTTTTTCTTACCGTTACAGCGCGGCTGAACTCCGGACCACTTGCCATTCGCGGAACAAACTCGCTTTTGAGACCCTAACAATTGATATCCTGCATTGCACGAGAAAGTGGCGATATTACCCAGTATTGGGTCACCAGTAATAGTAATGGCGCCATTGGATAGAGCAGCAATAGACGGACATCGGTTTTCTACGTAGAAACAAACAAACGATAGTAACGATGATGATCCTAAAACGCTCCTAGACTATTTTGCGCTCAAGTCCACGGAAAAGGGGCAGATTATGCCTACTTCATGTCACGTAAGGAAAGAGCACAGGAAGTAATAAAACGAACTTCTTTCTAAAGAAACTATGGTGCTGCATCGGTTATGCAATAAATGACATTGGCGGAGGTGCAAGTGATCATCTATTGCATAACTTTTACTTATTGCAAAAAGTCATTCACTGGTGAAACAGGAAGACTCCTGTTCGCTACGTAGAAAGAAAAGCCAAGGACGTATCCAAACCAGTCGCTAGGCACCTTAATCTTCCTAATCGTTCTAAGCAGCATATGGCAGTTTGCGGTCTCTCCCTACATCTAGGCAAGTCGGAAAGCCGCAAAACTCTAGAAAAAAAATTATCTTCCAAATCGGCACTCTTAATCCTCACGGTATTCTTGTCTTCTCGTCACCATATTCCCACCAATAGCGTAGCTCCATTTTCTGCATATAATTCCACACACAACCCACGATTCCTTCAATCTCTCTGACGAAGGACTAACGCTCGAAACGTCAGTTTTCTAGGACGGTTGACCAATCATGCATATAGAAAGGTACGTGCTAAGCTAAAGTTACGTGCACACGATATCAACTCATGCAAAGAACTTCTTGTTGCAAAAGAGGAACAAAAAGGACAAAAACTACACTTTTTATGCATATCTCGTGGACTTCAACTTCTTATCTAAAAGTTACCATTACAGTTCCGGTTGTCGCTTGCAATTGTATATCCTCCACGACAGTGACAACTATGGCTCAAGTAACTGTTCACACAAATATGTTCACAGCCACCGTTGTTGAAAGCACATTCATCTTTATCTGCAAACCGAATTCCAATAGACCTCAATACAAAGCAAACATAAGTTCCGACCGCTTCACAGGAGCAACGCAAACGCAAATGCTGGAACATCGCGATACGCGGGCATTTGAAAAACATTCGTGTTCCAATATGGTGGAAAAAGTGTCGTTTCTTCTCAAAAGATCATCATCTGAGTCTTTGGCTTCTGCTTTAGAGGGTAATACAGATACACAGGCCAACACCAAATCACAAGAAAACTTTATCTTTAATTAAAGATTTGCATTAACAGTAGCTGGCAAGTTACATTAGAATTAAAATTACTGTCACTTCGCATATTAAAGAACCTTCGTGAGTCACATTTGCTCACTTACGTAGTCAGATAAGTCATTTGGTGTCTGTCTGGAACTTATTAGCCCTTTAACTCATTAACTCATAAATAAAATGTTTTACTTTCTGATCATTTGTGCTCTTTTTATGCTTGAGCATGGGCTTGATTTGATTTATGTTGTTCCAGCCGTAGGTATGTTTGCGTCGCTCATGTGTATTACTTCGAGAGGAGCAAAAGGGCTGATCACAGTTTTCAAATCATATCGGATTATTGGTTGATGATTATCACCGGTGAAATAAGACTAGGAAAGGCCCCGAAATAATGAAGTCAACTGACCTCGGCAGGATCTTCCTCCAGGGGCGAGTTCCATTCCAGACGGACACGAGCAACGGAATGCTCCTGGTGAGTTATGACAGCTGTGGCTACACACTCCGAAGGAACACTCGTTGATGTCTAGGACAAAAAGAATAAAAAATGATATTCGAGTTCATATTTAAAACTAATAGTTATAGACTATTATCTGTTATTTTAAAAACCTGTTTTTGGCTGTTCGTTGAACTTTGTTTGGAAAAAGAGCTATTAGACTCCACTCGGGAAAAACCACGTAGGCGGCCGTTGGTGCCAATAGCCAAAAATCTCCCGTTTAAGTCCAAATTGGCAGTAATTGGAGAACCTTTGGATACTTATTTACCTTCACATGTGGTTCCATCAATGTTTAACGTGTATCCTTGGTTACAAGAACAAGTGAAACTACCAAGGGTGTTAACGCATAGCTGGCTACAATGACCGTTGCTGCATTCATCTACGTCTACAAAAGGAACCAGAGATCACAAAGAATTCAACACATATCCTTTACTCTGGTATTAAATGAAAAGTATACATTGTCTCTTCGACTTGAAGAGATCTTAACTACGTTGTTCTCGGAATTCATTTTGAATTAGTGAGGCCAATGGAATGAAATGAAACAAAGCTTTACTAACTCATGAATATTACTATATTATTAGATGCCTATAGCACTTGCCATATACCTTTACATTCGGTTCTTCTCCCACTCCAAAGCCCATGGCTGCATGTCCTGGATTTTGAGCCGTAGAGATAAAAACCAGCGTTACAGGAAAATGTTACAGTACTGCCATGATTGTGGTTTGATGAAGACTTTTTACCGTTCAAGGGAACTCCTAATTCACCACACGAGGAGGCTAAACAAGAAAACATTGAAAAGAGAAAGAAATTTCGCACCGGTTGAAAAAAATTTGGCCTGGCATAATCAAGTTTTAATAAATAATTGATTTAGTGTTTCAGTAAAAGCTAACGATAAATTCTTATCTGGAGAAAAAAAGGTTTTATACCGAAAGTGTTGTCAAGGGATTATGACCACTAGAACGCTACAAAGACAAATTGTTGAAACGTTTGTGTCGGTTGAATTCGCATTCCATTCAAAAGCACCTCGCGAATAAAATTGTTTTTCACTAGGTTAATTGACAAAATACAATTGCGAGAATTACTTGTTTAACCAGAGTATTTCTGTAGGAAGAATGACTGCTTGTCATTTCATTGATGATAGACGTACCTTGTTCGCATGTGCTTCCTTCGTATCCCCGGCGACATTTGCATTTGAATCCATAGTAAAGGTCGTGGCACTTACCGCCATTTTTACACGGATTATTACCGCATTCGTTTACTTCTGCTGCATCCAAATTAAAAATAAAAACATTGAATGCGTCAACCACCAAATTAAAACGAATGCCAGATAGTATCAACTTCGGCTGATTAGAACGGTTCGGTTAAGTACATCTACATGAAGTTAATCGTTCGAAAGGCTTCTCCCTTACTTTGAACCGGGTCAAACAATTAAACAATCTACGTGTCCAATGTTTATGTAAAACTAGGACAATAGGAGTAAAGGAACACAACTTGTAATGAACCTTCTAAATGAAATAACCAGTTTAACGGATCAATTACCAAATACCGGTAAATGGATTTATTAGTGGTCAGGAGCACCGTTATGTCTCCTCTTTCACAAAGTTATTTTCTTGAGGTTTTGGGGGGGAAGAATATCAATGACAAAAATAAACCATTAAAAATAGTACCTGAGGCAGACCTGCGCCTTCGCTTTCGTGCTGAGATACCTTGAGATAAAAAGGGTTGCAAGAGAAGAATAGTAAATCAAAAGATTAATTATTACCTCGATATAAAAAAATGGCTTGAACGATTTTCTGTAGTTTTAAATATTTTTTCCTTTTTGAACAACAGTCTTTTAGAAGAACATTCATAATTCTCGCGCTCTAATGAATTTCCGATGAGGGAAATCTATGTAGATCTTATTTGTTTAATGGTTTTTCACCTTCACTACCAGTTAAATTATCATATAGAGACATTTGGAAATACCTATGGAGGGTGGTGGAGGAACTAGATCTGCAAGAAAAAATATAGTTGAATATAATGGAAAAAAACATAATTTTTTATGTAAAAATTATGGAGTTTTATGAGAGACGTGTAATCTGATTAAGATCCTTGTTTTTCATTATTCTAAATTTATTTATCGATAGTTATTGCTACTATCGTTACCAGTATTACGAATAACATTCAATGATATCGTTAGAATAACTACCTGCAAGACAGCCATAGAGTTCTACTCTCATAGTTATCTTTCCATTCCACGACTGAGGTCTAAATCGGGTCATTCTGGCTGCGAAAGGTTGTAACTCTTGTTTCACCACAGAACTGGAATCTGTATTTCCTGGCAAGGTCTATAGGAAATAGTGCTGCATTAGGATAAAACTATCGTCTTAATTCACAAGACTAGAGAAACGGATGTCACGAAAGGTACGAATTTCAACTGTGAGAGGTCTTGCACGCAAAGGAACGGGAGAGTTTCAAATTATAAAAACTGAGAACGACAACAGCCGGACAGAAGACCTTCAGAATTTGAACTGAGAAGAAAACATTCTGAGAAACAGAGTGAAATTTTGAGGGAGTCTACTCTTTGGAATTTTCAAAAGTGGTCGTTGGCCGTATTAACTGTGACTGCAATGACGAGGGTTTCATACATAATAATGTATAGCTGTAATGGCCGATTTGCCATGTCATAAAAAGTGGCCCTATTACGAGTTCACGAGTTAACGAACGTATTGCCGAGGTGGCTGTAACTCGGGGTTCCACCGAAATGATATTATGGAGTAGAAGTGAGTACTATCATAAACTTTCACAGCTGCTTAAATACATACGAAACCGACCACTCGCCTGTCCATAATATTGCCACGCACTGCCGTCCGTGGTGTATTGCAGCTTGTATGACGTTACCCATTCTGATAAGCCATCCCCGCCCTGAATGGCCACGGCTGTAACTTTGTATGTATCTCCTAAGTCAATCTGCAATGAGGGCAAAAATCAAGCAAACCGTTGACATCTATATTCCAACCATGTAAGCAGTGATTGACGTTTTCATACAGCGATGGCTTTTCTCTGTTTTACTGTTATAAATGACAACGCTGAGACTCGAACACACTCCAAGTTTTGGGATATTTCAGAAAACAAGCGTAAGAAGATTAAAGCGTATTATACTTGTAAATACTGCTGTTGGTCAGATGTTTGCGGACTCCAACCACCTCTGCTATCCACAACACCTTGTAGACCGCTGGCATGCGGAGCAAACAGGCGCGCAACTTTTGGCTGACTGTTTAAAGCAAGTGATGACGAAGCTGTCATTGCTGAATCTGGAATGGCTTTGCTTTGTACACCAAGAGTCTCAGTGCAACCTTATGGAGAAATCGAACTTTCCTCTTAGTGAATCGAACGTGAAAACATCCCCTAAGCTACTGTAGAGTATGTAATGTATGTAAAAGTATGTTGGAGGACCACATCTGAAGTTTATAGTTTATTATTTACTATAAAAAAGTTCGCTCTTGGCCTAGCTTGTAAAGAGTCCCATCTAGCTCAGTGATAGAGCATCCGAAGTATTAATCAGAACTGTCGTAGGTTCGAATCCTAATAAGAGCACTCGCATTTTTTCTCCTAGTATGCCATTTATGGAGTAACATTTCCTTCACTTAAATCACCGTTTAATCATTTCGCAGCATTATATATCGAAATTCCTATTTTCGCAATGTCCAGGGAGTTTTAAAACGTGAAACTAGTTCAACAGCGCAAATTACCACGAGTCTCCTATTGCTTAGTCGAAGTACTGATCAGTAGAGCAGTCGAAGTACTTATCAAAAGGTCGTAGGTTTGAATCCCACGGGGAGCACTTGCAGTTTTCTATTTGTCCGAATATGCCTGTGTTATTTTCTGAATAACATCTTCCTTCCCTAACTCATCAGCCTTTAAACCTTGCAACTTCATTTACATCATCATTTTTCATAAGCATCACTTATCGACATTCCTATCCTCGCAGTATGTAGGAAGTTTGTCACCATCGACCATTGTCTCTTACTTGGTGCTTATTTTGCCATACGGACTGTATTCAAGGAAATGGTAATTTGCTGTGTGAACAACCAAGTTTGGCCCGAGTAACGTATGATAAGATACTTTCTAATCTTTCTTACTCGAGCTGTACAGAGGAATATTGGCCTCGGTCGTTTTTGTACGAACCATGTTGCTCTCGGTCCGTACTGCCACGACCTCGGGCCAATATTCCCCTTAACGTCCCTCAAGCATAGAGGCCCATTACATTTGTTGTTATCCTATTGTCTAGAAATATATGAATTGAATTACTCACTAGTTTGATAATGGTCAAAGCCTTTCCCTGGAATTAAGGAAGCGTCATCAGAGGAAGCCCTACTGAGGTGGCAAGTTCTTCCAGTCTTGTCATAATCAAACGATCTACAGGGAAACAAGCTCTCTTTCATACAGGCATCTGCGCACTCCTCGACGGTTTTTCCTCCCAATACTTTGTCAACTTTGTTGGACAGGCGTATGTCCCGTTTTGCAGGAAAGTCTCTTAGAGGATTAGTAACTGAAAAATTGATGATGGCAATTATAGTTTAAGAAATCTCTTTTTTACAGAGGTTCAATTTATTCTAGATTTAAACAGATTTCTACATTTGGTAGTTATCTTTTTACATCCCTTTCTATTTACTCAATCACCCTATTGCTGGACCTAAGAAGTACCGGTAGCAATTCCTGTAAATTAGCGACTCGAAAAGCATGACATCTCATAACGTAGCAAGTTATTATTGTACCGAAATGACGATGTAAAATCAACCTCATCATTTATTTGGCATACAAACCCTGTGCTTTAGAGCAAAAAATACGTAAACTCACACTTGCAAGCGTAAGGCGTGGATGTTAGAACGTAAGCTCCTTGTAGTCCCTTGCGAAAGTCTGCCCAGGCCTTTACATTCCCTTCCTCCACACCACAACTTCGCACCAAGTTGTAGATGTCCTTGGGCGTAAGGACTTTGTCCCAAACATTTAATTGGCTGAGATCTCCGGTGAAGGCCTCCTCAGGGCTGAAGGAGCCCCCTAGCGAATCCTGCTCCTGACCTAGCACCATAACACCACCACCCTTGATCACAGCTCCCGATTGAAAGGGCTCTGTGTATCTACAAGTGATTCATGATCGTTAGTTTCTATTAGTTTTATTTTCTTCAAGTGGTTCTACGTTTATCAAGGATACAACCCTTAGACTGGGTTTACCCGCAGAAGAAAAAAGTTTCATAGAATTCTAAAGAAACCATCAAGCATTTCATGAACTATACTCAGATTCAACATACCCGACGGATATTATAAACCCCGTAGTTGTGAGTTAAAGTAAGGCCGTTTTAAATTTTAATTGAAAGAGAGAATGAAAAAAGTTACTTCTTCACTTGTTGTCCATTCTTGTAAAAGAACCACTTGCCTCCATTGTTGTCCCATGTGATAGCGACGTGGTTCCACTTACCATCGTTAGCTGACGTTCCAATGAAAAGCTTTTTATTATTAATGTAGAGATCAAAAGCACCATAATCCTGGATAACAAGGGCATTGTCTTGAAGCTTGCCTGCTACAATGTTCGAGTAGGACAGCGGTGTCCCAGGATTTTCTGTGTCATCCGTGCGGAGCCAAAAGGCGATAGTAAAGGCTCGTAAATCAGGAATGTTGGTTACACTGCTGGATGTGGTTGCCACCCGAAGAGGAAATGACAGGTCGTAGGCAAAACACAACTCTGCCGAAGAGACAATACACCGTCATGATAAAATTGTTAAACGATTATCCCCTAAACGGGAAGTACGTTACAGTAATCTGTATGAGTAGATGTAACCAGAAATGGTAATTTCTCGAGACAAAATCAAAGTCTTACTTTCGCTGCAGGTTTCCCCTGAGTACGTAGGCTTGCAAATACAATCAAACCCATTTTTTTTGTCAACACATTGACCACCATTCTGACATGGTTCTGAGAGGCATTCATTAATTTCCGTCTCACAGTGCACCCCTGTAAAACCGGCTTTACATATACAGGCGTAACCGTTGATTTTGTCCGTACATGTCCCATAGTTCTGACATGGATTGTTTGCACATTCATCAGTGTTAACTTCACACTGAGCTCCCTCGTACCCAGGCCTGCATGAACACATATATCCCTCGGCTAGACTTTCACACATGGCTTTGTTATTGCAAGGAGAGGAAGCACACTGATCAATCTTCATCTCGCAAAATTTTCCGCCGTAGCCCTGCAAACATTCACACAGAAAATCTGGTGGCTGAACGTTACATGTGGCGCCATTCTGACAAATGTTGGGGCCACATTCATGTGAGGGTACATCGCACCGTTGCCCTCTGAATCCTGTAGCGCAAACGCACTCGTATCCATTGACCTGAAATAGAATTTAGATTTAAGGTGCGAGAATTGGTTTAGGTGTCAGTCTCTAAAAATCTTCGTCAACCTCTCTAGGTAAATCAGACAATCATCATGCACGTGTATTGATAATTATTTCATGGAATGTTTCATGGTTTCTTGTAGTGAATAAAAAACTGCTAAGAACAACAAGTAATTAATTACAGACATGGTTTGATGCTACTATGGTTTAGAGATTTAATATTATACGCTCGCTAATTAGAGTATAAAAGGACCTCTTGTTGCAGCGTCTAGAACACTCCTGATGAAACACTAGACAGGAGTGTTGAAACGTTGGGTCTCTGAATACTAACTTCTCGGTTGCGTTAATTAAATTTTTAAATCAGAGTAGCTTCAAACCATGTCTGATTGTCCACATGGTTGCCATGTGAACTTCAATATATTTTAATTAATCACAATTGTTATATACTAGACTTTTCCTCAACAAAACGAGCATTGTGATTGGTTGATTCTTGGTCACGTGCCCCTGATCAAATTCAAATGTATTCCGACCGAGATACAATTGCGCAGTTGTTGTCCGCGCGCCGGAAACAACATCATGTTTTTGCCATATGATTGTTTAAGGGAAAGTCTAAATATATAACAAAGCACTTAATGTATGGTCCCTCGTCCCTCGGGACACTGGTTATTTTTTTTTCCCGAGACCATACATTAAGAGTATTTTGTAAACTTCAGTCTAAGTCCGGATTGCATGAATGCTGCATTAGTAACTGTCAAAAAGGTGCCGGGATAGGGGTTGCTTCAAAAGTTTCAATTTTTTTATTTGTTTGTTACTTGTCCATACATTACCTTGTCAACACATGTCGCACCTTCATAGCAGGGATCAGACAAGCATTCGTCATCTTCGACTTGACAGAACTTCCCAGAATAACCTGGCTGACATTTACACATTGTGTCGTCTTTTAAATCAAAGCAGGTGCCTCCATTATTACATGGGTTCGAGGAACAGTCGTCAATAGCTGTCAAGAGACAACGAGGTCGTGAGGCGGTGGTCTGTGTGACAGGGATTTTTATCTCTTTCGTTGCATAGCACAGTCACAACTACACGTTCTTTGAAACAATTTTTTCTATCCTTCGACAGCGCGCCCTCTCGTTAGTTACTCTGGGGTCACATGACATCAAAAGATGAAACTGTTTCCGGCTATAAGTTTATAATTGAGCCACATTGCAAACTCTATGACGTCAGAGGGTAACAGTGCACCATTACCCAAGCGATGACCGCCGTCTCAGACGAACAGAGCGAGTTGACAGTGTCGCGACATTCTTAGCATCGTATTATTTTGCACTCTCAAACGCTTATATGTAATTTAAATACAAATTGTATTTTTTTCGTATTACATCTTCTAATTTCTTATTAAATACTGAACGACTGCCCTTCGGGAAACAGGCAAAATTATTTTGCTCAAATCTCAAAGTTTCCTTTGGCTACATCTTGGACAGCATCGATTCTCGGGAAAGAAAATGAGCTTTTTCTGTCGAGACCAGTTGTTAACTGTTTCGTGTTAGTTATGTATCGTAAATCAGCATCATTTTACACTCAGTAATTATCTCTGACAACATGTATTATAAGCAAAATATTAGTTCTTTTCATATCACGGTACATTTGTAAAGTACTATAACATGAGTTTTATGATGTACAGTATGGGATAATGAACACGTATATTTTTATTTTTGGAATGCAATGTCTCTGTCTTACCAACACACATGTCTGCAGAGTCAGCCCCAGGTCCATAAGTTGACTTTCCATCTGTACACTCTGTACACGATAAGGCTCCTATTGTAGTCTGATAGGAACCCTTACCACATGGAGAACAAGGTTCGACCCCATTAGTTGAATAAGTACCAGGTGCACATTTCACTGACAAAAAAATGTCAAACAATCAGATAACCGACCTTGACTACGAAGCAAATTAAAAAAAGAACAAGTTGTATTACGTTAGACAAACAGCTGATCCATTTTCTAGAATATATATGCATAAAGCAAACGGTGAAGAATAATGAGATACCAGTAATATTATAAAAATCTAAAGATAAAGTTTAACTGTTTATTAATCATCTTACTTAAAGGTCAACGAAACGTTAAGTACAATTGGGCTTGTTTTAAGCCCTTCCGAATTTCTTCTCCAGACTTTGGAATTAAGACTTACTTCCACATTCTTCTCTTCCACCCGCTGCGGGAAGTATAGTGGTCGTACCCGCAGGACAGGAAGTACAAATCGTGTTCATGAAACCGGAAGCGTAAGTACCACTTGGGCAGGGAAAACACTTGGCCAGTCCAGAAGGTGAAAAATAGCCTGGTTTACATTTTTCTGTTAGAAAACCAAGTGAAAAATTGATAAAACTGGAAAGAGAATTCTTCAGGATTCATAATTGTAAATAGTTCACCGAATTGATTACAACAAAACTAAATTCAAAAGAGATCATAAATCATAAAAATGATTGGCAAAAGAATGGAGGCAAAGCCCGGAGGTTGATTTGACGGCACAAGCGTTACACGCCCAGACGCTAAGAACCATCTAAACATTTCCGAAAAAGTAAATGAAGAATGAAACTTCCAGATTCCAAGCGAAGGCGCTCTCAGAGTTGCCGAACTAGCGTTATTCCAGTTACTGAGGCTTGGATTTGACTGTGTAGAAGCGAGTAAAGGAAAAAAAATCTACTACCGGAGGGATGACAGTTTCCCTCTTGGCAAGTAAGCTGATGATGCTAACTGGAAAAAAAACTATTCAATACCACCAAAAAATGGCAACAACGCAACTTTAAGAAAACTGTTCATGTTATACAGACATTTGTTTTATCATTTAAGAGAGAGGGCCGCTTTGAAGTCATAGCGACATTCGTATTGCAGAGATACAACTGAATTGGTCACTGATAGCGAAGAACCCATTGCACATCAGACAAATTAAAGACAAGAGCTCTTAAAGACGAATCTATCATGACTCTACCTCCCGACAAAGTTGATCCTACTAACGTAGTCTAACGATATCTATGGAAATCTTTCTAACACAACCACGGACCCGTTGAAAGTAAAATTTCTCTGACGTGAAATCGCTTCAGAGACGCCGATAGAGCGCTCATGTCAATCCCTCTACGCATCAAAAACTACAAAGGATAGATTTCACAACCAGTAGAAACATAACGACCGGTCATCAACAAAGTGGACCAATGATTAAACGACGTTCCAAGTCGAACATAATAATAATAATTATCATTATTATCACATTCACCATCATCATTCTCATAAGTGGATTTTTATTTCTATGTTCATCAATACCTCTACATGCAGTAAAGTTCTTTGAATCCTCGCCTAAAGTGTAGGTTCCTTCTGGGCACTCAGAACACTCAAATCTTCCCTCTTGATTTTGGTAGGTCCCTGGTGAACACCTGGTACACTTCTCATGTACTAGGTCATAGTATGTCCCTTTCGGACAGCGAACTAAAGATAGTGGAAAAATAACACTATTATGTTACATTCTTACGAACCCGTATTGCAAGATGTTACTACAACGAAAGTATGTGCTATTATTTTGAAATTTGGTTAAAGTTTTCTCTTTACGGTTGGAACTCCCTCAGAAACATGTTGTAAGTAAATAGGTAGGGTTCAAACAATGAGGTTTCGCTGGCTTCTATGGTTTCTTTTAGAACTCGTGTTATATTGGAATTCTTAAATACAAAACTTGGAGAGGGAATAAATGACAATCACGCCATAAAACACTGTAAGTAGGGCAAAACAAGAAATTCACGAAAGAAAATTATATAGAATAAAAAAAGAAAATGTAAACAAACTGACTTTATCACTTACTACACCGTTCAATTGCTCCCGTATCTTTGTTGCATTGGCACATACTGTGTGGTTTGGCGAGCCCATCACAGCCAGTTTCAAGTGTATCACATCTTCCTACAACAGCCCCAGTGTCTGAACAATATGCCTCAGCATTAGTAATAGAGTATGTCTGATATTCAAGATCGCTCGAAGAACGAAGAGGACTCCAGTCGAGGGACTTTGCCTGTTGATCCAATAGTGGCTTTGCGTCGTTATCCAATATTTGTTCAAGTTGTGTTACAGTTTTTGAGGCTCCACTCTGTTTTTCTTGCGCTACAATGTCAACTTTGACGTAAACATCATTAGCAGACTTTCTTCGGCGACGTCTAGCCGAGCTGGTAGCCCCACAGAATACGTTTACATTACCAACGTTACAATCTGCATGATCTCTGCATAACGCTGAGGGGATAAACTGTTGGTTCAGCAAACTGACAAAATTTAATTTGATTTGATCTTGTGCTTCTTTGCTGCTGCAGTCACCAGCGAAGTAGAAGAACTGTGGTATAAGAGCCATGCGAGCCTTGCCAGGTTCATAACGAACTGGAAAACATTTTTAAATTTCGTCACCTCGGTGTCCATGTAAAATTCCAACAGTTCAAGGTGGGGGGGGGGGGTGGATAACGCCCAAATTTAATCGCTTTCCCTTTTTCCAATAAGTCAAACAACAGTGTAAAAAAAAGGGCAACAAAAACAACGATAAAATACTAAACAAAAGAAGCTAAGTAAGCAAGGCGAAAGCATGTTGGAGAAGGAATTTCGATTCTTTTTCAAAAAAGTCATTCAATCAAAGAAAAGGTCGCTAGATCTTTCTAATGTCGGTTCTTAATTCTTGATGTTTTACTCACCGGAGCAGTCAGGCCATGGCAGAGGAGAAGGTGGTATTGCTGACCATATTCCGTTACCGCAAAGGTATGTGAGGGCGGGGGGAAACGCGAAGTCAAACTGCCGGTTACAGCTGACCTGACAGTATCGATTACTCACACCAAACGCGTTACAAGCTAAGGCTCCATTGATTGGGGCGGGGTACATCTCACAAGATTTGGCTGCAAGTGAACACATTCATATTTCGTGATTTAGAAAAGTGTTCTCTACTGATGCCTTATGGAAAAGCATTAAAATCCATATCGCAGGAATTTGTCAATGGACTTTCTGTTTATACTTTTTTTCTCTGAGATCTTCAGCGCGAAGCCTTCTATCTTAAAGCTTACCTTTCAGGATTAAAATGTAAGTCGGTTCATGTCATGCAGTTCAAATTTTCAGGACAAGGAAAAACAGAACTTAAATTAGATCGATGATACAACAATTCAAAGGTAAAACGCAAATGAGGAAACATACGTCTGTTTTTTGAGTCTTTATGTTATCGACTGATGATTACATCAAACTCACCCCCTCCGATGACAGATAATGATCCGAAATTCTTCAGTTTGAAGTATGTTTATGACTCCTTACACGCAGTTTCTAAATCATCCCAGTAGCCATACGTAAACGAACCAAAATACTTGAACTACAATATCCGATAAATTCATTTTCAAACTGTATCCCCTTTAATCTTGACTTAATATCTAAAAATTAGTTTCCCTCATGTTACTTTTACGCGCAACCACATGGATGCACCGAAAAGCAAAAGAACTATTTGCAACGTGCAAAGTTCTCTCTTCAGCAAGCTAAGCTACCACAATATTCCATTTTCAACCCTTTCATTTATCATAGAAATAACGTAAAAATGTTCAAAGGTAAAGTGCTGAGGTTTAACGTAGAGTTCCTTTGTAGTTAAGGAAAAATTTCTTAAGTTAACTCCGAGAAATGTTAATAAGGTATCCAGGCTTGATTTACCAAGACGAAAATTAATGCGTTTCTAGCTCAGACAAAAAGAGCAGGATTAATTATGAAGAACTTTAATTATGTGATGGATAGTGTTTCTACATTAATATTCGAAGTGGTACGTGTGGATCCAAGGATATCACAGTTAAGCCTCTAACGGCAAAAAAAACCTCTTAGTTTTGAGGAACAAAGTTCTAACTATATTACCACTATATTACCTTTGACGTGGATCTTGAAGGCACAACTGTCATTGACATTACCAGATTGGTCTCTTGCTATGTAGTTCACAAACACCTCTCCAATGTAGAAAATTTCTCCAGGATTCCGGTTATGTTCAATGATTGGTGTCTTATTGGAGTTGTCAAGAAATTGGGGAATCACCCAAGGGACTCGTACGTTCGCTTGTGTTGTTTCAATCAGCTTATCTTCGGGACATGACGTATAATAGGGTGGTTCGTTATCTGAGAAAATCACAGCCAGCTTGTTAGGAAGGGGTTTGTATAGAAATGGGACGAAAATTTACTCTATGAGTAGATTCCTGGTGGGTGGATTGATACTGAACTAAATTGACCTAAAAGAAGGTAATCCAAAATGTTTCCCTGTATCCCCTCCCCCGAGGAAAAAAAAAAAAAAATTCAAGTTTAGGACAATGAGATCTATGACCTCACAGAAAAGTGTTTAAAAACGAAGCCATAATCGGTACTGGGTGATGACGGATAGCATATGCATTAGAACAGAAAAAAGTGCCAGAAAATGGAAAAATACATCTAGAGAATAAGATGTGAACATTCAATTGATAGAGTTCACCCCTCTTACTCCAGGACCATACAGGCTGTAAGCGTAACAACTGAACGGACACATCACTGACCTACTACTGTCACTTTAAAGGAGCATTTAGCTGCCAGTCCAACTTTGTCTGTCACTGTGTACTGGATGGTATACTCGCCGATAAGAAACTTATCTCCGGACTTAAAATTACTACTAACAGTCACTTTCGCCAGCGGATCAATCCCTATCGAGTTGTCACTGTACGTAGGCTTTACCCATGTTACCACCGCGTGATCCTGGTGAAGGCTGTTGTTGGTTCTTATGTTCGCAGGACATGTTATGGAAGGCGGTTCTGAGTCTATTAGATATGAAATAATCAATAAACAGTGCTATAAAAAAACAAGAAAAAATTGTAAGGGTGAAAATTTATGGAGCTATGTTAGTGCGAGTTGAAGGATTATATAATGTTAATTTTAAATCTTGGTTGATTTACCTACCGACACAAGGCTTGTGTTCTCCAGTCCATGTGCCATCTGTCTTACAAAACCGTAAAGTAGACTGGTCTGGTGTACCTTCAAATAAGTAGCCCTTTGGACACTCGAACACACACCTTGAATTAAACTGCAGCTCGGTGGTGACACATTCTGGTGGAGTTACTTGACTGAGAGAGATTGAGTTTAGTTTCGGACACTTGACCGCTGTGAAAAAAACATCATGAAAAAGCATTAATTTTTCTATTTAATTCTTACGCAGTGGAGCCTTCATTTTTCTAATGTGGCAAAATGGAATTTGATTGGTCGGGCACAATTCAAGCGCGTGAAAAATTGCCTAATGTTCATGTAGTGCAATGATTGGGTCCGTTCTGATTAGACTTTGGATTTTGTTTTCATAGTACGTGATGGAATGTTTAGCGTGTGCGTTGTGAGAAAAGGAGCGGGAAAAACACGTTTAAACTTAAAAATTACACAATAAAAATAGATGCGAACCTTTTAGATCCCGGTACATCTCGACATCACTCGAAGAGGCTCTTGCAAAGGCCACAATTATAACACTTATTAAATGATCCCAAATTTCTGGTTAATGTCATTCTTTGTGCACAGCCTCCTGTTTCCATGACATCGTTTACAAGAAAACAACACCCAAATGCTGTGATTGGTGCATGATATCCAAATGCTGTGATACAATTGGTGCGAGATACATACCCTCATGCGGTAATCTGATTGGTGCGAGCAACATACCACTCTACATGCTAACACAGAGTTTTTTTTTTTGTACAATAAACAACTAAAAAATCCGATAAACGATAATTATGGTAAGATTTTACCACTGTTTGCCCTACTTACGTTCGCACGCAACATCTGAACCTGACCAAGACTTGTCCTGTTGACATTGTCTCACTGGAGTTCCTTGTAAAATATAGCCTGGGGCACACTTAAACGTGCACTTTGTCTGATATGATAAATCGTTCTTCGTGCACGTTCCGCTTGGAGGACTTCCGTTAGCCACCTGGATCAATGGACACACGATCTCTGTGGCAAAAATACGCGGGACAAGGTTAGAATTACTAATTGTTTATGGGCAGTCTCAGTGCAGGTGTCTAAGTAGTGCGAGCTAACGTTATTGTTTATCCGACTGCCCATGTTTGATTTGGAGTTAGAGTGGATGGTGGGGATAGGTGGTGGAGGGAAGGGCAAAAAAAGACAGTTAAAATGCTATACACCCCCTGATAAGTTGCACCTCATTGCATTTCCGGAAATAGGCAGGTAACCAATAAGAATTAGTCAACCCTTTAACTCCCACAATTGACTAACATGGAACCTCTCCCTATAATATCCATAAAATATCCAGTAAACAGGTAATGAGAATACTCAAACTTATCAGGTAGAAATTGTAATCTTGATTTAAAGCCAAATTCTTGTAACTATTTTAATCACAAATGTGTAGTAGCTTGAGGGGAGAATTAACAATCAGATCTTGGTAGTTAAAGGATTAAATTAAAAACCGGAAGCACTTCCTTCCAACAAAAGCAAACACACGTACAGCCGATGAGTGAAACGATGAGGCAGTTTTCTTTTCAGTCAGAAGAGAAATGGCTTTGACAAAGCCACCTCTGCGGTCACAAATAAATCCTCGAGTACAGCTGCCGTTAATCTATTTGACAATTTTTCTTTTTTTTTCCATTTGATCGTTAACGATACTTTGAAGCAACAAACAACTGCACTCGATGGTTTACCCGCCACAATTTGTTTGATGCAAACCGGTATACTCTGATGAAACGGTATGGCCGTTTTTCATCAAGGAAAAAAACAGCTTCACCAAAACGTGCTCTGCTGACGCAAATACGAATTGATATTTGCTGCACTCTACGACCCGTTAGTCCGTGAGCATAAGCTACCGTTAATCCGATCTAAGATGCTTATTCCATTTGATCATAAACAATAAATAGAAGCGGACAAACGGCAACTACGCTCGAAGGTTTCCCCGTCATTATTTCTTACACACGAACCAACAACTGAAATGTCAGGCTTTTCCAAAAGTCAGTTGGCAACACGGCCAGTAAATCTCTTCCAGAAACCAGTGTAGCAATTGCTTCTTTTTGTTCCCATTTAAAGCGCGAGACATACCAAATTTTGAAACACTTTGGAGTGCTTCGTCGAGAGCGGAATCGAAACTTCACGATCAGAGTTCGCCATCTTTCTCTTTTCTCCAGCAAAAGCGAAATGCCACGCTCAAATGATTGACAGCTGGAGCAGCAGCAGTCAGGAACTCCGTTTGTGGGCGTACTGGGTATGGCAAAATAACAATGACTTCGGGAGGGCGTAATCCTCACTCCCCCACCCCCACCCCCACCCCCACCCCCACCCCCACTTAGTAAGTGATAATTCCCAATTTTCTCGCGTATCACCCATTTTTAGCAGGGGGACGTACGATTACGTGCTGCGTTTAAACCAATCGCTAACGAGCAAAAAACATATGATGGATCATAACTTTGGTTACCTCTAAGTTTTAGCAGGGGCATATTTGGTCACATGATGCATATGGAACAATCGCGCGCGAAAAACTTTTCCCTTCAATCAAAAATTGATTGACAAAATAAAAGTAATCCTTTTCGTTTCTCACTCAGTTTCAGATAGTGACAACGAAAAACGTCAGGGTAACTTCTTTCCCGATCATCAGTTCATTCCTCTCCTTAAATTTTGCCTCTGAGGGTATGTATTGTGGTATTGTGAAGATGCACCCTCCGCGTTAGATCTTTCACTTGTAATGAGGTCATTTGAAATAAAAACGGCCACAAACTAGGCGATTTTTAGGTAGCTGTCATCAAAATCTGGTAAAAATGTCAAATTTCTTTTCTTTGCCTTTTAGTTAGAGAAAGCATTTACTCGTAAGCTTAATTGTCAAAAAAGTAGTGAAAAGTGTCATAATAATTGTCCTAACTCGAAAGCAAAAAAGCCTCCACCAGGCTGTCGACGTTTTCGCGGACTTTCGTCCTGTCTCGCTTTCCATGTTTTGTTGCACCGTTGAAAAAAAAGAGAATTTCTTTCATTCTTCCTGAAAAGTTGAGAAATAAGAGTCTTCGCGAAACGGCCAAAAAGAGAAAAGTCGCCTTGGGAAAATCTAAGAGGCCAAAGGAGCTGAGGGAAGATTTGTCCTTTTCCCTAACTAGCTTCGCCCACTTTTCCTATTGTTCGCATTTACCAGAGAGCGAGCAAATTGATATGAATTTCGTTCACCACGCTTCATAGGTGAAATTCTGATTAGGCAGGAAAGTTATATCCCCAGGCGAAAAAAACTAAACTATCCATGGAAAAGCACATGTATTAGCAGTTTGAATTCAACTCACGCACATGATGGACAAGGGTTGCGTTTTGAAATTGTCCCTCTCTGTTTTCCTGAGGATTTTCTTTTCCAAGGTGTAAATGTATGAAAGTATTTTACATGATTACAGTGAAGGTATTCCGCACAAAGTTAAAAAGGGAAACATTTGTTGGTTGACAAATTAACAGCTGGCTGACTTACGCTTGCAGTTTAAATCAGTTCCACTCCATTTAACTCCTCCAGAATTAGAAATGACACAGGTCCTTCGTCCATCGCCGCTTAGTTCATATCCTGTTTTGCAAATCACCTCACAGGTGGACAAGTAGTCCTGGTTACAACTGTCCCCCTTAATCATCCCGTGCAAGGGAACTGGAAGTTTGTCACACTTTTTAACTGCGCAAATGAACAACAGACAAGGTGAATGTTAGCAATACGCACTCATGAAAATGATGAAAGTACATTGTAAAGCAAGGCATTGCAGTTAAGGGCATAAATAAAGAGCACAGTCGATAAATAAATAAATAAATAAATAAATAAATACCTAACCTCGCTTAAATACTTCAAATGACTGATGATAGAATGGCTTAATCCTGATGATGACATAGAGGAAATAGTGGCAATAATCTAGATATATAATAGCCAATTGAGATTGATGCCTCAGCTCAATTTCCATTTTCCATCAGATTTATAAGAAACAAGGCTCTTTGACCGCAAACAGCACCACGCTCTATACTTACTTTTACATTCCACATAACCAGCAGGATCACCCTCGTATCCCTGGATGCAGTGGCAGTCACTTCTTTTTGTGCTTCCAATCTTGCTATGGCGTGAGTTGACAGGACATGGCGTGCAGGACTTAGCGTAACCAATGTAGTCTTTGTAGGTAGAATAGGGACACTCTAAAAGCATAAGGCGAACAACATATTCGAAAGAAGCAACAATATTTTAGTCATTATCGCAAAAGCCTCACTCATATATTCAGAACCTTGAAGTAGACAGAATATTTCTCACTTGAACCTTCTTTAATAATCACGAGTACCATCTCCTGTTTTCTTACCAATCTTCTTACGGTCAAAGTGTGCAAGGCAAGGATTGTAGGTTTCACAGACATATAATCTGGATCAAATTATGGCCTCTATCGTGAAATGAACAGACTTAAACATAAACCTCTTTCACAAAAGTGGGCCTAAAGCCCACGTATATAAATCAGCCGTTTTAGTCCTTTCAGTATAATGAATATAATTTTAAAAAAATTGGCAAAAAGTGCCTATGGACGCCTATCACCCCCAAAAAACTAAAATCTGCACTTCGCCGAAATCCCCTGGAAAAACATGGAGCTTTCGTTAGTTGATCTGCTCGTTAGATTCGAATGTCTCTAGAGCGAATGCTTCTCAGAAGTTCCAACTGACTCACTCGAAGGAATAATACTGGATCCCCGAACATGATGATTCGAATCAAAGCCGAGCTCTCGTTCCCGTTGAAACGGTGCAATTTAGATGTTACTGATTTTCGAACCTTCGGATAATGTAAACCCAACACCTTTTCCATTAAAGGTTGGAAGAATTGGGATTCTAGTGAATTTTATTCATGCCATGCGACCTATTTGAATTCCACCTATGATTTCCGGTGATAGGATTCGTGTACTTACGATGGCAGTCGTTAGTGTATCCGCTTCCATATAAACCCTCAGGGCAAGAACACTTATATTCCCCGCTTAGAAGACCGCACGCACAATAAGCTATACCGTCGCAAGAACCACAAAAACTCATTGGCTGATTAATTTCCCAGTCTATCTCGTATGGATCTGGTAAGGGAAAAATTAACAGACATAACGCTTAAAGACTTAGCAAAGGTAAATCACAATCTGCCCACTATCTAGAGATTGTTATCAATGAAGGAGGACTGAACAGCACAATAGGGTGAAAGGATATTGATTAAAAGAAAATTTACAATAAACTAGCATTTTCTTCCGCTTCAAAGTAAGTTTTATCAGAAAACTAATATGGAATGTTCGAATTTTGGAACGAATCTTTCTTTATCATGTAAAGGCTAAACATTCGATCAACTCCATTAATACAAAAAATTAAAATGATTTAGAATTTAGAATAAAAAATTTTGAAATTTTCTTGAGAGTTTGTCGGAGAGTCCTAGTTCTGAATGATTTCTCTGGAGTATTTAATCAAGTGTTCGATCGGTAAATCACTACTGATTTGATAATCCTATCGGGGGGTTAATTATCTTAGTTTATTCGGGTAGATCCAACGATGAATGGCCTTGAAACATTTTCCTTCCGTATACAGGATATTTGGTGAGTATCGTAACCTTACGGGTCTGAATTACCTCCTCTCAGATGATTCGCTAGCTCCCTGAACTGGGTAAAAGAATTATAATGAAATGCGTGGTTGTCATCAGTAGCAAGTTGCTTCAACACGTTCTCGTTGATACCATTCGTCACCCCAATTGAGAATATCTCAATGTTATTTTGTTTTAATGTTTTAGCAATATTGTTAGGATCTCCACCAGCATTCCACATTCCGTCTGTGAGAAGGAAAACGGCCGTTTTAGCAAGCGCATTTGGTCGCTTGTTGCCACTTAAAGTTCCAAATATGATGTCATAAGCGTACTGGAATGCATCGTGCATATTGGTTAATCCAGAACGAAATTTCAAAGCGTAAAAGCTTTTCTTAAAGTTACACTTGTGATTATTAATGTTCAAATCAGTCACGTAATTGATATCGAGGGTAGCTCTGGTGCCAAATAAAACTATCGAAACTCTTGTTGCAGCCAAACTGACTCGTATGTGGCTCAACAACGAGTTGACGAACACTTTTTCATCGTCGAAGCCAACTTTCATGCTCCTGCTCGAGTGATCGTAGTACCACAAGCTTCCAGAGGTGTCTAATAAAAATATAAGATCTGACAATGTATCGTTGTGCGTTCTTTGAAAATTCTCCAGCTGCAACTTGCCCTGTAAATCCGCAGATGTAAAACCGAGGAACGGGAAAGTTACCAGTAGAGTCAAAAGGATTAAATCCTGAGAGATGCCCATTTCCAATTGTGAGATGTCTGGATGATAGAGCTATAACAACTAAAAGTCCGATAGTTGAACGCCGTTTGTAATGTAAAAGCTGACATATGGATGTTTCCCACACTCAAGACAGGTGGATAAACCTTTAACATTTTTCCGTCTTCGTTTAGTAACCTAAGTACATTAATGTCGATGGAATTGCGTATTTCTCTGAAGATTATGCCAGTTCCCTGAGAGATTTTTGGTCGTACAGCTTAGAAAAGTCACACATGTCGTCCTTACAATCACAATTATGGAAGCAAACGACAAATATTATGATAAATTTTAAAATTTTTTTAACTCCCAAAATGCTGATTCAATGTAAATAGTGATAATGTAATTAATATCATTTTCTTATCAATATGCCAGAGCGCACACTTAACTATCAAAGCTTTTTATGATGTAAAATTCTTAAATCGAAAAAGGAAATCCCGTTTTTTGGAATGAACTCGGTGTTGTTTGCAACACATTCTAAAACTAAGGAAGAAACGCTGATTATTTGCAACAGATTTCAATATTGACATACCCTACTGAGTTTATGAAAATGTTATAAGCGGTGTTATTGGTGTAGTGTATGTGTAGAAGACTAATTAGGCACAAAAGTAATCAGGAGGTAGACAAATCTGCTGAAGGAATATTGTCAGTTCACTCAGTGAAGCGGCTTACTCATAAAAACAACTTTCTTTTTATTCGTGTCCATGCAATGCGAGTGTATTCAAATTAGTAAAAGAGTTTCTTCAAAGCTCAGTAGCTATTGATTTGCAATTATCGCTCGTAACTACAACACTGTGTTTAACTTTTCATACCTTGAATAGTTATTAGAAAAATCATCAACTATAGATATATGTAATGCTAACAGGACAAGACTAGTAATTACACTTCCATAACTTTCTCAACCAACGATTTGTCAAAAGATCGGTAGAGTCACTCAGGGTAATTGGCCAGAATGTAATACCCGATTCCGCCAGTTGTTAACAATGAACAAAATTGTTATTTTAAAGGCCTTTAAGTGAAAATTAATTCAGGTTCTTTGTAAGAACAAAATAACCATGCAGGGAGAAATTATGACTCAAACGATGAAGAAAAAATGCTTATTCCTCATTGGTGGTTTCATATTCTGATGATCTTTAAATAAAGGTGTACGAAATCACAATTATTGCTTAACTAAACATACGATAAACATATACATTTATTTCATAGGTACTGAGATTTACCCACAAAAATCGTAGTGAATAAAATTCGTACTGATTCTAAATGTAGCCAATCAGGAGTACGAACGACAAAATTTCACCGTGAAAAATTATCGTTCGTCCAATCAGCAACGCGAACGACGAAATTTGACTAATGATGAATGAACGTACTGAAGAGAACGTCATGCGAGAGCTGTTGCACAAAACCCGCGCGCTTTGAAAAATGGCCGAGGGAACTGTTTACTCAGTTGAAGAATTCATTATATTAAACAGGGCCTTACATGTCTGCTTGTGGATACGATTTGAATTATTCGTGTTGGAGAGATATCATCATAACAGAAGATTCAATTCGCATCCATGCCCGGCCATGTGATAACCACTGTTTCCATTTTCCTTCCGTGAAAACTTAAATCATCATCACGCTTTATGAGATTTTAATCGCTTTTGGACTAATGTTATATCTTGTTCTAGTGATGCAAACAAATCCTGTTGACGATGTTACTCAGCCTAAAAAGGGGTTCTTGTAAGGCTTCATGCGCTGAGACTCACACGAACCAACACAAACACTTGAGAAATTATAACGTTTTTTAAATCGTGGATGAATAAATGTAATGATACAAATTGCACAAAAACATCGGAATGGAGGCTTTGTAAGTTTTCCTTGTCATGGAGAATGAAGACGCTCTTCGCAATTCGCGTTTTTCTTGGTGGATGCTCGTTTTAGGAGTGTTTTGCGGAACTTTGGAGGGAGACCGATCTAGCAGCCATTTTACTCCAAAAATATTTTTTTATCGACGGAACCTTTTACTTTTTTTAAATTCTACTTATTTCTTTGATATTAGTAGAAGTCTTTCTTTCTTCAAAAGATAAACTCAAGTTGTGTTTTTGTCACTTTTTTTTCAGTCCAAAATTCATCATCAACGTGTTAATAACACCTCTTTTTTTAATGGTTAATTTCGCTTCGAATGTTGTTTATGGCTTCAGAGATATATTTTTCTGGTAGATATTGCCATTTAAACAAATTAAGTTGTAAGTCACTTCCTCCACAATAAAAAAGTTACTTTTGAAAGGTAAGATGGAAAAAATGAATCATCTACGCCACATTTGTAGTTTATTTCTGTTTTTTTTTTTCCTATTTTCTATTACTGTGAGTTTAGTACGTCCAAGACTTCCTCCTAACACAGGCCGAAATACCGCAGCTCAGGAAATCATGCTCGACTGCAGTTTTTTCTTTTTAAAGATTAAAATCTATTGTGATTAATCTGGGTGGGTCTATATTCGAATTTTACTCCAAGTTAGTGAGGTCAGACGGCATCTAAATTTGGCCTTAGGTGAATTCTCAAAAGCATGTTACTGGCCGTAAATTGTTATTTCTTCTTGAAACTGAGAGAGTTATAACAAATAAACATAAAGAGTATCGCAGGAGTATCAAGGAGGTTCGAAGGGGTACGAAATACACTGTTGAAACCTTAAATTGCACGTAGAACCCCACCTGATTCACCTCGGTAGAAAATAAAATACTAATCAGGGTCCCTGAGATGGAACGATTAGCATTGGGTCTTGATTGAACAGAATCTTTAGTCAAATCCTGCCATCTTTACTGACACTTTGCTAACCTGTTTACAAAAACTCAGCATAAAAGTACTTTGTCGTGCAAAGTAAATACATAGCTCTCTGATGAAAACCCAAACTCTTAGAAATTTGATATTATCTAAATTTTTCTGTTTTGAGGTCAAATTTCGATTGTCATTTCACGTAAAATCCATTTATCATAAAAAAGAAGAAGGAAAAAAAATAAAAAATATACCATTGCCATTTTAAGATAGAATTAACTTTGCTCCTTCTCCACAGAATTCCCTACTGTGTTTGTTATTTCAGTTAAGAACCAAAATAATTGCAAAGTTCCGGTTTTAGACTTCTTCATACTGTGGTAAAGTGATAGAATATCGAAAACTACAGTTCCTCACTTCTGTTTTAAAAAATAGATACTTTATACATTCCCCACTCTTCTCCTGAGTAGGGTTTCATTTGAATTTTATGTCGTAATGGTTGACCTGAACTAGTTTTCAAGTCACTGGGACGCCTTACGCGCAAATGCTGCCTGTACAGACTCGTTGCAATTAATACCCTGCAAAAAACCGACGCGATATTTCATGGGAACAATAATGTTATGTCGAGATAAACTTTAAGACTACGATGCACAATTTTCTCTCAGGGCGAAACGGTTTGTTTTCAAGTTAGTTATCACTTGAGACCCATTTCACGTCTTAATGGAATAAAGAAGACATCTTAATTAAGTAAAACAAAACAAAGTAATTTGGACGAACGCAACATCTGTTCATATCAACTGTCAATACATCTATCCTATTTACATTTTAAAACCCCAAACGTCAAAACGTATTGGCTGGCCTAGCAATTTCCACAACAGTTGCTAACGATAGAACTTCCACCGCTTGCAGTAACCTAAGAATATACAGTTCACTGACACAGCTGTTTGACACATTCAAGTTCGAGTGCCTTTGATGAACCGTTCACTTAAAGAGCTCCTGGTAAATACTGTCTCACGAAAATATTTCGTCATGTCACAAAAACCGCGACCAAAGCGGCGATTGTCTAACACACCAAAGTTTGCTGAGGAAACTTGTTATTTTAAAATGCTGCGAAAAACCAAGGAAAAGGCAGCAAAGCAGGTATGATTACACTCGAAATCTCGGGAGCAGTTCACTGATAACGCAAAGTGAAGTGAGCAAGTATGACAAAACGACATAAATTTTCCATACTGAAAATATTGCATTGACGGAAAGTAAAGTGCCAGAGTAAACTGCCAAATGCTGTATCTGCAAATTTTGGAGCATTTAGTTTTTATGATCTTAAAAATTGACTACAATTTCATACTAAATAGCAAACTGAACCGTTAGTTGTTTACAACTCTAATGAGCGAATATCGATCAATTCAGTAAGTAACTGAAAATTCAGCGTTGATAAACGAAATTTAAAGGTGTATGATAGCTTTGATCTTATTCTAAAATAAACAGTTTTTAACAAATTGTCATTACTTTAATTAACAGAAAGCTGACCAGCTCAAAGAGGCAGAGCTGCTTGTGAGCAAGGATTCACCTACCTCCCGACGCCGAGGGAAGATGCTTCAAAAAACTGCAGAAAATATAGAGAAAGAAGCGCTGGAGGAATTTCAGTCCACATTCAACGCACATTTAGCGCACCAAGCTGAAGTTACTTGCTATGGTTATGCTGCCAATTCGCATTCGAGTTTTGCCTCGTAAACTCTTAAGCGTGCTAAATAAGTTTCATATCTACAAGTAATTGCCGGATCCAGGCGACGGAGCTGTTTTTTTATTGTCAATGTTTAAAAAGGAAAGCATTTATAAGAAAACCAGGTATGGCAATTATTCCTGTAATAATTTGCATTTGTCGACGTATGCTAAATTAGAGTAAGGTTTTCTTTACATTTCATCCAGATTTTTGCACCCTAACTAGCCTTCTTTGAGGATTTGAAAAGAGTCATTTAGAGATTCAATACAGTTTCGAGTTGATGCAATACAATACTGTTGTTATTCCTGGAGAGGTCGTTTTACCTCATGATTCATAATGGCAATATGTCGGAAGAATTACACGACAAATAAAGGAGGGCACGAAAGTACTTGGCTAGCCTAACTCTTGTTTTGGTGTTAAAGATCATTACCGAAAGTGGTTTTTTTTTTATTACCCCTGAGCAAAGGACCGAATTCAGAAAAAAAAAAAATTTTGGACGAGCCAAGCGAGATATTCGCAATTAATTATTTAAGACGACCGATGGAAACACTTGATTTCAAAACAACAGGAAGTTGAATCGAATGGTAAATGGCAAAACATGGCAGACTTTGCATAATGAACATTTCATTTCCTGATGGGAGTATTTTTTTTTTAAATAGACGCACTATGTTACAGTTGGAAGCTGATTACGAAAGCTGACTCGAAATTTTGATGGAAACCAATCAATTTTTCAGTCGAGTCATATTACAAAACAATATCAACTGAAACTTGACTACTTGGGTAACAGGCGAAAACAAGCAGTTCATAACAAGAAATATACGAATTCACCTTCGTCTGTGATTTATCTTTGCACGACTAACGACTTATTAGCAATACCTTGATGCGATGCATACTTCGTTATATGAAAAAAGAGGTCTCCTTAATATTTTAAAACACAACAACATTTACAATTATGTGTTGTTTTAACCAGCTTTAATCAAAACAAAATTTCCATATAGTGCCCGCAACGGGTAATATTTAATGACTTTAAAAGTTGTTAGTGCTCATGTTATGAGAAAAAAAAAAAAATTTTGTCATTTAGTATAGGATATAAAAATTAATCTTGAAAAATAAAAGAACATTGGTTCTCGACGGTTGCTGAGAAAATAAATGATTTCTGTCAACGAAATAATTACTGAACGAAAAGAACAAAGATATCAGAAGGATAGGGCTGTAACATTATGCTAGCATAAATTTCAGCATAATAGTGAGGCGAAAGAATCTAGAATTATGCTAGAATAATGTGCAAAAAAATAAAGAAATAAATTGATGCAAAAGAATATAAAAATGAAATAAAATAAGCATTTCTTTGACTCTTGTGTTTTATAACAACTTTGCCAAAACCGCAGGATTTCCACATGAGACAACAGTCCATTTCACACTTTTTAACACTTAAAACCACTTTTGGTTACAAATTAGCCAGGCATCACATTTCAAGACCAGACCTAGTCACAAATTGTTTCCCCCGACACTTCTTTCGTGCTCCAGTCGTTTCTTCATTTGTTAACTAAAACAGCTTAATTCATTGAAAAACTAGCACGAGATTGAACATTCACACGTTTACGTTTCATCCATAAGTTAAATTTCCTTTTTTTTAAAACTACCATTGAAAAAATTAACATGTAATTTTTTTTATTTTATCTTATTTATTTCTCCACTCCAAGTAGTTGTAAGTTAAGTTATGTAATAAGTAGTAGTGATAGGACTGAGCAGAGTTCAATTTGGGCTATAATCATACAAGTGAAAACAAGATCGGACGACGGCGTAGCGGGACGAGACGATTTGTTTATCACGAGTTGGCTCATTGAACTCTCGGATAACGAACTGTCCGATAACAGCTTGGCAAGTGAATTAGTGGAGAATAGGAGTTTTTTAAACCAATCATAATCAAGAAAATTGTAATTTTTATGATTAACAAGGTAATGACTAAGCAATTTTAAATCTGAAAAAAAGGAGAGGAGAGGAGAGGAGAGGAGAGGAGAGGAGAGCGGCAGATACCTAATATAGGTATTAAAGTTCTCAAGGCAATCTGGTTGACAATTACTACTGATGAGTTGATGCTACTCTAGGTTAGAGATTTGATAAATGTAACTGAGAAGATACTATTCAAATCCGACATTTCGACACTCCAGCTAGTGCCGTCATCAGGGGTGGTCTTATCGCTGCAACAAGATGTCCTTTTATATGCTCACTAATTAGCTGCGCCTTTTTCAGACGTTTGATTCTACCAGTAAAACTCAAAGAAAGCTAAACAAAATGTTGCTTGATGTGAAAAAAGCTGTTAAGATCAGTGACTATACGTACAAAATGTTACACAGTAGTGACGGCTTATGTTCACTTTTTTACGGTTTACGTTAGGTAGGTAGGTAGGACTTTATTTAATGAGGGTAACATGTGACAGTAATAAAACTGATAACCTGATGGCCTCAAAAAAAAAACTAATAGCAATAGTTGTAACAATATTAATATTAATCAAAATGGCAAAATAAGATTATAAAATGTGGTTATATACAGATTTTAAAATTTACACGAATAATTGCGTAAGAATTTGATTATTTAAAATTATTTTAATAAAGGAACGCTTAAAGTTTTTGACACTAGTACTCCGTTTGAGGTCCACACTTAGTTTGTTCCATTCCTTTGTTGCTCTCATAGCAAACGTTCGATCACCTTCCTTGCTTCTCTTATATCGAGGGCAACCTAAGTTAAGATTACAGAAACGGGTTGATCTGTTATGTGTGTCAGAGTTTCTAATAAGTAAATCATTTATATATTCAGGGGTATTGCCATTCAGCCTTTTGTAAGTTAAAGTGCATCGATTTACATATGATTCAGCCTAAAAGGAATCCACTTTAGGGTGTTAAATAAGCCGACAGAAGGTGTTGTTCTTTTGGCATCAAGAATTATTCTAGCCGCACGTTTTTGAAGACGTAGGACTTTCAAAAGATTTTCTTTACTGCAAGAAGTCCAAATCATACTGCCATAAAGCATTAAAGGCTGAATGATCGCAGAGTAGTATGTGTCTCGTTGACTGCGTTTTAAATATGGACTTATGTGTCGAAGGAGTCTCGTGCGTTTCGCCAACTTTTTGCATAACTCCTCAATCTGGCGATTAATAAAAGATCGTGACCTAACATTACCCCTAAAAGTTTGAAGTCAGTTACATGTTCAATGTCTCTTCCATTTAAGTTAAAATCTATTGTGGTAGAGGCGACAAGGTTCCGCCAACGATTCCCTGTCACCAGCATGGACTTGGTTTCCTGAGAGTTAATAGACATCTTGTTTCGTGCCGAACACACATCTAAATGTTTGAGATCTTGATTGAGAGCCTGTGTCAGATGAGGGACATTTCCCAGCTAGAGGTTTTTGATAAAGTTGTATCATCAGCATAAACTTCTAGTGTTGAATCACGTATACTTAAAGGCATGTCGTTCACAAACAATAGGAAGAGAATAGGTCCTAACATCGATCTTTGAGGCACTCCTTGTAACAACTGTGAACTGGTGGAACAGCAGCCATTTATACGCACATATTGTTTCCTTCCGGTAAGATATGACCCAAAACCACTTTAATGATAAATTATTGGCCCCATAAATAGATAGCTTCTTAAGTAAAAGCTCGTGATTTATCACACGTGTCACCCTTTTCTCATTCATTAAATATTCCGCAGAATTCTGACAGGCGTGGAATACGTAACCTCGTTCGTTGAAAGCTACTACCGTAATATCAGGCTAATTCTCTACGTGCAACATCTTCGGATTTAGTAATCCCGCTGCGTAGATTTTGGGCATCTCGAAGATATCCAAGACTCCTTCGGCGACGGTATTTGCAGCTAGCGCTTTCGCACCAAGGTGCCCATTGCCTTAACCACCAAGACAGTGAGCAGCATTACTAGTTAATGAAGATGCCTTACTCTTTTAAGACATTGTAATAGTTTATTTTACTCAGTGTTGAACGAATAGCTTTAACCACAGGTTCTATTCAAGTTCTAACAGAAATTGTAATACACAAGTCTATATATTACCATAAAAAAGTTCGGATATAACGCGCGCTGTCATTGGTTGAAAGAGCATGCTCTATAAGAGTATAGAGCTGAGCTAAAGCTGTCACACCGTCTGCCAAATTGTACTATGTCCGACCTTTTCCGGGACTTTTCTCTAGTTTTTTTCCTTTGATTGAGAGTGAAATTTCGGAACAGGTAAGTCGGCCAATAGCAACAGATGAACCAAATAAAGGTTTGTGAACATGCCAGGCGCAGTAATTTACGTTATTATAACGTGAGCAGAGACAAAAAATCCTTAATGAATAAACAAAATGGACATTCCGAATTTTGAAGGTTTTCACATTCATATTGCAAGCTTACTTACGGTAATAAAAATCAAACACAGCTAACACTCGTGTCGTATATATAGTTTCGTGTTCAAAAACAAAACAGAACAAAACAGGAATGATAAAAAATAAAGCAGTCAGCTAAGCCTCAGAAATTACATTGGCCGCCCTCTGAGAGAACAACTAAGAGCTTGCTCTGATATCCTTTCTGATGCATTGAGTTGAAGCCAGTCAATTCGACCGGATTTCGCTTGATATAATAGACTAAAAGACTTCAGGCAAAAGTGTTAAATTTGACCTGCCGAATTACTGAGTTTGTAAACTATTGCAGAAAGTAAACTTTGATTGTTTGACATTTTTGACAACTTCAGTCTTGTACAGCCAATGGGATTATTTGAACCATTCTAACAGGAATTCTGATTGGCTTATTGTGACGTACTTTGTGAGAGAATAGAGCATGATGACGACACAGTTGTTTGCTCTGGAAATAAAGTTTGTCTTGAAAATTGAAAGTAAAACGACTACGACTCGCGTTTCTTCCTGCACTTCGTTCGTGCTCTAGCCGCTTCCTGCGTGCTTTACAACGGTATTTGAAATCGTTAATCTCAGAAAGTTAGCAGGCCAAGTGAGCTAAATGACGAAGTATTGCTTAAATTCTTAACAAGACAGAGACTGAAGTTGCGTCATGGCCAACCTGGTTCCTCACGCATGTGCGCTGATTGTTCTCTCGTGCAAGTCAATCTCTGCTTTCGCAAACCGTTGAGCCTTTTCGTCATCCCGTGACTCGAGAACTGAAAAGAAAAACCCCTTGGTAAGGAAAGTGACATTAAAGAACTTAAGCAAAGGTGTTTTAAGACGCGAAGTATTACTGGGATAGGAATGGTATTGATTATGGCATGCCTTGACGCTAAAGCCTAGTTTTCACTAGGGACGCAAGCATAAGCGCAAGCACAAACGCAAGCATAACAGTTCTTATTTCACCGTGAAAAAGGCCTCGACGTAAGCTTAAACACAAGCGCAAGCTAAAACACAAGGATCAAAAAAATTTTACCTTTTCTTGTGCTTGTGCTTGTGTTCGCGTATTCCGAGTGAGAACAAACCGCCGAACAAGCGCAAGGAAGTCTACTTTGATTATGTCTGGCCAATTATAGCACTTGCTCTAGTTTTCCCCTACGCCTGAGCATTTCAACGACATCGCTTTAGACTTTGATAAAAAGTTTTTCGAGGTTGTTCGCTACTATCGAGTCTTGTATGACAAGGGGTGTAAAGATTTTAAAGACAAAAACGAAAAACACAAGCGCGAACTCAAGTTGGCAAGGAAATGGGCATGACGAAAGGTAATATGAGTGATTTGTAATTCCTCCTTAGTGAAATGTAAAGACCAATGGTGGATGCGATTCTTTCAATTCAGGATTTCTCACATCTTAAATTTTTTCATTCTAAAATGTTTCGTTAAGTTGCCAGTTTACTGCAATCTATGTTATTTTCTAAGATGAGAAGCGAAAAGAATCGTTGAAACTATATATCCAAAATACTTTTTTTCTTGGCTGGAGTAATTAATCGAGAGTAAAATTTCTCCCCACAGTCACCAATATCTACCAAAGTAGAATTGTAGTGAGAATCACAAATTGCCAAGGCTAAAAGAATTTTTATAATTGTAATATACAGATCCACTTTTATTTGGACACTTCATACTATCATGTTTTTTATCAATTGCACCAACGCAGTGAGGCAAATTCCATAGGTCTTCGAATTCCTTTGAAATTTCTCTTCAGTCATCAGGCGAACTTGGTGGTCTTACATAAATGTCTCCCAGGGCCTTCCAAATTGCACCGCATGTCTCTCTCAGAATGTGGCTAACAGTGGTCTAGCCAGGGCAGTAACTGAAAGCTAATGATTGTTGATCATACCCATTGAGGGTTAAGCGTTCTGCAGCAGAAATAGGCTCTCTCATTTTAGTAGTCTTCTTGGAAATTAGGGGCCAACCAGGGTCAACAGATATTCTTTCTGGGCTCATGCGTTAGTATCTACAATTAAGGTGGTAAAAGCCTAAAATAACAGTTCATCAGTGAAGACAATTTGGACAATTTGTATAGAACTGAATTTCATTCAATCAGCTGAGGGAAACAGAAAGCTCACCTTAACTTTCTGGAGCTAACAGAGAGTAAAGTAAACATACAAAGTTTACCCGTTTATATTGAATATTTTAAAACTTTCCATCTCTGTATATAAGCTTACCTGAAGTAATATTCACGATCTCCAAGTCGTAGCTCCTCCACGAGGTTGTAAAAATCACCTTAGCTTCTCCTTTCTTAAAAAAGATCCCTAACCCAAAGGCATTTGTTTTTCTCCTCTTTTGTAACCGTTTTCGCTTTCTTCGTCGCAAGAATAGAAGAAATAACAGGACTCGACGCTTTTAGGTGTCTGCTGCCATATCGGCCGAGTCGAGATCAACGAAGCCTTGTTACTAGTAAAAATTTTGTGCTATGATTCTTAAGCTTATGCTTTACGACGTTCGTTTTCACTCGGCATGATTACCTCGAGCTTACGTTTGTGCCTGCGCTTGTGCTTGCGCATGTGCTTAAGTCGCTAGTGAGAACCAGGCTTAACAGATCCGCAGGAAGGTCCAACTATTACATTTCAAACCAAACGCTGCTGTCATAAAAGGTGAAAGGATAAGAACTCTCAACTTTCGGTTGCCTCAAAAACATTTGCGCTTAAGCTCCCTGTCATAATCGTTTTCAGGCAAAAATTTCACCGACACCATCCCTAAAAGATCAGACCAAGTGCATAAGATCAACCGATTTTTATTTCTAATCTTGATGTCTAGGTTCTGCGCGACTCGCAATTATCTCCATCACCTATGGAAACAACGAATAAATATGGGCCTGGAACTTTGTTGGGTATGGGAAAGATATCAGTTTTGCCCCATACTATTCTAAAACAAAACCTTAGTCTTGCAATCCTTAATCCTTACCTTCAAAGTACCGGCCTCCAGGCTTAGGATGGAAGATATTTCGTGTTTGTTGAGGTACGTTAGAAAAGCCTCCTTCCACAACTTCCCGCAAACCGCAGACGTTATTCAAGTTGAAGTACACGTGACCAGCAATATCGTCATTTGAAAATACGTCATAATCCATAACGGTCAAGTGTAAACAGGAACCAGTCTCTCTCAGCAACTCCGGCTCAACATCACTTAAGGAGGGAATTTGACACCTAAGTGTTTGGCAGTAATCAGTAAAATCAACACCAAATCAAGTAATAATTGTACTTACAAATCGAACTGCTCATCGAAAAGTGGAAACAAAGTGTTCTTGATGATTTCCGTTTTTTTCATCTCCTTTCCGTAAAAATCTTCTGGCAAAAGCTCCACCGTCACATACGGATCACACAGCCCTGATGCAAAAGGATAGAAAAAAAGAAAAAAAAAATTACAATTACTAATTTTAATTACAGCTTAAAAGCAGTAAAGGTAAAGTCAACAATGGATACCAAACAGGAATAACCGAAGTTACTGGCTGAAAAAGCTACTTTTTCACGTGGTCAGCTCAAGGCTGAATGCTTATCGAGCAAAAACCTCAAAATTTTCAATAAACAAACTTTTTGTCCTGACGACACTCTTCTATTTCACTGATACTTACAGTTCGTCTCCTTCGGTATTATTTGGATAATTAAGTGAGTGACTTTGGCTGAACTTTGAATTGAGAGGTTGGTTTTAGTTAGGCATTACCTCTCATCGCTGTTCTTCATCCGTACTGAAAAGCGGAGACTACACAGTCACAGCATAACATCGAAAGTCAAAATGTAGGACCTTCAAAACGTCCAGATAAACTCGGTATACTTACCGTTAGTATCTAGTGGTGGAAGGTTCTTTGCATTCAGCACTGTAAGAAGAAAGAATGTGTTTGCACTGCTCATAACAAATCAATTGTTAGGCATGGGCTCATCTAGTTTTTAGCACACTGGACCAGATCAGGTTCGGGTTCTACCCTGACCAGGTCATTATGTCACTTGTCTCAAAGTGCCTCTTTCCACTCCTAGGTAAAACTGAGTATCAGCAGAAAGCTAGGGCTGATACTTGCGGTGGCGGATCTAGGGGAGGGACCCGGGGGCCTGCCTCTCCCCTCCCTCCTCCTTATGGGTAAAAAAAAAAAAGAATCTTGGACGGAAGAAAAGCTGACAGGGCAAGCGACAAAAAAACCGCCCCCCTCCCCTTTTAGCTCAAGGTCTGGATCCGCCACTGACTTGGTGAAGAGCCAGAGGGTGCCTAAGAAACGTTAAAACCTTGGTCAGGTCAAGGAGGCCACCAGTTTCTTGATACTGAATATACAGAGAATACATTGATTAAAAAATATTCCAAAAATGCGCATTGGATGTGAGATGACAAAGACACGTAACCAATGTCGTATCCAACAAGTGCGAAAAAAATTATTGGTTTGTCAGATTCTCACTGTTTTGATATTACAGTGGAAGCTTACTAAATTTATTTTCACGCAAAAAAATTTTCGAATCTGATTAAAACGTATCGAGAGGCACTGTGTACAATTATTATTGTTACTGGGATATTATTGACCCGTAATAGTTTTTCTTGTTTTTCTCTGTTCTGAAGAAGCGTTCGCCTTCAGCCGAAAAGGAAGGCGAAGATTAAAATGACTTTAAATGAGAAGGAAAGAAAAAATTATTATAATCTACCTTCAACTTGAAGCTTCTGGTTATTAAAATCATAGAAAGCTTTAAATGTTACGGCTCCATATTTCTCTTCGGCAGTTTCCTTGCAAAGAAGCCACAACAAAGCAAAAATGAGCTCCATAACAGTGGCAAAAACTCAAAATACAAACGATCTCTCACAGTAAAGCTTTTCTGTGAATTTGAGGTTTTTTTTACTTCTTCATGTATCAAAAAGAGAGAATAATATCTAAAAGGCTCTTCACTGTACCTGTTCTCCACACCTCTCGGCAAAGTAGTGTTGGATTAAGTCTGTTGTGGACATCTTGCGTAAGGCGAGGGTTTCAACCAAAATCTAACGAAACAATTTTTGCGTGGAAATTCTCTTAAAGAAACTTTCCCGTTTCGAGATATTTATGCGACTACTCTAAGACTTAATAGGTAGCTGCTTATGGGAACGTTTGCTACACTTTTCTGGCGTTGATGGCGATCTTCAAAAACCCCTCCGTGGGCCAAGAGTGATCGGCGAGACAAAATGTTATGGGAAAAGTCCTGAGTTTCCAGTGGATATGGCTATGGTAACAGTATGTAGAGTGCACGTGAGTTTGCAAGCTCGCAATATCTATGGGCTGTTCTTTAACAACTCCGAAACAAAGGAAATGCTGAGACTAGTTGGCTAAAAAGTGTGAAGAATTGGAATCTCAAATAAACGTAACAATGTTCGCTTGAAACACTGAGCACAACCTGTGCAAAAGTTAGGAGTCACGACATTTATAGAATTTCCAATTAAGGGAAAAATCCCCCAAAAGTTGAGTCGTATTCTGGGCTGTACCCAGACTAAAACAGATTGGTTGGACTGGTGCGGCGTCGGTGGGGGAGCATAACATGTTAATTTGGTTTTATTGACTGAGTTGATAACTTAAATGGTCACCGTGGAGAGTTTCTAAGCTGACGTTTCGAGCGTTAGCCATTCGTCATGGGTCTGACGAGGGGCCAACGCCCAAAAAGTCGGCTTAGAAACTATTTATGGTAGCCAGTTTACGTTATCAACTCAGTTGATTAAAGTACATTAGCTTTGAAATAACTTACTCGTGTTGAATTCAGCAATGAAGAATTCAGTACATTTGGGACAATTTGAGAAGACTTGGTCTGAAGTTTTTTTTCTATCGGTAACACCTTCAGTGTAGGTTACTGTTTGCGGGTTTGTCGGAAAAGCCTCATAAGAAAAACGGTTTCTGGTTTCAACATTACTGATTATTCAACCGCTAAGGGGTAGCGTCCATAAGCACGAGATAGCAAACCATTCTGATTGCACAAATGATAAAAATCGCTTAATGTTCATGCAATGAACTAAAGAGTAAAAAAGTGAGCTGTTGTTATGCCACATGTAAATATTTCAACGTTACCTTATAGTTTCCCAGCTGCAAACGTTCCAAAGGAACCCCAACTCCATCGGCGTAAAAGAAACTCTGCACTATCTAAAAACAAAAGACAGAATTTTCCAATCAGTTGTAAAGTTGTACAAAAAAACATTACTTGAGTCATTGGAGTTTTGGAATTTCTCTTTGCTGTGTTTACACTTTATATACGCGTAACAAGTTGAGCACGAGAGAAGAAATTGCATATCTCAAAGCGTATCTCAAACATTACCGAGCGACGAAATGTTAACGGGAAGATAACAAAATGATCTTATTAAATTCACAAGATATTTCCAGCTCTCCAAAAGAGGCAAGAGATACACGATTACGTCTCGCCAAGAGTCTCACCTCAAGTGCTTCGCATTGTCTTTGGTAGAAGGACGCAGTTCTCTTATGAAAAAAGAATAATTAACTCTTCATAACTTACTGAATCATAGCAAAACATGTTAAATCAAACAAATAGAAGGAAATTGTAATGTATCATCAACGACCTTACCCCTCCGTTGGCTTTAATACCATTACTGAAGTTTTCAATCACTATTTCCCAAATGAAATGGAGAATTCTGTGAACCAAGAACACGAATAACTCTCAACTAGTTCAAAAGTGTCCATATTCAACAAGGAAATGAACTAGGATGGTAAACGAGAATTGGCGTTGCAGCTTCTTTGCAGTTTTGTCAAGATGACAATTTGGACAGTTTTGGTCCAAGTTTCACCTGGTTCGAGTAAACACTAAAGGAAGAAACGAAATTCCTTCGAAATATCAAGCTGCATAATCTTAAACACTAAGCTCTGAGGATTGATATCCAACTGAACGTTCTCAACATTATTGCAAATAAGACGAGAACCAAAAAAAGGGTAATTTTGGCCTTGCGAAACCAATGATCATGTAAAGGGCTTAATTCATGCCGTATGCAAACCACGAGAAGTGACAGATATGAAGCAGTTTATCTGGATGTGAACATTTTACCTGTGAAACACAGATTTGACGACGCTTGTATTCAGAACCATGAGATCATCGTCCAAGTATTTGAGTAAAGGAACCACAACCTTAAAGTGAAACAACAAAAAAATTGTCAAGTTGATATTAGCCATAACATTCAATATTCCAAATTCGCTATGACGACATTTTCACGCCACGAATTGATTAGAAGCATGTAACCTAGATTATATGCTTCTGATTGAAAGAGCCAAAACAAATTGTCAAGAATGTTGCAGCTGCAAAATCAAAATATATCGTTTGAATAAAATTCCACTGGAATAACGGATAGGTGCTCGAAATAATAGTCGTTCACTTCTTTCCATGAACGCAATCGCAACGAATGCGCCGTAATGATTCGATTTAACGTCCTCGTTCAGATAAGCGCCCCTCGATTATGAGCGCCTCCTTTGAATTTGATTATGTTAATAAGTGCCCCGATTCTAATTAGTACCCCTTTTGATAAAGCATCCTCATTCCAGTAAGCGCCCATATACCAATAAGCGACCCTATCCTGTTTCAGTGACAGCACCGGTAGAGTACGTGTACATTGAGATCAACCACGGTTCATCTTACTGCAATTGCTGATTCCTGAACAAGGAATAAGCGCCATGTTTCGTTTAAGCGCCCTCCCCCCTTGAGGTACCAATAATAAATAATCGCCCCGGGAGCTAAATGGAATCATAACGGTAAATCTGAAAACATTAAAGAAAAACGGCGGAAAGTAAATCAAACGATGAAATAATCCTCGCTGTCATTTTTGGCGATCTAAACAATTTCAAGAGGATGCTTTAAAAATCAGGGCGTCCTATGACAGCTATGAATATCCACTTTACAATATTAAAGAAAATGTCTTTTTTCCCCTACAAACTAGCTGCTTTTGTCACTATTGCGGAGACACGGAGCTCGTTATTGACCTACTCTATGGGTTAGTGGCTTGATTAAAACAACTTAACACGAACGCTGAGAAACATCCCTTTGAGGATCTAATCATCATCTCGTCTAAATCTTCATAAATGAAACTTACTTCTTCAGCTGGCGTGTCTTCTGGGGCACAGCACAGTTGAAAAACAAATCTCTTGATATCGACCCCCATCTATCAAGGAAAAAAAATCAAAGCAAAACAAGAGTCTACCAGAAGAACAGGGATAAAAACGAAATACAAAAATACATATGAACGAGGGGAACCAAAAGGATAGCGAAAACTCGAGAAGAATGCACTGACAAAACTATATTCTTAGAGAAGAAAGGGCACTGTTTTGATGGAGCGCAAGGGAATATATCTCAAAGACGAAAGCTTGACGGGATGTTTACAAGGAAGCGCGAAGGGCCCTTTCACGCGTCCTGGTAAACTTTTGAGCAAGCGCGACAAACGCGCTGAATAAGAAGAAAGAACACACCTTTTTACTAGTATAAAGTTAAAATGAACCACTGTATACGAACCCGTTGTCCAATGTGCTCAATAGCATCGGCAACCTTATTAAGCATGTCGTCGTCTGCACTACATAGCATATTTTCCAGAGCTGAGCGTGCATGCTTTCCACCTCTTTCACCATGCGCTGTTATCAAGGCGTTAATGACATCTTCCCAGCCCAGCTTCTCAGGCAGTTTCGATAACCACAGTCTCATGTATTCAATGTTATTCAAGGTAACACATAACTGAGAGATTTTAATAGAGAATACAAAAACGTCATACTTAAAAGGACTATCTATGAAGTTTCACGAAGTTAGCTGCCTCGTCATTCAACTTATTTTGTTGATCACAAGGATTACCACATACAAGGGAAAGAAGTGCAGGTTGTTCAAATTTCTCAAGTTATATTGTAAGTTATCAAAATTTCTCTTTGAAGCGTTATTTTCATAGAATAGTGTTCATTGGCATCACAATAGCGACAAAGAAATTAATTTGCCAACCTTCAGTTTTGAGAGTATACGACAAAAAGAGCTAACGATAGAATGAAAAGCGATAAAAAGAAGGAATATTGTTGTTGGCCACTTTTGATCAGAGCACATGACTCAAAAGAAGCGTATCTATTCAGAGATTCGGGTTGAACATACCTGTTCACTGACGTCAAACTGAGAAGGATCCTTGTCATAATAGTTATTTTTAATCATCTTGTCGAACAGAAGATCAGCGTAGTATGATCCACTGCTACAAATTTGCTGTGGTATAAAATTTCATTTTTTGTCACTTATGTATAAAGTTAGGTACCTACCATTTAAACGTTGTTTTTAAATCAGAGAGATCATTTGATAAACTCCCGAAAGAGGATTACAGTATTATTCTAATCATGTCGTCTCGGTGAAGTGCACTAATAAGTGTTTACAGGCATCTTACTTACGTTGGTGATGTGCATGACAAACACGTAGGATCCAGATGGGTCCGGCCAAGCCAACTTCTTCCAGAATTCTCGAATCTAAGAGGAACAAAAATGGATTTACATGTACAGCGACAAAGTCAGTCAAAAAGAAGGAAGCAAACAAGTGGGGAGAGAGAAACAAGCCATACACCTAACTCTGTTCATATACCTGGTAAAAGCAACCAACTCCATCGATGGCTGAAGTTGAATGACTAACACTTGCATCAATCCTCAAGATCTAAATGATCAAAGTTAAAAAAAATTTTTTTTCCTTTATCGAAGTTTGAAGCTTGCGATTCCCCGGCAAGTTTCCCCCGGTAAAGGTATGGTGGTTCATCAACCCATTGAGGATTTTCGACAATTAATATATTTAGTTATATTATGTTTATATTATATTATATCATATTATATTGTATCACTGTATGAGTAATTCCTTTTATTTCTACTGATGTATTATAATTAAACATGGCTAAAATAAACAATAAAATAAATAAACAATATATGGTAACGGGCATCTGTCGGTTTTTTTGACAAACAATGGCGAGATTTTTCTGTCCTATGATGTAACCTTCTTGTTTCGAAATGTGCCTCACGGCGCCGGAGACAATTCCCATAATGGTTGACAAAACTTTTTTCGATGACCGGCTAGATAACTACTGACTGCTTCCTGAACAATTACAATTCAGCCCTGTTTTTACTTTTGTCTCGTCACAATTTCTCATCAAACAGAAAATGTTTTGTTAGTCGCTATTTTTCTAGCTAATACTTAATTGTTCAATTCATGACGCTATGTCATTGGGAAAACTGGTAGAAGTAACATCATTATGCAAAAGAGGGGACGTGCTCGAGAGGGATGAAGGATAGAAAAAGTCCTTTGAGGTACAGAAAAACTAAGATTATTTATTCGCCTTAGTCCTGGATTTCTATTACTCCACATTAAATAGCCTCAATATAAAGGAACACGGTACTGAACCCTCTAGACTTACCTTGTCAATTTCAACTGCTCTTTTAATTCTTTCTTTGGCCTTAACTTGTGCAATATCGAGCCAACGTAAAACAGACTGTTTGAACCACCCATGATAGTCATCCAGGGCATACACATGGTCTGGCCTGAAACATAATGATTATGGAACCTTGTTATAAAGGCCTGTTTCTGGCCGAGTGCAAACATTTCTCATAACGGTCGAGCAAGTTAGAGGTTAGTTTATCATATGACATTCGGACCATGCTTGTTCAAAGGGCTTCCACCGTAAGGTATTTTCGAGGGTGCGAGCAACTCAGACAGAACATGTTTCTTCAAATACAAATGTATTGAACTTTAAATAACTTTTAATTTAAGGGAGACCGCTCAAGAAAGGTTGAGGACATTTAAATTGAAATATTACATCAGCATCAATAGCGGCAGGTTATTGTCGAAGCAACTGGAAGTTTCTCTCGATTCGACCACGAGTTTTCATTAAACTGAAAAAAAATAGAAAAAAAAAGAAAAAAGTTCTGGGGCAAGTGGGATTAATTTAGTTCATTTGTTATGTAATTAACTTCAATGAAGCGAAGAAGAGTGTTTATAGCAGATATCTTCTCTTTATTTGTATTGTTTTTATTTGTTTGTTTATATTTATCTGTGGTCTTCTTGCTGTCCTTTATAACTTTCAGTCTCAGTATCAGAAGTGTTCACATCTTCGCGATAACAAATTTAGCTAACAAGATTTGGGCCATTTTTAGACAAAGAGTTAAAGCTATCGATCTTTCCACAGATCATTTTCCGCTCTACTTTAAGAGCGATTAAGTTTACGAAAAAGGACTTTCTTTGCCAGCACTTTAAAGCGTGTCAGTGTACTAGTTCTAGAGCACTGACGATAATTTGTTTTCTTACATTGACTCTCCTATGCTCCGGTAACTAATGACTTCCTTCACGGCCAAATATAATGAAAACAGCTTCTCTCCAACAATGTCAGCGCCACCTTCCTGTTTAAGACGCTTGTTGACATTCCCCATAGTGTTGTGAACATCAGATGCAAGCTAAACAAAATAGATAAATAAAGGGGTAAGTTTCTAAAGGAACTGTGGTGCTGCGTCGGTGGGAGAGTATAACAGGTAATTTAGTGTTAACAACTGAGTTGAAAACGAAAATTAGCCACCGTAAAGGGTAAAAAAGCTGACGTTTCAACCCACAATTCCTCCAATCGCTCTGGCGAAGGGCTAACGCTCGAAACGTCGGCTTTTTTACCCTTTACGGTGGCTAATTTACGTTTTCAACTCAGTTGTTAACACTACATTACCTGCTAAACAAAATAGAACCAACAAAAAAATATATAACATTAGAACATTTCACGATACCTTCGGCACTTTTTTCTGAACCAAAGGGTTACCCAAGTATTTCTGGACGCAAAAAGGAAAATACTTAGCAGTGACCTTAGTTAGGAGTCGACCCCTTTACGCCTGACACAACGCGCAAAACATAAGTGTCATCGACACTTTCTTCGTACATTAAATACGTTCTATGAGAAACTGAAAGGAAGAAGCGGAAAATGCTACAATTTTTTTCATGCTTCTCCAGATCCTGCTCTATCAATTTGTTGATAACCTAATCATTAAAGATAGAAAATATAGCCAAACAGACAAACAAACGAGAGACCAAACTCTAAATAACAAGAACCACAACATTTTTGAAAAGACAATGGGAAAAAGGATAATTTCATCACTTACCATTAATTCCAACTGGTTGTAAACTGTAGTGAAATACTTCACTCCCGTTCTGGTGCAAAAAATAAAAACATAACTGAACGGTAGAATATTAAGTCGAAACTTATGTTTTTGGTTTCTTCAAAATGGCCCCTCGATAGTTTTATCGTATCATTCATTCGCCTCCATTCACTTTCAGTAGCCACATCATTGAGACTAGAGACTATTCTCGCACGAAAGATTCGTAGCAAAAAGGATTAGAAAATTTTGCTATTCTGGCCCTTTTCACCCAATTCACGACGTTAGATAACCGTTCAAATTGACACAAGTTTGCGTTTCAGTATGATCCGAACATTAAAGGGGGAAAGGCGTGCAAAACCTTCTTTGCATGTTCTCGGTCAACTGAAATTGGATCTCTCTATGCATTTCCCAAGGTTGTCGGTTTTCAGATTTCAAAATCTTAACTTTGCCACGAGCCACTACAAACACTTTAAAAGCATAAATTGCGTTGTGTGGATCGCAGCTAAACCTTCAATGAACACTAACACTGCGAATATCTTTCTGTAACAGGCCTTGGCTTGAAACATGTCTGTTACTAGAGATTCAGCAACATCCACCATAGCAGATAGCATAGCCTCTTCGTTCTAAAGAGCAAAAATAAACGTAGTCAAATTTACAACGAAATCTTAGCATGGTCAAAACCCCGTATACAAATTTTTCATCTGAACAAGTAATCAAGCACTCTTTTGAACAAAATCAACTTATTTCGGAAAACATGTCTTATTGTGTGCAAAGCATGTACAGTGAAGCCACATGTTGTCCACATGCTACCAGAACTTACTATGAAAAATAATGGTGAGAAAATAAGCCATGAATGGCTGTTTGGCATTCATCACAACGTGAACGCGTCCCATAGCTAACAAGATGGCCCTAGGGTTTCCACATAATGAGATACAATCAGGTGAAAGCATGAAATCAAGGAATAGTGAGTTGAAGCCACAGAATGATAGAACAAAGATTAGATGGAAGTGAAAAGAGGTCTCTTCCATCGAAACAGACAAACAAACAAATAATAATAAACACAAGAAAAAATTTGCGATGCGCCTTCACATAGAAGGCTTACGCGTGGAAGAATACTGTCCGATTCCCACTTACAAGATGAGCGTCAGGACGATTACTAGTCTCAAGCAAAGTGCAAAGTTAACCAAACCTACGTTTTGAGTAGAAGGCATAGTCGACACGGGGGAAGAAATTAGATACAAGCTAGGCACGTTTGCGTGATCAGGATTAAAAGTAAGGAGAATAGTAAGAATCGAAAGTAAGATTTATATGAGTAAGTGTTTCACAAAAGAGGACGGAAGCTCAAACCCCATGATAATTTGCATAAGTTTTGGCCGAAAACATCAGTTCTGTTTAATAATAGTGACTGTAAATTGAAGTTCCAGGTGACAGTTGGATGCGAAGTCAATATTAGCTTCAAGCTCTCCTCTTCTACGCGAAACTGCCGAAAACTGGCGGTTTTTTTTTATTGTTTCGTAATTGTGTAATAAACCCTGATCCTTGTCCGTGGAATTGAGGATTGACACGCCCAACGAATAAATGAAAACGGGTTTGCCCTTTTCCTGCTTCTCGTTGCATCTCCATCAGGTTGGTGACAGAGAACTTTGATGAAGGAGTAGGAATTCACGGCGAGCATAGTTGGTGTCTTTATTCTAGGAGGGAATACCTTGACAAAAGAGCCTAGATTTTATTTAGATAAGGCTGAAATATTTTCTGCGTTTGACTCTGCTTTATATTTTTGCACATTACTGCGCCAAGGGCACGCACCTTTTTCTTTACTTAGGCAAAGTCTGTGATCCAGACGAAACTCGTTTGGTTTTGAACTAAGTCCGCAATTTGTGTGATTTTGACGGAAACAATTTTTGCCCCGCAACCAACGATAACCCCCAAAATAACGAGCTATGGGCAGGTTTTAGAAGGATAAAACAGTACAACAATCAAGGCTCAAAAGTTTGGGGAACATACCTTTGTCTGAGGCTCCTTCCATGCATACACTTTCTTGTACCAAGCAAGAGCTGATTCCTGTATCAAAAGTTACCCAGAGGGGTAAACAACATATGTACAATTAAAGGTTATCAGTTGCCAGTCAGCTTCTTTAAAGAAGTTCAAAACTTGTAAGGTTGAGTTTTTTCATAGCACCTAAAACTTATCAGAGGATGCCCTCCAAAACGGATAAATTGCTGCTCTCACTCACCTTAAGAAGATTTGACATTTGAACATTCAATGGTTCCTTAATTGAATTCTTGAAAACTTCGAGCTTGTATAAATTTGACAAACACCTACAAACAAACAAACAAACAAACAAAAGAAACGTAGCACATCAATGGTTGTGGCCGCATCCAGGAAGAAGATCTATAATGGAAAAATGAGGTGAGCTCGTATGGTAGGATAAACTTACTCCAGTAAATTTATCAAGCGACTGAGCTTTCCTTTATCTGTGGCAGGGAAAACGTCTCTATATTTTATCAATAACCTCCAACAGTTATCTGTAAATATCTTTAACGACTTGACCAATGAATGTTCCTGAAACATGTAGAAGCAAGATGCAGGTTATCGCATAATAATTTAAAAGTTTCAATCACAGCTACAACCAATAATAGTCCGGGTTCAGCTGAGTAAAGAGCTTGAAACTAGTTTGAAATTCATCCTAGAAAAAAAAGCATCTCTAAACCTAAGTTCCACAGTTCTAAGTTTGTTTTCCTTACACTCATTTTTACATGTACCTCTGGTTGGCTGAGTGCCCCAGTTTTCCATTCCTTCTTTAGAGTGCTCACTAATACGTTTAAAGAGCTGTACTTCATTGGCTCAAGCCAGTGATGGTGACTGAAAAGCATCCAGCGACTAAAAACATGTCAAAATTTAATAAATCAATGAAAATAAGTGATCTGAAAACTTGCTTCTTCATATCACATTTCTTCTGTAAACAAAAATATTAGTGATAATTTTAACTTAAAGGACACTTGGAAACATCACTCTGTCAATTGTGCACAGTCTTTTCAGTCAGTTGTAAAATTAAGTCTTTACGCATTTATAGTCGCCCAGTTCTAAACTTCACGCGTCAAGCTGTGCCTCCCACACATTTGGTCTTGATACTCTGACAGGTATACGGGCTAATCCCTTTGGTTGCAAAAAAATTATTCTGCTCGTTTTATGCACAAATTCGATCGGTTGTAAACATAGTAATATGTCAGTTCTATGCACTCATTCGGTCGTTTGCGGGAATTACTCTTTCAGTTACACAGACTTACACGGTCACTTGTAAAAATTACCCTTCGGTCGGTTTTACTACCTAGCAAATGTTTATATTACATAATCGTATTAATTCTGCTTTAGCGACCAATGCATCCCATGTGAACATCTCTTGGTACCTCATTCGTTTGTGCCGGGAAGAAATAGAATAAGGCAAATAAATTGTAAAAATCAACTAATAACTCACATGCTGACTTGTTGAAGATCGTTTAACTCATTCTGTAGAGCATGTTGATGAAGAATGAACTCCGCTTGTGGACAGAGCTCAGTTGAATTTCGTTTGCTGTCAGTGTCCTATGAAAGTTCAAACACAGACGTTTCGCACAACATATACGCGTTCCAATTTTCAAAGAACAATATCAATAGTAAGACCTTTCATTTGGCCAAAACATTTGGATAATTAAGGTATTATTTTAAGCGTATTTCAATCGTTTGGAAAATACAGCTCGTTTTATGGGCAATTTAATTCACAATGTAATTCTTCCTTTAAAAAATACTTAAAACAAAGATTTCACTTTACTCATTCTTTTCATCTAAATCTTTGTAAGAATCATTAATAATAATTGCCGATACCATTGTCGTTATCTTCAAAACTAAAATTCAGTTATTAATAACTCATTTCAATGTGTAATTACTAAAAGGATACGACGTGACTGTAAAGGTGGGGCCATGCCACCCACTCTGAAACGCGATAACATCACAGCAGCAAAGCATTTTCAAAGGTCCAGACCTCTCCATGATCTTACGTGTGTTAAGAATATAATTCAGTCCACAGCTACTGCATTACTACACACTGATATTACAATACAATTTATTTTACGTCGGTAACGTAGGGGGTGGTTACCCAATCCCCCGAGCCAGTGGCTCATGTTGAAGACTTACACTTACATTACTACAAATTGATTATAAAGGAAGAAAAATATCATTAAAGCTAACCTGGTAGTTTTCACAGCCATAACGAATAAATTCTCTTAAAAGCGCACCATGGATATCCAGGGTTGTTGGATAAAGATGCTTGATTTCATATGGAATGTCAGGTTTCTTGAGAATAAAAATGAGTGTAAGATCATCTCAGCAATATATATAGGGTGTATTATTATAATTATAAACAGGGTAACAAGCGAATTTTAAGCGAGTTGATAATTTCAAATATGAGTCTTTCATATGGCAAGTGCTGTAAAGCCACAAATGATAACATCTCCCATCTCATTGGAGTATCTAGCACCTCTGCACAAAAGGTGTCATAAACTCACTAAGTAATAAATCGCTATATCCCTTAATCTGACCGACAAGACTGTTGGCTACATTTGGCAACATTCTTCGCGACTTTGGTTAAAAATAACACTCTTTTTTAGATCTTTTCTCTCTTTTTTTCTAACTCTTGCAATCCAACTTTTTATTGTATAAAGGTTCAACCACATTCACTCGATATGAAAAGGTCATTCCAACCGTAACTTTGCGGAAGAAATATTGTTGGAGAATGAATTTCTGCCAAACTGGCAGAGAGAATGGGCAAAACAATATAATGCAATTACCGTATTAATCAAAACTATTACAAAACTCTCGAACGTGATTAGATATAGCCCGACAGACAGATACCAGCCCGATTTGAGCCGACTACTAGGACAGTGTACGCGTCATGCTTGTAACTGGACAGTGTAATAGGACAGTTAACACGAAATGCCTGTGTAGGTGGACAGAACGCTTCATGTACACGCTGTTGTCTCATATTTGACCGAGTTAACTGTTGCTTTTTTGTGAAAACGTAAACCGATGTCTAGTTTCTTTCTCAAATTTTATCATAGTTTTGATTAATTGGTAACTGGACTTCGTGACGTCCAATTGTGGCTGTCTGTAATCATACTCGTAATTAACAAAGCGGGCTCCCGCTTCGCGGTCGTCCGAGTTTGGTAATCACTCCTATAATTACAGACTGGACTGGACTCCGCTCAGTTCTATTACCATTATTAATCGAATCAGGAGTAGTTAACTTAAAAATCATTAAAATTGGTTAAAATGGAAACAAATCGAACAAAGAAATCCAAAATGGAAAAGGGGAAAAACGGAGTCTGTGCGAAGTTCAGTAATTATTTTCAATTTGTGTGAATGCTTCCTTGATTTTAGTTTTAAATCTTTACTTCTGACAATTTGCCAGCCTTGAAGAGAAATTACAGGGCCTCGGTAAGTTACCTTTCCAGTAGTAAGGGTAATTTTAAGATGACAGTGACCATCCACGTGAGATTTTGAAGAACGTCCTTTAAGCTTGAACCACTCGTCAATGCCAGCGGCTGGAATTTCCTGAAAGAGATTGTACCCAATGCTTATGAGCTGCAAATCCAATATTGGACGGAAAAAACGCGTTAAAAAATCATCTACCAGACAGTTCACATTAAAATAACTGAACTTTGAACTGAACAATGATTTAACAAGTCGATACAATAGACAACTATTTTAGAACATTTACTGCGCGTACTTGCAGGGTGGTAATGGCTGTAGGGAATTTGAGCGGTTAAAAAATGCGACCTGAGTGCTGGAAACAAATCTTAACTTTGTCCAACTTGACGATTTTGAAAGGTAGCACATCATCAGTACTTCCAGTGTGTTCAAAATAAGATACATACACAAACCGACAAGAGAGCAGGTAATGTATATTGCTGTATTTGTATATATTACGAAGCAACATAATGACCAGCTTCCACTTGGCTTGTTAGCTCAGTTGGTAGAGCACTGCACCGGTATCGCAGAGTTCATGAGTTTTTGAAAGGTAACACATCATCAGTGCTTCCGGTGTGTTCAAAATAAGATACATCCACAAACCGACAAGAGAGCAGGTAATGTATATTGCTTTATTTGTATATATTACGAAGCAACATAACGACCAGCTTCTACTTGGCTTGTTAGTTCAGTTAGTAAAGCACTGCACCGGTATTGCAGAGTTCATGAGTTCAAATCCCGTGCAGGCCTGAATTCTCTTGAGGCCTTATTTAAACTTCTGCTTAATTGTTGTTCATTACTGCGAAGATCGATCTTATATTTATTTCTCAATCTGCAGTTAACACATATCATTTTCCTATATTTATAGCTATAGAAGCAAACTTTTGTTATTAGTGAGGTCATCTATGTATCTTTCCTCTAACAGATCATAAGTGAGAACCAATCACAGCGTCAAAGTTTGTGTAATTCAACTTATTATATGTAATTAGGAATAGACTGCAGGGGGATGTATTCCTCTTTTTCGATCAGTTACCACTGCCGCGATGTTCTCTCTATTTTTCTTTCTTGCAGCTCTCTATTCCTTATCCGCTGTCTAATTATACATAAATATTGTTAAAATAGTAATAAAGAAAATAGTTTGGATTGGACTGATTTGTACCTTAATTGGTATTTCAATGTATCCGAGGAAATCATCAGTATTGCCATCCTCTCCTGATTTTCGAGCTGACTGCATGACATCTTTGAAAAACCTATCAACAGATGAGATGAATAACTGTAAAGTGTCACATAATGTCGCAATTCCCAAGAGTATATGAAGAAATTTAGGACGTGCAATTGACTCGCTAACCTTAAGACTCACTACACACAGCCTGCTGGTAAACAATATGACTCTTTCTACACAATTCTTAGTTACATTTTCTGTCTCTAGTGTCTGAAAATGTAACCAGTATGCATTGTAAAGAAAAAAATCACTGAGGTAAAGGGAGATGTTGCAGTACCCATATTCACACTTTCTAAGAAACATTTCCTTCAACAATTAAATATCTCCTGAAGAAATTAGAAAATGCCCAGAAAAAAAACCTTTTTACAATCGTTCAATTTTTTAAATCTTTCCCTAAGTCTGAAGAGCAGGTGTCCACACTTATTCAAGAATTTGTTAATCAGTTTCATGTGTGTAGCCACATTAACATGTGGCAGAGTGCACTACGTTCAATGAGAAATAAATGGGAAATCGCCAAATGGCCAAGCTATTACTAGCATCTTTGACTGCAAAACTGTTAGATTTGATTGTTTCAACCCACAAGTAAAATTTAAACTTAGATTTCTGAAAGAAAGTTGAACAGAGGGTAAGAAAAAGACTCTAGTGTTCATATTTCACCTTCCCATTCCAGAGATCCCTCTTATTTTTGAAAGTTTTCGGTCTTCTTCCTTAAGTAATGCCTTGTCATCACAGTCCCTGAAATCGAGAGTGACATAATTCGATGAGTGCAATACGGTTTTTTAAAACCAAAGACTCCTAATGTGAGATTTGCATCCCAAATGGTTCTTGGTGGCTAAGACCTCGAGACCCCCGTGATCCGTATCAGACCAAAAAACACTTGCATGCAAAGACTTTTTTTTTAACAAATAGAGAAGCCTTGACTGTGCTCTGTTCTGCTATAAAGCACGCAGGAAGCGGCTAGAGCACGAAAGAAGTGTAGGGAGAGACACGAGACGTAGTCGGGAACTTCAGCCGAATTATGGCTCATAAAAACACGCGAGTTTTTCACATGACAAGGTAGAAAACAAACTGTTCAAGGCGAGTGTTTTTTGAATGAACGACAGCCGAATTCACCGGAACATGAAGATCGCTCGGAATGACAGCGCCTCAAAACTCGGCTGCATTGACTGAAGTGACTTTCCACAACGCATCGGAAAGGATATCAGAGCAAGCTCTTATTTTTTCACTCGAAGGGCAGCCGATGTAGTTTCTGAGGCTTGCTTTACTGCGATGACCGGAGATCGCCAAGATGAGCGAGCCGCGATGGACTTCAGCATGATCATGATCATGATCTCCGACACCGTCATGATTAGTATGAATTTTAACAGTTATGCCAGTTTGGTTATATTTTGGTCATCATTTCTGTTTTGTTCTGTTTTGTTTTTGAACACTGAACTTTGTATACTATATGAGTGTTCGCTGTGTTTGATTTTTATTACCGTACGTAAGCTTGCAATTTAACTGAGCGTGAAATTCTATTGCCTACTTTGTTTTCCCTTCGTATCTACTCACGTTTTAATAACGTTCCAAGATAAAGCACTATACACTGAATGACCAACAATGAGACGCTAGCAGGAAGAACCTCTTTTCTCAACTGAAGATGGAGTGACTGTCACACTTTTTACTGATGCCCAAATGAACATATACGTATTTCCTCCCCCAAGGAAAGTTCTATTCACAGACCCGTGGTGCAACTATGGGCTCGCCCTTTAAATATCTATTATTTGTCTGCAACGTGTATATGAAGGACTTCAAACAGGAAGCTTAAAGCATAGCTAACACATGGCCTTTGATGTGCTTGTTATTTAACGTTGATGTGCTTGTTATTTAACCATTAGAGGCAGTGATCAATGCTTCAGTAAAATTATTTGTATTAAACCTATCGTCATTTATTTAAATTTTCAATCTAAATATTTCCCTTGTGGTCTGCTTCGTTCCCTAATGCTGTAAAACTTCAACACTTAATGTTTTGAAACAAAAAAAAAACATTTGCTGCTTTTAGTACGATTATCTTTTGACTACGCTATCGTAAATGATACTGAAGCAATGAGACCACAGAAGCAAATTGTTTATAACACAATAAAAAAAGTGAGTTAGCAAATTTAGCTTGAAAGAGATAAGAAAGACTTGCGTTTGTCGCCAACAAAAAACTCGCTGACGCGATATGTAGCGACCTATCACCAGAAAGATTTGAAGAATCGATAAAATGCACGATATATCACCGATATATCGGCGATATATCAGAGAACAAAGCGCGATATTTAGCGACGAATTTTTGGATTACTTTTGCACAGTACTGCAGCTGTAGTGTTTGACTAAATACCAGGTAGCCGGGCACGGTCTCAAATCGACTAAATGCTTAGCAGTCGGAAATTTGCAAAGAATTTCCACCGAAAGCTTCTTTCAAACTTCTAAAGATTATCAGATGTTTTTTTAATGAATGTCAAGTGATTCCATGTTAATTTTTGGAATCGCTTGATATTTCTAAACAAACATTAGGTATTCCCGAGACGTTTGAAAGAAACTTTCGGCGGAAATTCTTGAAAATTTGTGACTGCCCCCGTTAAGTCTATTTGAGACCGTGCCCGACTGCCGGGTATTTAGTCACAGCGTATCTTTTAGTACTACAGAGAAAAAAAGCTATAAGTACCAAAGGAAATGTCAAAGAGAGGAAAATTTTCTTCCACATAACCTTGTTAAATGTTTTACCATACATAAAATGTCCAGACTACAGAAGTTTCATTGTTATAACCAAAAATGTATTTTTTAATAACTTCCCCAGCGTAGGTGGGTTATATACTTTAGTTAGAGTAGCAGTAGGATAAATGGGAGTCCGAGCAATATTTACATTGTGTACTCACCAGATGTCAAGATGCAATTTCTCTTCTTGTGAGTTGGTAACCTTCCTGCAAAAGCCAAGACAAAACTGCAAATAGGGCATTGTATTACTGTGAAGTTTTTTACAATCGGAGATCCAGAAAATATACTTACCCAATACAAAATATTGTGATTTGTCAGTGTCTGGCAAATTAATTTATCGCCCGAAGTCTGACATCAAGGAAAGTGATTCTATTGCTTGCCACCATTTTTATATTCAATGTAACTGGCCGTAACATTAAATAACTGTAACAGTTAGGTTATGAGAAGCCCTTTCTTTGCACAATTTGGTGCTCAAAGAGGAAATAAAACATCAACAGAAGGAAGTTGAAATTTAACGATGCTTTGCCTGCAGGTCACCACTTCACAAAATTTACCTTAATTTGTAAAATGTAATTTCAATTTTTGTTGTTGTTAAAATTCCATGAATGTGATTTGTGAAGCCAACAGTTGGAAAGGGAAGAAATTTGGGGAAATGCAAACAGGTACAGGTACTTATTGTGTTCTAAATGATCATGCTATTTTTTTTAATAAGAAAATTTCATACATTAATTGTTACTGAGTTCAGCCATTCAGTTCAGCTTTATAATGATTCCATGCTTCAAGGTGAATTTTGAGTGATTCCCTCATATATGACATAGGCATGCGTAGCATGCAAGAATAATTTTTTTGGCTGGGTGGGTTGAGATGGAACAGTTTGTGTATTAAATGAGAAAAGAGCATAACTTTCAAAAACGGAAATATCGCAGAAAGACAGAAAAAAACCATAGTTTATCTGAACTCACACAGACATTATGTGATCTATTGTCTCTACTGTCTAAATCTTTCTGAGTAAAAATGAAATGCATCGGTGCCACGCTTACTGTTGTCTCCTTTGCAGCCTTTGTTAGGTCTCGTCACACAACGCCCTCTATATCTCGTTTGAGAGAGAGCGCTTGTTGCGTGACGAGACCAAAAAACGGTTGTGAAAGAGATTTCTCTTACTGCCGTTCTTCCAACAGAGAAAATCAAAATTATTCGTCTACTGCTAGTTACCTCAAAAATATAACTCCGCGTGATTTTACTACGAAGAGATAACTGAAAGTCTGTTGTACCTCTAATAGACCTTAACGAAAGATGAATTCGGCGATCTCGAATAAGTGAAGATACATTGAACAAGAGAAAAGGATAATATTTCAAAGAAGGTTCCTTGATTGGTTGCCCTCTGTGTATGAAATACGTGATAAAATGCAGGTTGTTACTGGGATACCTATGGTAGCCCAGTCATAAAATGCCTTTGTTTTTTTGTCGTCTTTTTTTTTCCTCCGCCACAAAGTGGAAAAATTGCGAAATAGTACCCAGAGGTCATTGGGCCCTCAACACCATGACAACTAACTGTGATCCAATGAGGTGTTCACATGCTGATCACGCATGTTATCTTGATGATGATTGACGTTGTCATGCAAGGACAGGGCCGGGTCACATGACGAACCACGAGATTTTTGCTTATAAAACTCTTTTGTCGGTCGTTTTGTATTTGAACGCGTTTGGATTACGGTCACCTAGAGCATTATGGCGCAAACGCTCAAAATGCTTACAGACGCATACACAAGTCGTATTGTTCGCGGCCAATCCACACTAAAAGATGTTATTGAGCGGTAATTTTGGAACGGATTGAGTCGCGAACGCTTGAAAGCCATGAAAGCCTTGTATGCCTTGTATGCCAAGTATGGCAATGTCTTAGTTGGCAATGCCAATGTCTTAGCTCGGTAAGCTGTAAGATGGCATGTTATTATATACCAGACGTAGAAACTCTTCAGATTCTCAGTCTGCATTTTGTATCCACTCTGAAGTCTGCAGTCTATATTTTGTATCCAGTCTGCAGTCTGCTGTCTGCATTTTGTACTAACAGGTATCCGTGGTATCAATACAGTTTATTTTTGGTTACATTTATTCGCACAACACACATAATCTACCACAAAATACCTGTGTGTGAGGTAATTCGACATTTTCGTTCTTTTCCGCGTTAATACTCTTCTTTCCTTTTATAAGAATGTAGACCACTTACAATGTTTCAAGTAATCCACCCACCCTACAAAAAATAACTCTTGCATGCATAGCGTGCCTATGTTTTGAAGTAGGTGTATGCCCTTGGCCAGACTTGAGCTCACTATTTCAGTATACTAGTACGACACCCGTAGTATCACTACAATTGATTCCAAGGATCCAGTACCATCCAGGTATCCCAGTTACCCTGCTCACAGGGTCTAGTTTTACAAGGAATGAACACGTAATTGGGTTAAGTCAAAGGTAGCTTAAAACCACTTTAATTCATAGAAAAGTCAAACGCGGGAGAATTGCGTGGAAAATTCAATACCACTAGCATTTAGTTCCATGTGGATTTTTTCCAGAGGGTTCAAATGGCGATAAAATGCAGGTTGTTTACAAGAAAATGACACGTGATAGAGCGAAGTCTAATGTGACAAAATGGAATTTGATTGGTGAAATACAATTCAAGCAAGTGAAAAATTGCCTAATCTTCATGAAGTGCAATGATTGGGTATGTCCTGATTGGACTTGGACGTTGTTTATGGTACGTAATGGAATAGTAGTTGTTTGGCGTGAGCGTTTTGCATTTCTGGCTTAAAAATGTAAATGCAAACCTTCCATATCCCGATAAATCTCGACCTTAATCGACAAGGCTCTCGGGAAGGTTACAAACCATTACACTCAACAAATGAGCCCAAAATTTCTGGTTAATGTCATTCTTTGTGCACAGCCCCCTGATCCATTACATCATTTACTAGAACATAATACCCAAACGCTGTGATTAGTGCAAGATATCCAAATACGGCATTCCGATTGGTGCGAGATACATACCTTAATGCAGCGATCTGATTGGTGCGAGATACATACCCTAACGCGGCGTTCTGATTGGTGCGAGCAACATACCATTCTATACGCTAACATAGAGTTATTTTTTATTAAAAAAAATAACTTTAAAAGCTTCCATGAAGTTGTAGATGGCACTTGCTACTCACATCATGAATGTTTCATTCCATACTGGATTTAGAGTGTTTTCTTTCACAGTTGTCATATGCATAGACTCGCCATCAAGAACCTCTCGGATTGTGCTCTTAGACTTCCTACGATGTGCTCTGATATTCTTTATTTTCTCCTCTTCCTTTTCATCTGTTATTAACCCTAACATGCAGTAGGGATCACTCAAACCTGAAGAAAAATTAAATTCAATAAATTTTCATGTTTTAGTTTGAAAAAAAATATTAAAAAATGCTCTAGAAATGTCTCCAGTTTGGAATATTAAGAAAATTTGAATAGCATTTTATGTTTTTTATGCATTTATTTATATCAACTGTAAATTTAGTGCCTTTCCAGTAATGTAAATAGCTCCGGAGCAACAGAAAATAAAATCAGCGCAGTACTTGAATTAATTTTTAAAGTTTCATACCATCTGCATCTTTTGCCTCCAGATGTCTGGCCTCAACAACTAAATCAAATAAAAACATTGAAAGGTATCTGAGTAACTGAAATGGTCATAAGTGTAAAAGTATTTTCAATTTAAGTTAATGGGAGAAGCGTAATCAATTTGTTGCAGACATAAGACAAAGGGAAATTTCTGAATTGAAATAATGACCCTTAACCCTTTAAACCCTAAGAGTGAGTAACATCTAATTTCTCCCTACAGTATCACTCCTGAATCGCACATTAAGGTCATGAGAAAAAAGTAAATGGTCTCCAGAGAAGGAAACTTTTGATTGGCAAACAAATTCTCCTTGTCAGTACCTTAGGAAATGTATAAAGAACAGTGTGGAGAATATGCATACTGACGATAGGGTGTAAATGGTTAACTATTGATCATATCAGCTGCAAAAAACTTGTGGTATATTGAAAATACATTCACATTATTATGACCCTTATTATTCCCAGTATACTAATGAGATCTTAACTAACATAGGGCTAATTTATCATCAACCAGAGACCGAGGTCATCAATTTCTACCAGAGAAAAACCAGTTTAGTTCCTTTTTAATTTAGTCAAGAGTCTTCGAACTCATTCTGACTGAAAAGTGTAATGGTTGTGACCGAATATTGCAGGTGAGGGAACACATAGAAAGGAGCCATAGAAATCAAATATTGATTGTAAATGTTACCTTCAACTTTTATGATACACGTTGGAGGCTAAAAGATATTAAAATGAAAGTCAAGTACAAGTGGATTTAAAAAGAAATAATGAAAATTTTTCACAAATTTTAAGCTACCTTTGGCGACAAACAAGTTTCCTACCTTCAAAGACTAAGACCTGTTATTAGCTGAGTTTTATAGGTTTTGCCTCTTGATATCTACTTGCATCGAGGTTAATGCTGACTGATTGTGAACCTGACTTGTATCCTCATTAATTTATTAAAATACTATTAACAGAACACGAATTTCCTCCAACTTACTTCTCTTTCTTTTGTCTTGGCATAAAGCATTCGATGTGTCTCTTCAGATATTTTTAGGGCCTGATGTGAAAAAATAATTTAAATACATCATTTAAAATTCATATGGACGAGTTTAAAGGTAAACAGTCCACTTTTGTGAATGAATGGCATATAGAAGGAAGTTTTCAAATCAAAACAAAGACCCAGAAGCAAAGACAACTTATTTTCAAAATAACATGCCAACTTTGAAAAGAGCATGCTCTCCAGCTCTCCTGATTTGTCCAAAACTTGCCAGATATAAAGGTTGGGGCTAGCAAAACATCGCTATTTGCCTTGTTTGAATTCTTAGTTCATTTAAAGCACTTCTGAATCAATTCGTGATGTGTTATGCATGATCTGTTCACAACAGTGTTTGTATGTGGTCACTGACACCGATGTTAAATTTTCAGGATTTATCTAGAGAACTATTTTTGAGGTCTTTTGAGGCTTGTATGGAAAAAGTTTCTGCTGGAATAAATTGCGTTTAAGTTTGTTGAATTCCAAATAAATAAACAGGGCTCAGCAATAAAAATTTTGTGATCTTTCTTTTGAACAGTTTTTACTGAGACATTTCTTTCTTTTCTCCAGTCAATGTTTGACATTGTTTCAGCGGGGAAAAGTCCCATTATAGTACCGCATCCAAAGATGAAGACCTTTTATGACTAAATAAGGAGACAAGAATCCATCAGTTCTCATACAATTCTCGCTGGCACTTAGTTCAATGTGAAAAAATGAATAGAATAGTCCATCTAGTTGTGTGTTTAGTTGCCAAGCCTTTTAGCTGGAGTGAGGCTAAGGGTGACCTTGTTATGATACAATTTTGCTGCTTTTCAAATGTAAATTGTTTTGTTATTATGCTAACTAGGTACTAGCTTCTGTCACAACAAGGTCGCTTTCAACCTCACTCCAAATCAAAGGCTTGGTAATTAAGTATACAACATAGCCTATTAAAGGAATACATGTAAAACTTATGTTTGAGTGCATGCTCTATTACCATTAGAAAGATTAAAACCACAGCTGGATTTCCAGCAAGAACCTTTGTTTTTGGGTCTACATTTTTGGTCTTTCTTTTTTGGGGTCTTAGCTTCTAGGGGGGTCTCGACATTTTTGCCACAACCCTTTGCTAAATTCTATAACATTCGTTGATCAAACAAAGAATTGTTCAATAAAGAATTAAGCTTGGCTGGGGCAATCGTTCAGTGAAAAATTCTGCTTGGCTGGGGCAATTGTTTGCAGCCATTTTGAAGTTCAGTGCCCCTTCTATTATCTCTTCATGTGAGGCGATTTTAGCATGGTATAATGTGAGCTTCAACCAATCAGAGCATGATAATCTCTTAGACCTACAATTAAAACTCTGATTGGTCAAGAGCATACAGTAAATATACAATAATGCCCAAAGTTGACATAATAACCCAATGTCCACAGCAAATATTAAATAATCATGTCAAGTTTAAAGTCTGCCTGGTCTCCAAGCCTCACCAAGTCTATTCAGTGTCCTCAAACTTTTGCAGACTCAGAGAGAAGTGTCCCTTTTTACATATTGTTTAGAAAATGTATAAAACAATTATTGAATTAGATTTTTGCATGATATCATGAATAATCAAACCTTGTGTCTGTGTTATCTACCTCTAGACATCTGCATTGATAATTCATGATTACAAATCAGGATAATTCTTTCATACTCAAAGTCATCCAATAATTGCCTATGATCACCCAAGCAGTTATTAATAATAAAACATATTGTCTTCTTTTACCTCCTGAGCATACACAAATAAATCTCCAGGGGTGAGAGAGGATGTCTTGCCACGTGCTCCGAGCTGGTGTATGACAGTATACAATAGTTCACAGTACAATGCAGCTCGCTATTGGAAGAACAAACGATGCACATCTTGTCAAGTTGATAAATTTAAGTTACCAAACACCCATAAAATTACCACATGTACAGGTACTACAACTAAACTACTACATCCTGTTTAGAATCATGTAGAACTTTGATTTGTTTTAAAGGATAAAATATGGTGCAGTGTGTCTTTAAAAAGCATACGTGCCCCCATTTCTTGAGTGTTTCATTCCTTTTATTTTTGTAACATCAAGGCCAGTAAAATGGAATACACTACTTATTATATATTAGCTTATCCAGAGTATGTGTTGTATAGCCCTCTTTAAAAATAGCTGGTAACAAGACCTCTTACCAGTGTTGAAAATTTCAGTCTGAACATTTGTAATGAACAAGTGCCTGTATAATTGCTGAACATCAGTGAAGATTATTCATATTAATTCCTGCCTTTTTTTACTTATAATTTGATTAATTTTATGCCCTTGTTGACCTTGTTACTTTTTTTATTCTTCTATAATCAGTCATACAAAAACTGAATGCCTGAATGATCAATCACATTCTCCTACATGTAATTGCTACATGTGTATTCTCCTATAGCTGCTACATGTCTAAGCAACATTTTCATTGATTGATTGATTGATTGTCTTTAATCTTGTCCAATAAATGTTTGTATATGTGGTTCAAGAGAATTTGACTGAAGACCCATTTCTTAATTTGAAAAAAAGCCAACTCAGGTTATTTATAAAAATTTTGAAATTGCTTTGACCTACATTATTTTGATGCAACTCACAGAATTAAAATATCAATCTTGGTGTATTACATAATTAACTCCACCTGTTTATCATTTACAGTTGGTTCAGCTTCAATAGATGATAACACCTCTGCCTCACTTTGTTCATCTTCCTCTGATTGATTAAGGTTGTCATCAGTGACTGTGTCCTACAAACCACAATGAAAAGCCACCTTTTAATTAGCACTATAAGTTGGATTGATTCAAAGAAGTTTAGAGTAGTGACTAAAATAATATAATCTACCTATGGGGATGATCAAATACAAGAGCAGTTAAAATACCATACTGATTAATGAATACTTCATTGTTTTTCTCATGGTGTAGATTGAGTCACCATTGACAAAAGTCTTGATTCAACTTAAATTCTTCATAAGGCAGTTGCAATAAAGAGCATGTTAGTCAGCTGTTGCTGGTTTGCTACAGCCTGCTACCATCAGTACATTTCAATTAATTAATTCTTCCACTAGTAGATAACTGGTTCCCTCAAACATCTGCTCTGTCATTAACTAGCTGACAAAAACTTGTGGTTTATTAATTTTATAGAAGTCTCACTATCACAATCTACAATTTACAGAGTCTCTATAAGAGGAGATCACAAATTGCACATACATGTACATCTTTCACATCTAACTGGTATTGCTTCTTAAATTTAATGCTTGAATATGATCAACGGAAAGCATACCAGTATTTTTAACTCGTAACCAAGTATGTTGCAAACCAATCTCAAAACTGTTTCACACGTAGCATCTCATTGAAGAATTACTAAAAATCAATTTCAAACACTTGACAAGAATTATCAGCCAACAGTTAATCATCATGTTTGTCTTTGAAAACTACAGAAAGGTAGATGATGGTTGCTGTTGGGAATTGGTTCTTCAGTGAGATAGGCTAAAGGTTTGTCATGGCTGCATATGTACGCATGTACATAGTATCAAATATTTTTACTAAAATTACCAAAATCATTAGACTTTTACCATGCTTTGACACAACATTGGCAAATATATTTAAACATCTCATTCCAAAAAAATAATTCATTCACACAGCATGTACCATAGTTCTCTCCCTACCTTAATATTTTGGTTTTCAGCCTGTTTTTCATTCCAGTTCAGTGAATTGAGTTTTTCAAAATAGCTGTCATCAAAGTTTTTAGCCCTGTGTGCAATCAACAATTACAGAGACAAAAGGAATAATATTCTTAGGTTTCACAGTTTTACAGCAAATAGGGTCTGAGAATAAATTCCTGTAAAATATCTAAACCAAACAGAGGTATACTGTACAGCTTTGCAAAACCTTTGAAAGGTTGCAGACCAAAACCAGGAGAAGGCAGATAGTGAATGCCTTCATACAGGTTTTGACAAATCCAAATTTTAGGATCACACTACTTGAGTCATTTTTAACCTTAACTTTCTGCTAACTAACTATTAATCCTGTAAATTGATTAGCATCTAATTTGTCCAAACATTATCACAACAACACAACAAGAAGCTCTGAACTGTTAAAAAAATTGTCCTTGACACTATTATAATGAACAGTATTAAGAATATGCATACTGATGTCAAGATGTAACAGGTTTAAGAAAATGCAATGATTACAATTAGGTAACAGTGATGATAACTTTACTTTTTCTGCAGATTATCAGAGATTGTGGCAGTCTTTAATTGCATGTCATATTTTGCACAGCTTTTCTTAGAAAACCCACTCAATAATATTCAAAATATCTAATTTCCCCTTATTATTTTATCAAACTTGCATTATGACTCTATACCTATAATTAAAGTCAGATAGTGAACAGCAAGTTAATTTCTATGCATGGGAATATGGTTTGAAAATTAGTTTGCAAGTAGTTTATGTAATAATTGTATGCATTATGAATAATGTTGGTTTGGTAAACCTACAGCTAACAGTCAGGTAACTTGAAACTGGTTGAAAGTAATCAGATCTATGCTAGCAATGAACATGAACATGCTTTTGATTGGCTGAAAACAAGTGCAATTTTAATTTAACACAAGTGCATAGTTGTAATATGAGTGCAAATCACAAATGACATCAAAACTACTTCTCTTATGACTTTCTGTGATATTTTGGTGGTCTTTGAAAAATTTACTCCTGATTATTAACACCAAATTGCACTAAAAATCATCTTATTACCTATACAAACACTGCAGAGATGCCAATTCCTAAAAACATGAAGATTGAGACACGAGATATTTTATTTGGGTTTAAAGCCCAGAACCCACATTCCCCATCCACAATTTAATTCATGGACTGTATGGTGTCATTCTCCCTTGCAAAATCAAACAAATGCAAATATGCAAACTTTTTATCATATTTCAAACAAAACTTTTTCTAAGGCTTCTCTTTATGTCTTAAATGCACATTACTTGGAGGAATTTCAAATCCTTGGAGAATAATTCTATTTTCTTTAAATTGGTAATTTAATGGAATTATAGTGACAAACCCACCATGTTTTGCAGAACAATTCAGAGTTAAGCAATCATCTTTATTGTTAACAGCTTCAATTTTAAAGAGGTGTAGTAGAGAAATCCCTTACTGCACTCTTTGACACATTTGACCAATTAGGAATGAGATATTTTGCTGATTATGTAACAAAAACTGTAAAGGTAAATTAACAATGCATGATAAATGTTAATTGTATCCAAAAAAATATCAAGTGAAGCAATGAACAGAAGTCAGTTAAAGGCAAGCTGTCACCTGATCTTTCAAGGTAAAAAAATAAAAACTTTAGTTGAAATCAATTTTAGGAAAGTAATAACCATATTACATTCTTCTCTCTCAATTATGTTTCACATAACAAATGTTAAACACAACATGAGTGAAATATTGTTTACGTATCGCATGTAACAATGTATTCAACTTGAGTAGTGTAATCACACGAAAGCGGCCCAATTAAATGAGCCAAAACGAAATTTCAAGCAGGAAAAAGAATGATTACAATTGTGGTCATTGACTCGACAGAATGAAACACTGTCAAACATGGTTTAAATTTCAATATCCCACGGTGAGATGAAGCTTGTGGATCAACAGTGTAAGTGCCGCCGACGAAATAGGGTACCAAGAATTAAAATTTAAAAACATACAACGGCAATTGATCTGATCGATTATTTTTTAATCACATCACGAAATTTCTTTAATGACTACAGTCAATTTCTATTCCTATAGACAATTTCTTCTCCTCATGTTATAGGTCTTACCGCTGAAATGGTGTTTGCCCCTCTAAGTACGATGCACGATCCGGAATAGACAATTTTTGACAAAGACCAAGTTTTCTTGATTTTCGCAGACGCTTTCGTTGTTCTTCGCTATCATTAGTGTCTTCTGATGACATTTTTGCTTCCCTGCTCTGCAAAAGATTCCTTCAAAGACGCTAATTTCTAAACATTTTTCTTTTGTTTAGAATACTCAGTTGATAATTGAGGCAGGCTCACACTCCTCTAATTACTTAGACTACAAATTTGCATTGCAAACAAGCTCTTATTTTGCGAGACTTGATCTTTTAACCTTGTAGGTTTTGAATAGCGTGAATGACGAATAAACAGCTGTGTTTTCTCAGAGTTTCTGATTCAAAGATAATTAAACACTTCACTAACACGCACACTGAGGTCAGAAAGAATGCACACTTGATGTCACAGGGTTACACATATCGGATAGAGAGGTACGATTCAGACAGCTAAAAGATACTGACCTCACGCCACTGATTTCATGGATGGTTCCACTTCCTTCAGAGCGCGTGGAAGGTGTGCTGTTTGACACATTTGACTCCTTTTTCCACCGTTCACGCTTCCATCGACCGAGTTTCAATCGTCCAGCCATGTAAATAAAGCTTGGTCACAACAACTTTTTTCAATAAAATCTCCTTGTTTCTTACGTAAAACCCAGAAAGTAGCAGAAAGATCTCGTGCTAATCGTCCAGCAGACTTTGTCTCAAGAACATACTCACCCTGCCAAATCAAAGACATGCATGTTTAACCCTTTCACTCCCACAAGTGACCAAGACAGAATTTCTCCTTACAATATCAATACAATATCAAGCAGGTAGGTGATGAGAATAGAGAAGAATATCAATTATGGGATTATTAGTTGATCCAATACCAAATTCTCTGAACTAACATCATAAGAATTGTAGGGCAAATAGTAAGGAGAATTACTAATTAGATATTGGGAGTGAAAGGGTTACAGCGATAAAGTTCGCAACCCTATAGAGTCTTGTAAGGACTCTCATTTATTATGCTTCACGCATACTTATTTATTATGCTACACGTGATGAAAGATTGACTCGCCTTTAGACAGTGGTGTCAATTGAGCCAAAGCAGAAACCCAAGCTGACTATGTTCTAATAATAGTGGTTTAATTGTATATATATTGTACTTTCAGAATTTTCGAATTGAATTTTTTAATTTGTAGAAGTTTTGATTTTTTTGTTGTTTTTCAATCAATTTATCCGGTATCCTTTCTTCAGTTTGGCTGTGGCTAAATGCCCGGCAGCAGAGAACGGCCTCAAATAGACTAAATGTATGGGCGGCCGTCACCACCAAAAATACAAGGATGTCAAATAGATTAGCAAATACAAAGCTGGTCTAAAGATCAGCTGCAGGATAGAATAGCTAATAAAGGAATGGCATGGCCAAATTATAGACGGTTTAGTTTTCCTTCGTGAAGCAGAACACCCTAAACATGGATAGTTCAGCCAAATGATAAACGGTCCAGTTGCCCATGTCGAGTTGGAACATGAAATTGTGAAATGGACTAGCTCAATTGCGAATAGCTTAGCACTCCTTTGCAATACAGCACACAAACGGTGTTGCGTTGCGTCAAATGGGTCAGGGTAACGTCGAGTAGCACAGCGTACGCACAAACGGTGTAGCGTTGCATGAAATAGCTCAGCGTAATGTAGAATGGTACAGCGTACACACAAATGGTGTAGCGCTGCGTGAAATGGCTCAGCGTAATGTCGAATGGTACAGCGTACACACAAATGGTGTAGCGTTGAATGAAATGGCTTAGCGTAATGTAGAATGGTACAGCGTACACACAAATGATGTAGCGTTATGTCGAATAACTTTGCAGAACATCAGACGCTCTATCTGAAGATTAAATTGCTTAGCATTACACGAAATATTTCGATGTTGTGGCGAATCGTCGAGCTTGCATGTGGCGTGACATGAAGCTATCTCGCCGAAACCACCAAAAATACAAACCGTAAATGAAACGGAAAGCGTACTCCGATATCGGTCGAAAGGAGGTCATCTCGGGTAGATTTCCGATTACGAAATCCGAGCTCCCCCGATGTTGTGCTCGTAATAAAGGCTCAAGTTAGCATTTTTTACCCGCATAATAGAGTAGAAACGAACATGTACTTCGTTTTTGCTCATGACTTCGTATTAGCACAATAACTCTCCTACAAATACTTTTGACATTGATCTCGGTAGGGGAACATGGGTTAAATTTACTTGAAAGATTACTATTAATTTTCTTTGAGCGGTTCCATTTTAAGTAACCGTTGAATACAGGTAGAAGACCATACAAACAGGCCGTTAGGACTCACTCAAAGGTGACCACTACCGCTCGATGGAGGTGAAAATCGCAGTGATTTAGGGGGAAAATTCGCGACTTTGACAACCGATTGCTCAATCCAGGGTGATCGCTTAATACGGTGCCGCAGAATACAGGTTCGACTGCATCATGTTATCTTTAACAATCATTCATGTTGCCGCTGCGGTCAGGCTGCTACGTTATTGTCCTGCCGGCGCTTAAGACCAATACTTTTCAAGCTTAATATTTTGTTCACATTGTAAAACTGTGGAATATTATAAGCAATGTAGCTTCCCTAAGGATTATATCTCTACAAGATCCCATATTGTTAAATTTAAATATAATTCTCCTCAAACTTTTGAAATATGGACAGTGACGAGTTTCCGAATTTCAACATCGTTATATTTGGAGAAATTTTTGAAGAAGAACTATTGGAGATGGAAGAAAAAGCGAATGAAAAATCCTCCGAAAAAGAAAGCTGGTTCTTAGTACGCAACGTTGAAAGAAAGTGGCGCCTGGTGGTTTCGCTTTGGCTTTGAACATTTTTGAAGTAATTTCTATGATCAAGGAGGATTGCTAATTTTTAAAAAAACTTTCATTCCCATGGATGACATGGGTGGGCGCCACGCTTGGGTCCGAGTGTTTACACGTCTGCACATAGGCTAAATAAATTTGTTGATAAAAGATCCGTATTCTTCTATGACATCATCGCCCAGCCTTTGCTTCTTAGCACGTTGCGTGAGAGTGATGGATCACGCTTATGCGAACAGCAAACGGCAAGATTTAATTTCTCTTTCTTAACAACATTACGAACCTTCAAGTTCAATGTATACGAGGTGCTTTTATCTACTAACTTTTTTTTTTTTTTGTGGGATCTGTTAAAGCACGAGAAAGAAATTTTGCGAAATCACAGTCTTGCCGTTGGTTTATGAACAGTTTATGAAGCGTTGACTTGTTCCGAAATCTATTCAAGTAATCAAGGTCGTGATTCAAGCTGCTACTTGTGTATTCTTGTCATCATTTTCCTAAATACTGACAGCTTACCTTCAAGGTGATAGCTCATGATGTTCCTCCCGTTTTCTTCTGATATCATAAACGCTGCGAGCATAAAATATATAACTATTACTCAGCAGCGCCGAGTCGAAAGATTAATCCCTACGCGTTAGTGACACTACTCTCTAACCACAGGCAGCCCAAGCTCATGACTCGAAACAAACGCAAACATGAATGTTGAACGCCATAGTTTACCAGCGGTGTTATGTCACAGAGGCGCCATTTAAAAGGGTTCGTATTCTCGATTAGCTTCGCTGTTTTGCGGGGATTGTTCCAAAAGTATGTTAATTGTTAAGGAAAAGAAATTTGTTGTTGTTGTACTAATATAAACTCAACAAGCTTTAATAGGGTTGAAATGCAATGTTTTGACATAACAGTAACTAAGGCAGTTTCGAGTTAACTGGAGTGTCCACTTCTACGAGAGAGACATCGATTGTTGAATCATCTTTCAGAAAGCTCGCCCAATAGCGAGAGCAAACGAATTTCTAAAATTAAGAGCTACGAAGAAGGTATTCTTGACTAAAATGATGATATTTTTTTAAATAATTACCATGGCGGCAGCTATTTGTAAACTTTGCGTGAGCGGCCAAGTAATGGAGTTACACATTGCAGACTAACTCCAACTTACAAAATTTTCATATCCAATATAAGCAGATCAACCGGTTGCACCACAGATTTATATATTTACAAAAAAAAAAACTGATGCTGGTCGAAAACGGTCAGTTTTTTTTGACACCAGGCTTTCTATGGGTCCCAGGTCCTAAGTATCGCCCCTTGAATTTGAATCCAATTGTAGAAGTAAACCTGAAATCGAAATCAAAATCAGAGAAAGAAATAATCCTTTGTTGGAATCCAGTGGGTAGAAAGGGAATGTCTATACTGAGACTCTTCAGTCTCAGTATTTTATTAGATATCTTATTAAAAATGGAAAATAAAGATACAAAACGGACACACTTTTCAAGGCATGTCATCTTTCTTACTGTCCGTATCTTTGGGATCATGCGAGGGACGCTTTACTTTAAAACGACCAGAGTTGAGGCTCCTCTTTCGTCGCCATTTTGCCTGCTGCTGGAGCCTGGAAACTAGGCTTAGGGCTAAACGAGTGTGCTGTACGGATTTAATGGCGGTCTGTACATTGTTAAGCCTGTGAGAACCATCGCTGTCTGGAAAAAAATCATCGATGTCCTCTTCTGGTGGCTTGTAATACAAAACGAAGATGCGGTAGACTTGAAGCATAACAACCAAGGCATTCTTGACAGTCAGAAAGTACAAAGTATCATGGTAAATTTGATAATAGGCAATGACTATGAGACGAATAACAAGAAAAGGGCCATCTTGCATAAGCATCGGTATAAGTAAACTTACAAGCTCAGTGTAATCTTTCATTTTGCCTGCAAAATTGTCGACACCTTGGGTAAACCTTTTCCAACATCGATTACATCTTCCTCGGGAAGCATGCGTAGCAGCTTCCTCTTCATCCATGCTTGTTACTGACGTCATTACAGGTTTGATCTCTAGTCCAGATTTAGACTGAATATATCTAACCCGAATTTCTTCTTTTTCTTTGTATTCTCGACTTTGATCCTTTTTATAAATATACAAAGCCGGTGAGGGCGCCACTTGATTTCTCCTTCTTCTAAAATCTTTCTCTTCTTTAACTTTTCTGAGCCGCTCTTCCAGCTCAGCCTTCTCTTTTTCGAGTCTTTGTGCTGATCTTTCCATCGCATAAATGGTCAAAGGGAACTGGAAGAGACTAACACTCCAAAACAAAATAACCGCATTGACAAAGTGGTGATTCTGAAGCATTTTTGGGTTAGTTTTTCTGATGTCATCCTCTTTGATGATCTCAGTGAATTCCATAATGTCCGCTGCTGTACCGATGTAGATAAGCAACAGTTGGGATAACTGATCACGTGATATTCCCCCTTTTGGAAGAAGCCATCTGCCAATGACTAAGATGAGAACCAGAGCTTGCTCCATGGTGTACAGTAGTCTTTCGTCGTCGGTGATGTTTATTCCTTGTAAAAACTAAAACAAAAGTTTATACAAAATCTTATTGCATGGTAACTTATAGCGACTGAAAAAGGGTGCTCATTGAAGAACTTTCTAAAGAACATGTGATTTCTCTACGTATCCAGTTCAAAACACAATCACAGTCTCAACTGAAATCACCAAGCAGCTGCAGTTAGTGACCTTTGATTAAGGATCCTTGCTCACTTGAGGTGAGTAAGAGTCAGGGAAGGTAAGGATATGGGAACTAATTTTGCTATGAACTTAGTATCAATAGAGTATTTTGAGGTTTACAATGACACCCATTTCTCACTCAAGTCTATTTTAAGTCTTTTTGTTATCTCAAATTTGTCAAATATTATAGATTATCATACATTCAATTCACTATCTCTTTACTGATTAACCGAAAACGTACAGTGAATTTTCGAAATCAGCGCTTGGGACGTCATCAGGCTGCAGATCATACAATGATCATGTCAAGAACAGTCAAGGTTGCGGGTAATCATGTCACGTATGGCCGTGGTGCACAATTTCTAAGGGTAATCATGTCACGTATGGCCGTGGTGCACGATTTCTAAGGGTAATCATGTCACGTATGGTCGTGGTGCACGGTTTCTAAGGGTAATCATGTCAAGTACGTGCGCTTTGTGTTGCTCGCTGATTTGTATATTTTTACAAGATTAGATATATCCAACACTTTCACCGAAACTGAGGTGAATAATTGTTTTAGTATATACCACACAGATACTAAAAAAAGTAGATAACTCGGTTTTATCAACTAATTTGATGATTCAAAGCGATAAACGAAGGACCAACGCTGGAAACGTCAGCTTTTTAGCTCCTTACGGTGGCCGAGTTACATCATCAACTTAGTCGATAAAACCAAAGTATCTTGTTATACTCCCCCACCAATTCAGCACAACAGTTTCTTCAAAAACTTACCCCTTTTAATCATTTGTACTAATAAATTAGTTTACTACTTTCAATATATAACAGCAATTGAATCGGGTGGAGTGAAATTTGATCTGAAATCATACTAGTGATTTCAAAATCGAACGATCGCCTCGCGCAGGACACGAAGTGCAATTATCACATCTATTTTGAAATCGCAAATTTCAGTCGCTCACATTTAGGAATTTTTTAGTGTGTAGAAATAGTTTACTGATTCGGAAGTAAGCTGGTTGGTAAAAAATTGCAAAGTTCTTTCATTTTCTTTGAAATCTGATTGGTTGTTGGATATAGTAAAGGTTTTTCATTGGCTGGGAAAGGATGCGATTTTTGAGCAAAATTTTGGGATTAAAGGAGAGTCAATCAGATTGCGAGGCTCACCAGGGATGTAATAAACCGAAAAATGGTCGGAAATTTAACTCTTGACGCTCAATTTTGTCTCGTCGGCTGCTCGGAGGCGAATAGTACTCGCTATTCACTTCCAAACTAGCCAACCGCAAAAAGCACCATTTACCTGTGTGGTAGATGCTAACAATATAGCCTGCGTAGCTTTTGTTTTTTGAACGCTGGATGAAAATGAAGGCAACGAAGCTGTGAATAAAAAAGATGGAGCTTCGGCTGGAGAAACCGCGCGATGCAATCCGTCGAGTTCTTGCGCTTTATTTAAAACCTAACTCGACCTATCACAAAACAACTTTTCGTAGCAAAATTGCCATCATATGCTTCTTATTCCTTTTGCCGCTTCACTGCTCATTTTCATGGCTCCGCTTAATCTTCAATGAATAATCACTAACCTGAAAGATCTCCTCGGTTTCGTTGACAGCTGTGATGCAAGTTGAACTTGCATCGTTACTGGAAGCGACGCAATCAAGCACTTCTATTTTAGCAATCCAGTCACAGGGAATCATAGTCATCAGGTATAAAAACATGCTTGGACAAAACCTACAATCAGCAATGTGAACTGCATGGTTAGTGGCATCTGACAAAAGCCAATTTCTAGATGTATTTGTTTAGGTTTAGTTCTGAAACCAGTGAAGACGTATAGGCTCATGTGAGGAAGCAAAGATAACAGCTGAGAAATACCATCCATCATAACTCGCCTACAATTAAATCAGTTTATATGTAGGTGTTTGGGAAACTGATGAAATTAAGAGGACTATTCAACTTCATTCATAGAGGTCACGTATCGCCTGTGTATCAAGAGTTTTCTTTCAAACCGAAAACATGGAGGGAGAGGTGAAAGAAGGTAGCTCAGATAGACGACACGACAACAGAAAAGTTTTTAACTATGGAAACATTTAAAATAAAATTTTTAGCACCCTGACTATTTTACGAACGACGTCTATGCAAGCGCCAAATTCTTTAATAACTGAATTTAGAGTATTTTTCTCGCTTTTTTCTCGAGATTTTTGCGCGAAATAGAAAAACGCACAGCTGATACAGACTGAAACAGAACATCGACTGACTTTCAACGAAATGAGGCGGACTAAGAAAGGTAATTCATGAAAAAGTCTACGTCAGACATCTTTGAAGTAACAGCCCACGTTAATGCACTCGATGAAACTATTTTGCGTGAAAGGCTCTATTCTTAAAAACTTTCATGAGCCAGAATTACGGCTGAAACGTACAATAGGCCTTAGGGCACCTGGAATGAAAGACCACTCACATTCGGTAATTTTTTTTTTCTTGTGTTCTTGTGTGGTTTGTTTGACCGAATACAATCCCCGCACAGAAAGCTCTCCCTAGCTTCACAATTTAAATTTGTAATAACATGTATAACGAAAATGGTATGTAATTAAAGTGACGCCTTGAAAATTCTGAATATTTTGTTTTAAAGGTGCACTGCGGTAAGAAGTGTGAGTTGACTGTTTAATTTTTTCCTCGTTTCGCAGCACTCGTGGAATTCGGTGAAATCATCAGGACTCAAAGTGTGGAGAAAAGGAAATCGATATTCATAAGTTTTCCTCGAAACTATTTCAGGAAAAATATGTGATTCATAGAGTTAGCCTCTCAGTTTCTATAGAACTGTGTAGCCCCCTGCCCATTACATTCTAACAGAACAGCCTTTTAATGTGTGTAGATTACTTTGGGCCGGAAATTTACATAAACTTGCCTTAGAGAAGCAATAAAATTACAGCGGCATTTCGGAACTCAGCTTTTGAATTACAATTTAACAATTTGAGGCAAATTTGCGACTAGCGAGATTTAACTGTAGTATTCTCTCTTAGACTAAGATATATAGCCGGACTGTTGATCATTCGCTGTTTCTTAGATCTATCTCAGTTTAACATTATTGATAGTTTTGTTTTCTTACTTGTAGACTTCAGGTGTCTGCCTGAATTTGCAAATTAGATGAATACTATAACAGCGACTTCGAATCTTTTGTAGTGCCTAAATGCCCGGCAGCCGGGTATGGTCTTAAATGAAGTAAAGCCCGGCATTCAGTAAATTTCACAGAATTTGCATTGAAAGGTTCTCTCAAACTACTTAAGAGTATCAGATGTCTCTTTAGAAATGTCAAGCGATTTAAAAAATTTCTTTGGATTTTTTAAGTGGATGAATTTTCCAAGTTTGTGTATACTGTAAAATTGCTAAGTTTTTCGCTGTGACCAAGCGATTTTATAGTTACCGTATGCACAAGCTCAGGAAACTCGTCACAAAAAAGCTGAAATAATTTCTGGAAGCGCTTGACATCTCTAAACAAACATCTAGCACCCCATGAAAGTTTCGGAAGAATATTTCAGGGGAAATTCTGACTGCCGGGCATTTTGTCCATTTAGACCGTGCCCAGCTGCAGGGCATTTGGACACAGCCGCAAATATATTTACGTATTACCACTGATTTTACACAGAGTGACGTCTTTTACACCTGTCAAAATGACAAAGCCGCCTATAGATAAATATTTTTATTACTTGAGCATGTTTCTCAGAACTATTAAACTCAAAGGTTAGATCATGTATAGTGAAGAGAGCCTATTTTTTTTAAAATCCGAACTAAGGTACTGAATAGGGGATTACTCATCAGTAGTCATAGAAATATCGAGCCGTTGCAGTACATCAGGTTGCCAAGTCACCGAACAATGAATTCTAATGATTTGTAATTTACTCTGTGATGGTGTAGTATATGTTTATTTAAGCTTTTTATCCATAAAAGAGATCGAGACAAGTTCGCATAAAAACTTCAAGTTGTTCGCAAACTTCCTGTAATGGTAGTCTCTGGGGATGCAACTCGGGCGTAAGAAAAACCGTTCACATTCAGCTCACAGCTCCACAAAGTTGTAGCTTTTCTATAAGAACGTGCTAGGCTATTTTCCGTAATTATTTCGACTCTGAATCGTTTTTGATAAAATGTAAACGAAGCTCGGCATGTTTGACCATGCCATCTTTAATAAGAAAGCGGATTTTCAGTTTTCATGAATGTTTAGTAAAGCTGACTAACAAAGCTTTTCTCTTGACAGAAAATAAGCCACCAGAATAAAAAGCCGGAAATTCGAATTCCCGAGTCTGCATTGAGATAAAGCAAGGCAACCACACTTCATTAAAAAATGTGTTTTGCAAAGAAAAAGTATGATTTAAGCGCTATTTGCTTATACCTTCGTTTTGGAAAATTGTTGAAGCAAAGAAAATTCATACAGCGAAGCGAACATATTCCCAAATTCGTTGGGCCGTATGTTAGTGATGCGGCTGACATGCATACTAAACAGTCTATGTACTACTAGGCTGGCTTGTGCTTGAGATCGTTTTCTTTTACTTACCAACTATATTCATGTCCCTTTCGAAATCCCACAGTGATTATTGTTTCCACTAAGAGAGCCACGAGAAGAAGTAAAAACAGAAAATACATTCTGTCTTGCTTCAAAGTCACCAGCCAGTAAATCATGGCAATGGCATGGAGGCAAAACAGCAGACGAGTGAACAACGCAGCTATGTAAGTAAAAATTCTCTCCATGGTGGCTCTGTTGTTAGTAAACTGATCTAGGCTGATCAACAGATACAAAGTCACTTCTGTTTGATAAGAACTGAGACACCAGCCGATTGATTCAGATGCGAACTTCAAAGGGTCGACACTTCTATGAACCAGGTTATTGTTTTCTTGGCTACCAAATTACTTCACTCGGCCAGTCTACATGTGGTAATTTTGTCTCCACGGGGGTTCACAAATGACAGATAAGAATGGACAATGTAAATTACCTATCAATGGACCCCATGTAAACATAAGGAGAATTTGGATTGCATCTGCAAAAACCTTCGGAGAAGAATAGAAAACTACGCTTCAACTCTAAAAATAAACTAGGACATACTCAGAGAAGCTGAAGACGGAAACAACCGAAAACCCGTTACATTCTAGATAATTTTTCTCCTGGGCCACAGTCATAGTTCACTAATATATAAATTGCAGTATTACATTGCGAAACTTAACTCAACATTACCTTTATTTCATTCCTCGATGGTGAGTTAAGCCCTGTTCCAACGGTCATGGTGGTCATGACAGTCGACAATAGTTTTTGTGTTCAAACGGTTCATGACAGTTGATGAAAGTTGACAAAATCACGCAATAAGATCGCATAATTGTAAACAAATATGGCGCGCGCTTAGGTCCGCAATTTCGGTAGCATTTGAAATTTTAGATAAGAAGATGCGAGTTGAAGATACTGAGGCCTACCAGGAGATGATGGCAGTGAACTATAAGAAATTCTGGGAAATTTTGACGACTATTTTAGCTATTAAACCCCTTGTCATTTCGGTTTGAGCCCGTTTTTAGCAAAACTGCTAACCCAAAAACATCATTCACTATCATCCGCTCGTTCAAAGGCAAAAACTATCATCAACTATTGTGTCGAATTTGAATATGTCTAAACTACATGATAAGGCAATCTAGTATTATCAATTGAGTTGATAACGTAAATTAGCCTCCGTGAAAAATTTGTAAGCTGACGTTGCGCGCGTTAGCTCTTCGTCAAAGGACTCAGAGCGATTGGTAAACTACATGATAGTCAATGATAGTGAAGAAATGTAAAATGGTTTCCGTGTTTACATAGCCTGATGTAAACACGCGGGAGGTTGGGAGAACACGAGATAGGCGTAGGAAACCACAACGCGAAGATGAGTGGTTTCCAGGTTATCGAGTTTATAAAATAACTAATGAAAGAGGAACGAAAACCGTGTTTACATACGCTCATGTAAAATGGTTTTATGGCCAATCAGAGCGCGCGTACTATTTAAATTATTTTATAATCGACAATAGTCCACGATTCTCTGTTTACAAACGCGCATGATAGTTGAAACTATCATCAACTATCACGACTGTTTGAACGGGACTTTACTATCATTTATTATTTAGTATAATCACTCTGGCGATGGTTTACAGCCAAGTCGCCCGAGTGTTATCTTGCCCGAAGTCATGTCGCCCGAAACCTGAGTCATGTTGCCCGAGGTTTTAGTTATGTCGCCTGAAAAAAAAGTCAAGTCGCCCGAAGAAACAAATACTAAAAAGATCTGAATTTCAGACTCTTAATAGGCAATAACGTTGAGAAATTTTTATAACTAAAGCGCTCTTTGTTTCCGACAACACCATGAAGATTCTTAAAGCGTTGTTCGTTCCTAACAACAAAGGGAAAAGTTGTTCGTTTCCAACATCAAAATGCAGCGTTGTTTGTTTGGTATGTAATAGTGCCTTACTCACGGACGTTTCGTAAGCTTAAGAAACTCTTTCTTGGTTTCTAACAATACCATGAAGACTTTGAATACACAGAAATCGATCGTATGCTCGGAATTGAAATATGTTTGAGTTACGATTCTAAAAGCGTTGTTCGTTTCTAACAACAAAGGGAAGCGTTCTCCGTTTCTGACAAAAAAATGAAGCGTTGTTCGTTTGATATAATAATAATTAATTATTTATATAGCGCAAAATACATGTGGATATGATCTAATGCGCTATACAATAAGACTAAGCAAAATAAAATATGAAAACGAACTATAAAAGGCTAAGAATATACAATATGACTAACTAAAAACGAACTATAAAAGCAAACATGAAAATGCCTGTCTAAAGAGACGTGTTTTAAGAAGTGTTTTAAAACAATTAAGATCATTTACTGCTATTATATTTGATGGCAATCTGTTCCAAAGTTTAGGAGCAGACGCCCTAAATGATCTATCACTAAAGTTTTCTTAGTTATGGTCCTGGGTGGCAACAATTGTAGTTCAGACTGAGATCGTAACATCATACGTCCGAATTGTACAACTGAAATTTAAATGCAATAAAGTCCTCGTGTAAACCCGTCCTTCTCCACTTTCTTTTTAGCTTTCCTCCGAAGTCGCTTGGCTGCACCGATTTCAGCCGTATACCAGGGCACTGAAGGATGTTTCCTAACGGCCTTAGACTTCAGCGGAGCATGATGATTGAGCAGGTTAGATAGTGTACTGTTGTAATCAGCGACAAACTTGTTCAAATCTTCAGTCGATGTTATAAAATGGCCATCTGGAAGGCGTTGACATAGTGAGGTTTTGGAAAGGTCTTTTTAAAAAGACTCCATGTCGATCTGTCTCAGCTTTCTATGATTGATCACTTTGGCCGTTTAATAAGATATACGTGATGTTAGGTTGCACATAAGTGAGGTATGATCTGAGACAAAGAAATCAGTCACAGGTGGAGCTTTGAGCAAGTTATCAGAGTACCGGGATATTACAAGATCTTATGTGTGGCCGAGCACATGCTGCTGAAGTCCAAAAGACTCAAGAACATCCAAGAATGTTACAGCATCAACATTTTTGATGTCATCGACGTGGATAGTGAAATCACCAGCAATTAAAATCTGTTCCTTTGAAAGCACAAATGATTCGAGGTAATCAGAAAATCCCCAAGGAAAACACTGACTGTATCCTTATGCTCGGTAGAATAAGGTGGACGGTACACGATCAGTAAACGCAGACTACTGTATATGTACTCGTTTCTTACTCACGGACATTTCTTAAGCTTGAGAAACTTTTTCTTGGTTTCTATCAAAGCCATGAATACTTTGACTACACAGAAATCGATCATAAGGTCAGAAAGGCCATATGATCGACCGTAATCGTCGCACTGTAGGGCTTGTTGACGTGGTCTAACTTCATCATCACACTCAATGCAAGGATAAATGCTCATTTTGATCAGATCGTATTCGTATTGTAGCTAGATTTACCCTCTTCATATATACTTCGGATCAAAATATCTATGTAACCGCCGGAGGAAACAGAGCACAACTACATAATTTTTGCCTTTTTTGGTCCTAAGGGAAATGATGCTATCAGACTAATACTGTGAAAAAAGTCACAAGCATAAACAATAGACTGTTATCTTAAAAATATCGCACTTACCTTACGCAAGGCAACAAGTTAATTTTATTTGTATGTTACTCGCTTTACCTTTTACCGACTTGACGAACGCGACAATCGACATTTGTTTACCTGGTGTTTTCATCTTTCATTGTTAAGAAAGTCACAAATAGACACAACAGAACTTTACTTGTATGTTACGCTGCATCCGTGCATTTGTTGTTATAGAAACGAACAACGCTTCCCTCTGTTGTTAGAAACAAACAACGCTTTTAGAGTCGTTACTCAAACATATTTCAATTCTGACCATACAGTCAATTTCTGTATAGTCAAAGTCTTCATGGAATTTTGAGAAACAAGAAAGAGTCTCCCAATGGAGATGCACGCGCTCTGATTGGTCGAGCCTCTTTAAGGCACCGCATGAGTACTTACAGGGGCATTCGAATCGCACACGATTATTCCAGTTATAAGCAAGAGACATAACGCTACGTAGACAACAGTTGGGTACTCATAGATTCGAACTGACAATGTTTAGAGCAGTTCTATGTCTGTCTCCTGTGCTATCAAGTCCAAGAATAACGTGAGAATTAAACAGTGAAAAAGAAGAAGAAAAAAATTATAAAAAGGCCGCTACACTTTCCACTAATATCATGCTGACCAGTTTAACCATAGAAAGAGATGTCAGGCTGTCAATTGGAATACCATTGTTTTCACATTTCAAAACTTGAGCAATCGATTGGATCGTTATATATTTTTTTACGGGGGTACAATATCATGCAACCACACTGGCAATTTATGCCCATTCCAGGACCTCCTTGATTTGGACACGTGTTCTATATCCGTTAGCCTGCAGTGCAAGGAGATAGACGAAAGTTGAAATCCTCACGGGATTTAGACGGAGTTTTAAACAGAGCGGATTTAGACGGAGGATCCACGCAGGGGATCCAAATCCAAAGTGAAACTGGCACTGAGAGGACTCAAGTGTTCTTTTAGCATTTTGACATCAACAACTGATTCGGCCTCTTTAGGAAGACATCTTCTGTAAACATTGATCTTTTTGTTGCGTATAATGAACCACTTGTGCTCTTTAGGAATGTGCCAAATTCACTGCTGAGATATCAGCTGTACACTTTTAATATCAGCTGTAAAGTACCATCAGACGAGGTAATTTCCATTGGCTAAAAGCTAAAAAAATTAACACGCACTCTGAACAACCCTTCAATCCGCTACTGGTGGACAGAATTATCCTACAAGAGAGGCCCAGCATCAAAACCAAACCTTCTAAAAGAGCGAACAGAGCGGGAAGACGTCAGCTGTCATTCAAACGAATTAGTTGTCTTGCAAGTCCCTTGTTAGCGAGTTCCACAGGTGGCATTTTCATCTGAAAGATTACGATAAAGGGGATGAGCTATGAACAAATGATCTACGAAATAAAACTCAGCATCAACCACCAACATTACCAAAAGTTTTAATAATCCAGTTTTCAATTCTCAACGACCATTGGAGCAGGTTTTCCTGACTAATCATAAAAAGTTATGATGTTTGGTTTAAAAAACTCCTATATTCCACTAATTCACTTGTCAAGTTGTTGGCGGACAGTTTGTTATCGGACAGTTCAATAAGCCAATCCCACTTAAAGTTGTAGTCTAATTCAGCCAGTCACATTCAAAGTTGTAGTTTAAATGAACCAATCACAACCTTGGTTTCAATCACCATAGAAACAGTGTACAGACTCCTTAATTGGGGCTTTCTTCAAAATGGAGAATTTTTTCCATTGAAAAATGACAATATCTTGGAAGACAGAAATTGAAATTTTCCCTTTCTTTCCCAACTTGGCAACTGTTCTGTTCTGGAAAATTGTAATTTTCATGATTAATTGGTAATAAGAGTTCATGTCATCCAATTCAGTCTGTAATAATAATAATAATAAACAAAGGCATGGTCGCCTGATTTTGTTATCACTTGTATGATTTCAGACTAAATTGGACTCCACTCAGTCTTATTACCATTACTTATTTCATAGCAGGTTTGCATCCTGCGATATATTGACCTTCACTTTTCCTCTCTGTGTAACACTTAAGGACACAAGGTCTAACAACTGGGTGAGCATAAAAGCTTTAGCCACCAGGCAAATTTTCTCAGTGAAGATTGAAGATTTTATTTGTGAGATACACTGGGTACTGAGATCATTACCTTATTTTCTATAGAGAGAGTTGCCCCATTTTCAACCAGTGTAACAGCTATTTCTGCCCTATCCTCCTCACAGGCCATATGACTGCAGAAAAAAAAACATTCCAGAAGGTAACAGTACATTTATTCCTCCAATTGGAATTGCACCAAAGATCTTAATAGCCTTGGCTATTAGTAGTAGACTACTTGAATGCTTCTCTAAAAATAATCACCTATCAGCAAGAACAAAAGAATTCTAACAAATAAATTTGCAAAGACTCTTGTAAACAGTTCATAGTTTTCTAAAAGAAATTGATTTTGGGCCCTCTGTACCTAATAAAGGTTGGATGCTGTGGCAGTTGACAAGTGAGGCCACAAATTTGAAGTAAATTGATGCAAATGGGACATTGGACACAAACAAAAAAAGCAGGCATGTGCCTTATCTTTGGTTAAGAAAGAAATTAATAAAGGTATGACTCAGATGGGCACCAGATAATCTGCCTATAGGCAAAGACAGCAAGGGAGGGTATCTAGTCAAGTCGCCGACGGTTCAACTCGCCGACGTATAAAATCGAGTAGAAACGTCGGCGAGTTGGTCTTCAATCCAGTACAACTTATTAGAAGTTAAACATATAGAAAAGTGAAAGATCTTTAGGAAAAATACATTTTTTTCTTTCAACAAAGTTTATAAGGATCTCATGGCGAATAAAGCGAGGTAAATATCGCCAATGACTAAGAAAGCTTCAGACGCGAACGAGATTTATTGTGTGACGACAACAACACTCTAAAGTCTTATCATGTCAATCGGTCAAATTTTTTTGAAAACTTGGCTTTCTGGACAAAATCTTCAGTAAAAAAACAATCCTTTTTATTTCCAACAAAGTTTACAAGGATCTCATTGCGAATAAAGCAAGATAAACATCGCAAATGACTATAAAAGCTTCTGACAGACAGACGCGAACGAGTTATTGTGTGACAACACTGTAAAGACTCAACACGTCAATCGGTCAGATTTTTTTAAAGAAAACTTGGCTTTTTAGACGAGATCTTTCGTAAAAAACAATTCTTTTTATTTCCAACAAAGTTTATAAGGATTTCAAGGCGAATAAAGCGAGGTGAACATCGCCAATGACCATAAAGCTTTAAACGCGAACGAGTTATTGTGTGACTGCCAACGTCATTCTCGATTCACACTTGGATAGCTCACTTTTGAAGGCGCTTACGTTTGGTCCGTCTTAATACCGGGCTATGCTGGTAAACGGCAAACATTTTCTAAATGTTTTTACAGTACAAATACGATTAGTATCTAACCAGAAGCTGACCAGAATCCAAAGAAGGGCTAATAGGCGATTGCAGAGTAAGGTGTTTGGATTTTGGGAGAAATATGAGAATTGTAAAAAAACAGCGGCTCCATTATTGAAATCGATGTCAAGATCAAACGGACCTTCAAGAGCAGAAAAATAGCATGATATACGTATGAAATTTTATCGTAAATCAAACGTTCTCGATCATAAATAAATCATTCTTTAAAGTAAAAAAAAAACGTGGTTCGCGTGGTTGCTTTGGTTGGCTCACAGATATCTGGTGATTTCTAGTTATTACTAGATATTTGGCGTTGGCGAAGTGACTAGTAGGACGTTGGCGAAGCGACTCATCGCGTTGGCGAAGCGACCAAAGACGTTGGCGAACGTGACGTTGGCGAAGTCACTCGTTGGCGAAATCACCGCAATTCTTTACCTGGCTTTATTCGCCATGATATCCTTATAAACTTTGTTGGAAGAAAAAAAATTGTTTTTTCCTAAAGATCTTTTATTTTTCTATGTATTTAACTTCTAATAAGTTGTACTGGATTGAAGACCAACTCGCCGACGTTTCTACTCGATTTTATACATCGGCGAGTTGGTGTTGGCGAGTTGAACCGTCGGCGACTTGACCGTAATTCCAAGGGAGAAGGGGGGCAGTAAAGCAAGAAACGTACAGAGCAGTGTTGCCTTCAGCATCCTGTATATCACAATTTGCATTGTGTTTTAAGAGCAACTTGACAATCTTGGAATGGCCCCTATGAATGTTATGACAGAAAAAAAAGAAAAAAAAAGGTTTTTTAGTCCATGAAGATTGTTACGTGATAAATTCTAGTTCACAAATGATGCAGAATTCATCTGAAATCATGTTTAAGAGGAGGAATTACTGACCGTGATGCAGCACGGTGCAGAGGGGTAGCAGCACTTGTTTTGTCCTGTGCATCAATGTGAGCCCCATTCTGAAGAAGCAATTCTGCAATCTGAGAGATTGAAAAACCACCTGTAAAAAATTATGTATCTTATCACACAACTGCAAACAGCCATACTAGGGGTGGACAAGCCTTAGCTTGGGATGAAAAAGTCACAGGGATGATATTTCTCCTGTCAAGGTATCAAGCTGGCTTGGATAGTAAGTGATTAATTTCACTACTGAAAACTTATAACCTGAAAGAACACAATCTTGTTGTGCAGCAAATGGATGCCTTAATATAATAGTTTTGAGGATCAAGATGACTGCAATGCATTACCTCATATCTGTTTCTTGATGCTGCATAATGCAGAGGTGTTTGTCCCCCATCATTTGTGGTGTTAACGTCAGCTCCAAGGCTAATCAACATTGAAACAATAGCATCTCTTCCAGCTGATGCAGCAATCATCAGGGGAGTCCACTGCGCCTAATATGAAGTCAAATTTATAAAAAAATTATTTGGAAAAAGAAGATTCCCTTTTGGCCCAAGCAGGATATGAACTATAAATAGTCTGCCTCGGAGGAAGTATGTAACCCAATTAGAGTGACTTGAGCCAGGTACATGTAGTAGTTTTCAACAACAAAAAATCTTGTGTTTGAATTCCTGTATTAATCCCATTTAAACATCCCTGGTTTTCAATTAAAAAAATGCATCTTGCACTGCACAACACATGGGAATTTCTGGCGTTTTGCAAAATGTTGAGAAGAGGCTGAGCTGAAGAAATTGAAGTTAGGTTTTGCTTTTTCTCTTGCTTGCTATCCACCACACACAAGCAAACCCTACCTTTGTGTGCATACTTAGATTTCTACAACTTACATCATCTTTGTTATCAGTTGGTACTCCTAGATCAAGCAAATGTTTAACAACATCAGCATGTCCACCAGATGCAGCCCAGTGAAGAGGCATGCGCTCATTCTGTAATGCAAAAAAAGTTAAAAGATAAATGACATGGACTTAGCATTCACCTACGATTACAACTACTAAACTGGATGCGAAAATGATGGTACCCAGGTGAGCTATCATTCTAAAAGACTTTTTACCAGTTAGGTTATGTTATACCCAACATTTGAGCAAGTTATTTTCCTTCCACTTGCGCGACATTGGCTGCAGCTGCACTGAGAGAGTTAATTGTATTGGTATACTTTTTAGAAACCTAGTTAAAATTTCCAAAAAGCTTAAGTCAGTTAAGGGTTGGTTATGTTGAAACAACAGGGTTATATTTTATCAGCCACTGCACTGAAAAGACATCAGCGGGGAAACCAAAAGAGACAGACTTCATAGACCAAGTTCATATTTTCTCCCTTTTCCTTCTTTTTTTTTCTTTTGTTTCCTTCCTCTGCACTCACGACTTAAGCAATTCCCCTTCCTTCTGATGCATAATGCACAAATTTCCAAGGCAGTTTTTTTAAACATCATGCTGATTTTTGTAGATGTCAGAGTGTTCCCCATCACTGTGGAATGAATCATCCCAGGTTAGGGTTTATCGGAGAAATCAGCAATGGCTTGAGGAAAGCAGGAATCCTGCCATGCTTGGGTTTTAAAGAGAACACTCTTGAATCAACATTGAGTCCTTTCAACCCCTTTGCAGTATTTTTTCACAATTAATGGCAAAAAGAAACACTCTGGTGCTTCCAAGCAGCAATACTGATAACTATTTGGCTGTGATACTTGGGTAATGTAACTGTTTAATTTAGTGTTATCAACTGAGTTAAAAACGTAAATTGGCTACTGTAAAGAGTTAGAAGGCTGCTGTTTTGAACATTACCCCTAATGTAACTGTTGTCCTCAGACACCATTTTCAGAAGCATTTTTTAGGTGCCATGAAGACCATCTCATACATAAAAAGTGATGACTGACACATATTGCGAAAAAGCCATTGCACAGCACTAATAAGAGACCACTTAGCTGAGTTAAATTATACAAAGAGGTAGTTTAACCACAATTTAAAATTAACCACACTTGGTTGAAAAAATCTATTGTTCTTCAATTAAGTTCCATGATAGCCATTAACCCAGGTTCAGTTTGATCAAAAGCTAAAAAAAGCAGCCACATCACGAGTTCTCACTAACCCAGTCATTTCTAATTGAACAGTTAGAAATAACCTGGTTAACTCTCCTTGTGCAGCCTTGGCCATTGTAACTTAAAGATCCTTGTTGTTGTAAGATGTAAAGGCATAAAATGGTCTAAAACTGTTGCATCACAAGTTACGGAGTGACAAAAAAGTTATTTATTTTGCAGCATTGTGCAACTGGTGACAGCAGTATTATTTATGTTTGTCAATGTTACTAGTGTCATAGTACTGTAGTATCCACATTTAACAAATAGAGAGGCCTTGACTGTGCTCTGTTCTGTTGTAAAGCACACAGGAAGTGGCTAGAGTTTGAAAATTGTAGGGAGAAACACAAGACATAGACAAGAGTTTTTCCCACTTCTGGGTGTTCTAGCTGCTTCCTAAGTGCTTTATAACAAAACAGAGCACAGTCAAGGCTTCTTTGTTTTACTATAAAGAACCAAAATTTGCAGGATGACACATGATTGATCCAAAATTATCTGCATAATGTGGAACTGGACATCTCAAAGTGATATGTGATTTGCTATTTTATAAGTGTGTGAAGTGTGTTTTACAAGACTTACTAATTAGATTTACATGATAAGTGAACACTCTTTGACCTAGAAGGATACCAATCATTCAAAGTAGATAGTCTTAGTTCATTGGAAATTATTATTAAATAATTAAAATAAAACACTAATAATAAAACATTATTTCCACTAAACAAGAATCAGTAAACTGTGGCACTGTTTTGTGGTCTTTCCTGTCCTTTGCTGACCTTTGCCTGACCTTAAATGTCTTTGTAGGTCAACATTTGCATAAGGACTTTGACCTTCAGTATTATTTTTGTTGACCACCTGGTTGTGATAGTGCATCAGATCATATTAAGAAAGACCAGAAAGTATGCAAAACCATTGAATGAAAGATCTGAAAGAACGTAGACCCAAATAACCCCAATGGCTGAAACGGTAAAAGACATTGGTGTTTTGGTGTCATTTTATGCTGCCTGAGTAAATGGTAATGTGAGCAATGAGGCAGTACACAAGGAAAAATTTTGTGCACCAGTTAGTAGTACACAAACTTTTTCCAAGGTTGTCGTAGACCTAAACGATTTCAAAAGCTACGTTATATCCTTTACTGACAAAAAAATAGTTGTTGTACAGAAGGGGATTGGGCAAAACCTTAACATAAATATTGCCGGTATCAAAGAATAGTAAAGGTCGTGTAGACATCTATTCAATTTGTTCAGAAGACTCTTGGAGCTATGAGTGGCCACAAATTGAAAGGCAGCCAAATTAGCCAAGTTCATACCAGTGCTTGTGAGATAACTAATTAGCCATATATGAGTTCAAACTACAAAAACATTGTCAAAACTATGACTACTTACTTATTAAACAACAAACTATAATGACTATGATGCCAAGACGAATACCTCAGATGGTGAATTGAAAAAATTAAAAAATCTTAGTGAACAGAACTTTGAAGGTGAGGCAAACAACAGGCTATTGGATGAAGAGGATACTCAACAAAGCAACTTGAGTAGTAAATATGTAAGCTTAGCTCTTGTGTTATATATACTGATTCTTTAATTTGTTTTTACTATGTCTGATACTTGTAAAGTAAGATTTGATATTGTGATACCAAGCCCAAGTAAATGCTCTCAGAGCACCTGGTTTCAACAAGTGAGTTGTCTTTATTTGTCTCACAAAAAGCAATATGACAAGTGAAATGCAATTCAGTCCTGGATGAAAAATGTTAAACGCAATATAATTTTTAGTAATACATCCTATAGGTTGAAATCTTACAGTATCAGCTTAGTACACTTACTCCTTTTTAAGTGATGCATGATTGGTTAAAAAAATTATCCATGATGCATGATTTAATAGAAAAATTATGTGTGATGTGTGATTGGAACTTTCCCTTTGCCACCCTCTTTGAGGATTCTCCTCCCTGCTAATGTTATAATAACATAAATATTATATATTCACTTGTTCCAAAATTTCACTTTAAATTTACAAAGAAAAGCTTGAGAGAAGTTGACATAGTACAATTCAGCAGAAGGTATGACAGCTTTATCTCAGCCCTATGCTTTGTACTCTAATAGAGCATGCTCTTTCAACCAATGACAGCATGCATTATATCCAAACTTCACTACAAATTAAGCTCAGGTTGTGTTCACCAGTTACCTAAATTAATATGTAATTGACAAAAAGCATGTCCCATTGAGCAACACACGACTTGATAACTAATCAGTCAATGCTCTTATTTACTGATTTAAAGGAAACCTACTGTCGTATTACAATATATGATACATTCTCGCCATACGTTTGTATATTGTAACGGGAGTTAAGAATACGATAAATCAAAGGCTTAGAAACTTGAAGGACGATTGAGGTCGTGATTACTGAGCACAATTAGACTGGATTAGAAAGGGGCCATGTGTATTTTCCGCTTCTTCCATGCGTTTTGCATGATGAAACTTAAACTACGAACTTCTCTTGCCAAGAACCCAATAAAAGTATGGTCTATCGCGAAGGAATGTAATATCATGAAACAACTATAGTTAGGGCTAAAAGGTTGCACGACAATTGATTATATTGTCGTGACAACAAACCTGAGTAACTAGTACCCACTGTTGAGAGGAATCATGATAAACAAGAGAGATGTTTTACTTGATCCACTTTGGAATTGAACCTCACCTCGTCTACCTTGGTCGCTAAACTCGGTTTCAATTCAATTTTTTCCTTTAACTCGTTAAATTTTCCCTCGTACGCGAGTGAACAGATCTCTACACGAGACATTGTCGGCGTCTTTTTGAAACCATCCATCTCGTTTTCAGATCGAGGACGACAACACTCTCAGGGGTGGGGTCACTGTGAACTTTGGAGACATATCACAGTTGGTCCTAGAGATAGTCTTGACGACCCTATTTAAGACTCTTTAGGATAGATCGGCTTGGTAAAAATGCTTAATCATTAAAAATACATGAACTTAATGAAATTTTTTAGAAAGTAGGAATTCGTGAAAATATATGTGTATTATCTATGGATAAAATAATTATTTATGTATAAAATGTAAGAAAGCAAAATTACATACATTACACGGGTAACGTTTAATGTCTGTAAACTAATCGAGTTTAGCAGTATGAGCGGAAGGCCGGAGCTTGCTATGATTTGCGAGAACTGATGCCTCTTGCACCGGAGGCAGTGAGTGTTTTTATAAGTTTTGTTTTAAGCCAAACTTGACGAAATGACAAGGACTGTTACGCGTAGGCCCCGGGGAAGAGTCATCAATATGTGGGAAGCTTTGCAGGGGGTAATCTTATTTCGATCGTCACTCGCGAGGCGTTGTATTATGTCCGCCATTTTGGTGGAATATTGTATGAAATTTAGAGTTTGAGACTGAACTCCAGCTGCTCTACCTCACTTTACAAACACTATTTGAAACATCGAAATGTCCGTTAGACGCCAGTTAAAGAACGTGGTGAACAACTACTCGAACGCCGAAGTAAAAGTTCGCGAAGCTACTTCGAACGATCCTTGGGGACCATCAAGTTCTGTGATGACTGAGATTGCCGATGCCACTTACAACGTGGTTGCCTTTTCAGAGATAATGGGGATGATTTGGAAAAGACTCAACGACCATGGAAAAAACTGGAGGCACGTGTACAAGTCATTGGTTGTTTTGGATTACATTATTAAGACTGGCACTGAAAGAGTAGCTCAGCAATGCCGAGAGAACTTGTACGCAATTCAAACTTTAAAAGATTTTCAGTTCATCGATAAAGACGGTAAAGATCAGGGAATGAACGTACGTGAAAAGGCTAAACAGCTTGTTGCATTATTGAAAGACGAAGATCGGCTGAAGAGTGAGAGGGCTCGAGCATTAAAAGCAAAGGAGAGATTCGCACAAGCCAGTTCTGGCATCGGCAGCGATTCGGTGAAAGCCGGCAACTTACGAGACTCGGGAAGCACATCTGATCTGCGTCTTGGTGCCCCAGCAGCACCAGCAACTGGTGTACCAACTAGCCGCTCGTGGGAACCTGCCAGGAAAGTCCTAGGCAGCGATATGGAAACCTGCCGTCCGTCGAATGCCAACGAGGAAGAATTACAGTTGCAATTAGCGTTGGCACTAAGCAAGCAAGAGGCAGAAGAGAAAGAAAAACTGAATGAGAGGGATGATCAACGGCTACAGATGGCCATTAGCCAAAGTCAACAAATTTCTTCACCTCAAGAACCATTGCCACTGGATGTTGGAAGCAATGGTGTTCAAGTTTCCCAGGATACGTTTGACCCTTGGGGTTCTACACCATCAGGGGTTGCAAGTTCCCCCATGTCACAACCGTCCATATCACAACCTTCCATTCCACAACCTGATCCCTGGCTAGGTGGCACCAATTCAGTTGCCACTGCTCCTACCAATCCTTGGGGAGACAACAGTGCATCTTATCACTTACCAATAAACTCATCACAGAATCTTTTTGGAGCTTCAAACAACGCACCTGTTGTGGCAGCTATGGCTGGAGGAACAGATCCCTGGGGAGCAGCCCCTATACAAAGTAATTCAGCTACAGCACCTCCCCTGAGTGACCCATGGAGTGGAAGAGACATTTTTCCCGCAGAAGTGGCACCACAACCTCAAGGGCCATGGGAAACTTTGCAGCCTGAGGGTTCCAATGCTTTCAACCAGAGTGCTACTGGCAGTGAAATTTCAAGTCAGCCACCTTTGGTTCCATTTAACCTTGAAAATAAAGATGAAGTATTAATGAAGTCAACAGGTGGCCAGGAATTCCTGGATAACAGGGTTTCTAATTTGGTGAACTTAGATTTGCTTACTCAAAAACCTGACCCTGTTGCCAATCCTTTCTTGTCCAGCAAACCAGCATCATCCAGATCAACTAATCCATTTGTACAAGATAAGCCTCAAGCACCAACACTGAATCAGCTTCGTGAGCAGCCAGTTGTAGTACCAAACAGCATGCAGAGTATGAGTGGAGGAGTGTTACTACCCTCACCTCTAATTCCAGATTCTACCTCTAGACCCCAGCAAACAGTTCAAAGTAATCCCTTCCTGTGAGGAAGCAAGTGATCAACTTAGTCAAGAAGAAAGGTATGTTTAATTTGTTGTTTCAACAGAATTGCTTATTGCCTTGAACATATGATATTGCTAATCAGGTGATGGGGTTCCCTTCTGTGGAAATTATCTTTTAAAAGGTTTTTCCCCTGAAGTGCACTTGAGGTTACGAGAGAAGGAAATGAAAAATAAGTAAAAAGTCATTTACACCCTGCTTACTATGCTAAGGTTTTGTTTTTGGTCACTCAAAGAAAACAGAGGTGGCAGAACAAAAACTAGTCACAAAGTTTGAGTGTTCAAACCACCTGTTGAAATTCAATTGGTCAGTTATTTAAACTTTTGTCTAACAAAAATGTGTTCTAAGCCATCTTCAATTTAGCAGAACTTTATCTGAACATTTATTTTCATTTACAGTGTTAAGTGGGCCAAAAGCTTATTGTGGAAGGACATTTATTTTATTATATCAACCCTCTTAAAGAGAATCCCTGAGGCCCACTACTTGGGTAAAGCTACTGTATGGTTTGGGTTAGACCTTGTGTTAATAACCAGCCCAATGAGTTTTCTAGAGCTTCCCCTTTGGATAGTTTGCTAATAACCAAATTGATCCACCCCAAATGGAAGGAACCTGTTACATATTGCATCTTGCATCAAAATCAAGAGTCTAATTTAAGGACTGTATTTACTCGTGTCTAAGTCGACCTTTTAAGACTAAAAACTCAGCCCAAAAAATCACCCATGACTTATACACAAGTCATACACAAAGACCTGGTCTAAAGCAATCCAAGAAATTAGCATAACAATTGCCTGAAGTCTGTAAAGGAAACCAAGTTTACAAAACCAGTTCTAATTGTGTTTGAGTTTCGTCAGTTTTCAGTGCATTCTTCATCAACAAAAAGCTTGAAATAATAAATTTTAAGAGGCTTAAACACAAAGCTACTGAAGCTGATGTCTATTTTGTCTCTAATCTGTAGAGCAGACATTTCACTTACAGCTTTGCTGCTGTTTGCGGTGCTGAATTGAATGATTTCAGTAGCTTAGTGACCTGGCAAATGGTGTTGTCTTACAAAGTCTTGTTTTTTACCAGCAATCTTTCAAAGCTCCTCAGTGTTCCTTCGGTCCACTAAATCTCCTTTCAAACTTAACATTAAGTTTAGTTAAACGCAAGATGATTTTATTTTCAATGTGATTCAAAAAATATGGTAAAATACTTCTCTGGTAAATGGAAGTGCTAGTGTATGCTTAACTGGTGGTGATATAAACAAGTGCTGATAAACTCTACAGCACATGGTTACATTTTGTTTTGCAGTTTTTTTTTTTAATTCACTGTGTTATCAATACATTCTCAAAAATAGGAGATTAACTTTTTGGGAAATTTTTATTGGTATTCATTTTACTTCTTTAACCATAAATGATGAAGAATATGATTTTTGACCTTGAAAATGAGGGGTGGACTTATACATGAGTTCGACTTGTACACAAGTAAATACAGTATATACATTTCTGTTGATGCCAGTAAAGTAAGAAATGCCTAGGTAGCTACAGTATTTAATCTAGAAAGGCCTCAAAAGAATTAAATATTAAATTTTTTATAAATACTTGTATTGAAAAAACAGAACATACTGGAAACAACCAGTGTCTTCCATTTCCATTTTCTTGACCATATACTTGACAAAATCTTTTAATCATCATGGCCAATGTTACTAACAGAACAACATGCTTCTCCTTTTCACAAGCTGTTGTGTGTGTTGTTGCAACATTTTTCACACTGATTTTGGTCAATTTAGTGTCCTTTGTGTCCTAATGGTCCTCAGCCACTAATAATTTTTATTTGCTGTTCTGTTCAAAAGTAAGTAGCACTGCCAATTTTAGCGAGCCTTCTGAAATGCTTAGAGAACTTGTTTCCAATTGTCTCACTAAAATTAAACAAATAGTTCACTGATTAAACTATAATTAGAGAATCATATGGTGGATGTAAAGAACTAATTATCAATACTTTCAAAATTGTTTCTACTACAACATTTATTTAGTATATTGAATCTATGCCCAAATGCATTTCTAGAGTAATTGCCAGGAGAGAAGGGTGCATCAGGTGTTGAACTTTGCCTCCCTTAAAAAAACACAACACTTTTCAAAGACAAGAATAGTGTCTTCAACTGAAAAGTCCAATAATAGTGACTAAAATGATGCAGCGGGTTTCACGAAGGAGTATATACAAACATTGTTTGCATACAATATTTCCTATGTGTAGTTCACTGAAGATTATTCACAATTATCGACACTCTTGTCGATCTTTCCATTTGATTCTTTGTTTAATGAAAGATACAATGTAATTCTAAACTTTCATATTCTTGAGGTGTTAAAAAACAATGTCAAAGGTAAGCATTAAGCAACTGATATGTACTTGCTAACTCAACATTTCTGAACAATCTCCCAGCATTCCTCTTAAATACACTCCCAGACACATTTGTTGGTGTTCTCAATGTTTACCTGCAAGGTCACTTAGAAACAGTGGGGGTAAACAACATTGAAAGGGGGAGAAGGGTGAAAGAACATCATGGATGTTACTTTGGAGAAGTTCTCTAACCACAGTGGTTCTATCTGGGAGTGTAGATTGATTAGCAATAACTGTCCTAGCCAGCCATTGTATTTTCCAACTCTGTTTTGTGTCTCCTATTTACTATTAAGTTCAGCTTGTGCTCTATATCGAGGCAGCTTCCTTTCCTTAACCCCCTACACCCTAAGATCAGCATGCATATTCTCCTTACTGAGATTAACAATCCAGATCCTCTTTTGTTGGTGATTATTTCCTTTTTTCTTGTGACCTTAACTGTGTGTTCTTATGTGGTATTGTAAGGAGAAATTTGATGCTTGTTACTCTTAAGGTATAAACAGTTAAAACAATACTTTAGGGAAGATTTTGGTAGGTGGCTGCTCAACTTGTTAACAGCCTGAAACAATACTCTGTTGTAATGTGGATGAACTTTTTAAACAACTGGCAATATGAAATGGAATAGGCTCTGGACCTTCTTTAATTGCTGCAGCAAAGATACTTTTCCTGCTGCCTAACATTTCAATCATTAAATTGTGTATTTTGCTTGCACCAATCAGATTGCACTTCAGTATGTTGTTAGCATTGATAAGATTGCACCTGCTATTTTGCTGGCATTAATCAAATTACACCAGGTATATTGCTTTCACCAATTAGATGGAATTTAACTTTGTGTTTCACTGAAATTTTATATAACATTCATCTTGTTCACAACGTTGTGCCTTAATTTAATTCTGGAAGCTACAAGATAAGTGTGTCCAAGATATGTCATGTCAACTCTAATGTGTCCTTTACATGTTTTGCCATATAAATTAGACTGCAACACTTGAGGATACAGTATTGTGGGACAGGATTTATGCCTCTTTCTTAGACAAACTTGTAATCTTCCCTTTTTCTTTTTTGCAACATAATGGCAAAATGATGTTTCAGTAGGAGTGTTCTTTGTCCAACTAGACCCTGTGAGCAGGGTAACTGGGATACCTGGATGGTACTGGATCCTTGGGATCAATTGTAGTGATACTAAGGGTGTTAGACTAATACTGTAAAACAAGAAAGCAAGTGACATGGCTACACACTGTGTACCAGCACTTAACCCAAACATTGCCACATTGTCATGACTGTAAGGAACTTGAATTGTTTTAGTAGAATTGATAATAGGACCAGGGTTTTTTCTATATCCTCAGAAAGATTAGACTTAAAATGATTTATCCTGTGATTCAGATTTTTATAAACGTTTGGTACTGAATTAGACCTCCATGCATTCAACTGCTTTGGCTTTGGACTGTTTATTACATGTGGGTATTGGTTTTGCATTTTCAGTATCCTGTATTTGTTAGACTTTGGATATTTTCTCCTGGCTGCAGAAGAGGGATATTTCATTGTTCCTTTATTTTCACAACTGATTCCATGTGCATATATTTTTTCACAAGCTTAATTTTCTGATGTAGGTTTGTAGTAAATGTCTTACTCTCCTGGATTTCTGCAAAATACGTGTAATTCTTTTCTTTGGTATTCTGCTGGGCTCACAATCCTGAACATGAATACCATATGTACGAGGGCAACTAAAATAAACAAATTTGTCATATCGAGATCTACAGTTACAGACTGTATTTATTGAAAATGCTTCATCATTGCTATTATTAAGCTTATTATCATATACAATAACAGATAACTGAGCAGCTTTCTTAAATATGTTACATTCATCAAAGCTATTCACAGCAGCTTTTGCTGAAGACATCAACAACTTCATGTAGAAATCAGCCCACAAGACAAATGTGTAAACAATAGATAACATAACAAGATACACAAAAATCACAGGATTTTGGATCATGTATTTATTAAAAAAGAATATCCATACAACTACAATGAAAACAAATATAAGATTCACCTTTGTGATCGTGAAATTAATACCATTCGTACTGTTATCGTAGCTACGTTCCTTGGCATCAAGTGAATCAAACACGGTGTCTTTCTTCACAAGCAGTTATCATCCATTAGAGTTTTGTTCTTCAATCTCACAGTAGTAGTGGTATGATTTTGCTTTTTTTTTTTAACAAGTGTACGTTTTTCAACTAAGACATCAGCATACAAGGCATACAAGGCTTTTATGGCTTTCAAGGCATACAAGGCTTTCATGGCTTTCAAGCGTTCGTGACTCAATCCGTTCCAAAAATACTGCCCAGTAACATCTTTTAGTGTGGATTGTCTGCGAACAATATGACTTGTGCATGTGTCTGTAAGTATTTTGAGTGTTTGCGCCATATAGCTGTAGGTAATCATAAACAAAGATATTGTACCTCCATCAACAAAGCAACAATCCCAGAACAAATACAGAATGGCTGACAAGAGTTTTATAAGCGAAAATCTTGTGTTCATCATGTGACCCGGCCTTGTCCATGCATGACAACGTCAACCATTGTCAAGATAACATGCATGATCAGCATGTGAACACCTCCACCCCCATTGGATCACAGTTAGTTATCATGGTGTTGAGGGCCCAATGACCACTGGGTACTATTGTGAAATTTTTCCCATTTTGTGGTGGAGGAAAAAAAAAGAGACAACAAAAACAAAGGCGTTTTATGACTGGGCTACCACAGGTATCCCAGTAACGAGAGACTTTTGAAATTTTTGAAAAGAAGCAAGTAAATACTCCTTGTGTTATGCAGTGGAAAGTACTGATGAATTACTGTGTGATCAAATTTAGTCTTCAGTTTTCTTTCTTATTATTGTCTTTGTTTTTGGCTGATAGAATATACTGAAAAGTAAAACATTAACTGAATGTTGTTAATTTCATTTTGTTTACTTATTCATTTATTTGCTTATTTATCTCTTTTCAGCCACTGCCTGAAGATTCTTGGGAAAGAATTCAGCTCAACTGGTCTTGGAACAAGTAATTGTCATCAGCTTTCTTGTTTAAAAAGAAATATTCTGAAAAACTGGAGACTAAGAAAAGTAAAATATGCCTTATGGTGTTCTGTGGGTTTTTTTTTTTTTTTTTTTTTTTTTAACATTTTAATTGTTATAAGTACATATAGGTTAGAGAGTAGCTACAGCATCAAATCAAAAATAGAAAGTAATACCTTTATAAACTTCAAATTGTATCTAAATTTTTTTGTTCATGATATTTAGCTCTCTGTTACATGGACATTTAAACTAGAAATAATGAAATTGACCTGAATGGAAGATCAATTTTTCAGTTGGCCATTTTGGATATACTAAAATTCAAATTTGACTCTGAAGCCTGGGGGAATAAAACAAAGTAAATGACATGGAGGTTTAGCAATGAATAATTTATTTCTTTTGTTTTATTCCCCCTAGCCTTAGAGTTTCATTATATCAAAAATGGCCTATCAGCTAGTTAATGGAAAGAACTTGCATGTAACAAAGGAGAGTGTTAATGGTCAAATTACCATTGATCAGGTGATAAGTTGTTGTCGTGGAGACTGATTGAATTTTCATTACTCATGTCATCAGTTCCCTAGTAATAAAACATCAACAAATTAAAGAGCCTTTTTCTCCATTTTTCAACACATCAGTGGCATTAGAAGTGTCCCTTAGTGCATAATTTTCTTTGACATGAAATGAAATTCAGACTTCAATTTTCTTTATATTGTTTCTTACCAATTCAAAGACTAATTTTCTTGTTTGTTTATTTAGTTGTTCCTCAGCAATTTGGGTCCCAGAGTGCCCATTGACAATTTTGATTTTGATTTTCATCTGGAATTAATAGGTGAATTTTGAATTTTCCATTTTTCCCCTTGATTCTGTCATTTTGGAACCATACAAACAGATGTGTTCTTTGGAACAGCTTCTCTTAAGAATGCCTGAAACTTGGAAATCAGCAACTAGCAGTTATTTCATACTGACTGAGAACAATATTGGAAAAATATTGAGGAAAAATTGAAACAATTTTGTATTCAGTTCAAATTTCAGGAGGATGGAGGAGTAAAATGAAACCTGTTTCTAATCTCCTCTGAAATAGAACTGAACAACCAGTTTCATGTTTGTCCTGGTGCCCCAAAGCACAAAAATAAGGTTGAATTCCTTCTTGCATGGTATACATTTATAAAATCAACTGTAACTGTCTGCACACATGGACACACCCACATCTGCTTTCCCCTGAATATTTTCTATCTTTCCATGGATTTGTCCACCGCAGTAAAACGTTACACAGTTTAACTTGAGTGTTAACCTAATAGTTATGAAGTACAACAGAAGTGGTCTTTCCAAAGTACATAAATGCTAACCTAAACTTGATTCTGTGAATTTACAGCTTTGTAGCCAGTTGGGGAGGTTAATGGTATCCAGGAAAGGGTGTGTGATTGGCTGTGAGTTGTTCTTATCACAACGTGCCCTTGATAGGAAGATGCCTCCAGCTTGAACTTCCTTTCCACTGAAGTTGTAGTTAACTTGCACAGCTACAAGTAAATTTATGAGAAGTATATGATCCTAATTCCTATGCCACTGTTTTTTGTGGTTTGTGAACCTTTTTGCCCATAAGTTACACAAGCAACTGGCCAGTTTATCTCTGCTACTGGTTTAAAATTCAAAGACTTAATAATCTATATTTATTGAGACGAAAATACATTTGCTCTGTCATCACTTTGCCATGTTGTAATGTAATAATAAAACTTGATGTCTGTCTAGAAATATGACTCTATTTGTAGTTGCAGGAAGCTTGGTGGGTGAAATGAGTCTTGCCACAACTTTATTGTTTTTTGCTCTACAAAAACCATCCTTTTTTTTGTCCACCAGTTTGGCTATCAGTTGTGTGTATATTTCAGTCCATTCATTTTGCTGTCTTCAAATTGTACTAGAGTGCTTTTATGTCTATCTGTTGGCCTTTCTTGTTATCTTACTGAAGTTTGATGACATTCTCATGTTTGTCTTGGTATTTCATTTGATGATGAAATTGCATTCCAATCCTCTTCACACAAAGTTAGGTGTTACCATTATGAGGGCCTACAGAATGTACTTTTGCTGGTAAAACTGTAAACTTGTTCTTGTGTTTTTAACTTGTTCGAGTCCAATTCTTTTCACGATCAGACAGTTGGTAAACTCGAGGCTTTCCTTCTGGAAACACTGTAATCAAAGGCTGCGGATGAGTGAGAATATGAAGGAATGTGGCTCTGGTTGTAGATGCAAAGTAAGGAGGTTCACAATGAGGTGATGTTGACAGGTTCTGTAAGGAAGAAATACCTCAGACAAGAAACAAAGATAAAACAAAGAATTTACTTAGCAGGCTTGCCATTAGACCTCAGCTCAGCCAATGATGTGTTTATCATAAGTAAAAAAATGTTTAACAAAACACAAGCTGATTGAAAAAAACATGCTTTCTTTCACCAAGTTATGACAAAATCAAAATCTTAACTGTAACTATGTCAGACTTCATTCTTGGTTACAAATAAAGATGGCTTTGTTATATGCTCACCCTGTTAATATGGTTGGGTAAGGATACTTATGAAGGTAGTCTTGACTTACAACTGAGCCTTTTACCAATGAAGCTCGCAAGGGTCAGTCTTAAAACTGGGTTGAAATTTTGTAGGTGTACTTGTGCCTATTATGGGAAGTTTATAATTGGGACTTTTAATTTTGTTCTCAATCATTTACACTTTCACAATTCAGGTTTAACTGTAGGAAAGTGAAGAAGAAGAGCAAATGGATATTTATTTACTTATTACCTGTAGTATGACTTTGTCATCTGCATTACAATAAAACTCCAAGTATTTAGCAGGCAATTTGTTCTTACTATCATAAGGTTCAATCTGCAGCTCTTTGTTACTTGAATTATATACTTCTACCATCTGTTAAAGGACAAAGGTGAATCTCTGATTATTATTTATTCCAAATAACAGTGGAAATTATTTTAAAATTTTATATCATCTCAACCAATCTTCTAAGGTGCCAAAAACAATACTTTTGCTATCACATATGATGTACTACCAAGGTTATCCTTTCCTTTTTTTGTAGTTTTAAGAGATTCAAATAGCATTCAAATGAAGGTGGCTGTGGATACAAAAACTGGCTGAGAACCTGTGTCCAGTCTTAAAGTTATGTTGAGCAGAAATAGTAAGATGTGAAACCTTTTAGGTATGAAACCTGATGTGATGCTAGGTTTACCATGTCATTCAACTGTAGAATACAAGCAACTCATTGAAAACAAATCTGTATTATCAAAAAGGATTACTTCTTCTCCCTATGTGATGGTGACCTTATCACCCAACTGTTGCCTGAAAAGTAATCCTGTAACTGTAACAGAAGGCATGCTGGGAGTCTGGATAACATGCTTGAAAGTCAAGCCAGAAAGAGGCAGAGGAGCTTCATTTCAGAAAATCTCAACAACTTCCTCAATGTAGCAAAATGTTAGGAGTAAAAAAAGCATAATTATTTCAATTAAGTTGAACATTTAGATAGATTTAAGTGCTGATAAGCTGCTAAAAAGAAATTTTTGTCAAAGAATTTATGGTGCAAGTTTGCATATGGTATATGTTATTGTTGTCCCTTTCAGAGAGTCTTCTAAGTGGCAAGCAGTAATTCATGGAATAAATTATTACTTTACCCTTTCATCACCCACAAATACACGAGCATGTCGTATGATTTCATCAGGACCCTTATTCTCAAATGTTGCTGGATAAATCTCACCATCTTGAATGCTGACACCTGTCACACAAAGAATATGATCAAGGCAGTACATAATCCAAATCTACACATCAAGCTAATTTTGCCTTTTTCAAGGTGGGCAGTCATAGGTTGCATTCCCCTCTCTTGATTGCTAAGTATGTAAAGGTAGCAAATTTGTGGGACAGTGGTATTTGTGTTACCTATTCCAGAAATTATAGGCTTGTGTTGTCCACTTTCAACCACATTGTTGAATCCTGTTAACACATTATAACAATACAGTAAAGTCAGAGAATTAGAAAGGAATCATGTGCATGACACCAAGCATTGTGACAGTGAACATCTCATTCCTTCCCTTTATTTCCCCCTCCACTTCCTTCTCCTCTGTCTGCTTATTAATAATAATACCTCTCCTTGCTTCTCCTTTACCATTTCCTGTAGTAAGTGAGAAGGACTTTTATGTTCTAATATGCACATCATTTCCCTATAGACTCAAAACTTTAAAATAAACATGTGTGCTTAAACAAAAGTTGTTATTTCCCCAACCAAAATGTCTACCGGTGAGTAACACAGTGCGTCTTACATCTTGACAATCTCCTCATTTCCTAACCTACCTGTACCCACAAGGAGAATTTGTTACACAATCAAGTGCTTTTTTGGTTGGCAATCTTTTCCTGTAATGTTGTGACTGTAATGTGTGATTTGAGGGGTGGTATTGTACAGAGAAATGAGCTGCTAGTCATTATGTCAGGTCAGAGAGTTTTAACTCTTGAAGGACTTTGAGAGGTTTCAAACACATACCTGTTACACATGCTGAACATAAATGAATGGGTTCGTCCTGTTTCTGTAAAGCTTCTAGAACATGATTTAACACATTAAGAATTTAGGATTCATTTTGTAAGAGGAATTTGTTACATATCAAAAAAAATTACCTAAAATCGATACTGTTAATCCACTAGAAATCCCCCTATCATCAAGAAATCCTCCAAATAAGTGAAGCTCATTCCTAAGGAAAATAAAAGAGAGACGTAGTGGTGATTAAATAAGGGTTCTATAGGTCAGTTATACCATCATAACTTTAAAAAAAAAATGAATGATAAACAATAAAATAAAGAGAGGTTATTAGCCAGTTTAGCCCAACACTTAAAACAAAGGTTCAATTACCATAGATTTGCAGGTGAAATTATAGATATTAATAATTGTGGAACAATGTGATCTATCTTTACTTTCATTAGATTAGCAAAGTAAAACCTTCTTGGATGGATGTGGTTAAATCAATAGCATTACTTGCCTTCCATTTGCATCACATTTTGATCGGGAAAGGTTAGTGACAGATGCAATCATGCCTTTGATACCTTCCTCTGTACTTTGGCCATCAAAGTGTCCTAGACTTACCACACCTGATCCTGATAGAAGTAATATTCATTATACAGGTACCTTAAGTATTGTATTAAAAAGAATGGTCTGCTTGGAAAACATTTGTCATGTCCTAATCTTGCCAATGTATCTAACCTGTTGTTTAACAACAGTATTCTTTGTGCTATAAACATTTTAAAAAAGACATACAATGCAAGTTTGAATCAACTTTAGTAACACCTCTTACTCTAGTGGAGGATTAAAATGTATCTATAACAAACTAAGCCTAGCTGTTGTATGACCACCAAATCATCATGACCAAATTGTCAATGCTCAATGCAGTTTTCATAGTCACATGAAAATTTAATTAGAAAATATACAATTCAAATGTGAGCCTGTCTCTTGATTCTGCTGCTAAAAGCCTGAATCCCAAAATCAGTTTAATCCATCTCAGCAGAACCATATTTAGAAATACCTGTGTTTCGTAAAACAACAATATGACAGGTTGTAGCATCCTCAGATCCCATGATGGTAATAGGTTCTACAAAATGAAGTATGGAAAACCATGCAAAGCACAAATGAATAAAGGAGTAAGTTTCTAAAGAAACTGTGGTGCTGTCTCAGTGGGAGAGTATAGCAGGTAATTTAGTGTTAACAACTGAGTTGAAAACGTAAATTAGCCATTGTAAAGGGTAAAAAAGCTGACATTTTGAGCGTTAGCCCTTCGTCAGAGGGGACAGAAATACATCACTCTGACAAAGGGCTAACGCTTGAAATGTCAGCTTTTTTTATCCTTTACAGTGGCTAATTTATGTTTTCAACTCAGTTGTGAACACTAAATTACTTGCCATGCAGAGCACAGATAGAGTTTTCTACCCTACTGAAAAAATTTCCAACAAACTAGCTACAATTATCCATGTGGTAATGTGAGAACATATAAAATACCCCAGCGAGTATTGTAGGACATTCATAAAGGGAGAAGGATCGAAAATTGTTAAAAGAAATACACTGTACAAGACAGGTGTGATATTTCAAGGACCCTTAGTAGGAAAAAGTGAAAAGTAAAGCTTTACATGTGGTAGAGTACTCAATAAAACTTGCACATTCTGGAAGATTTCTAGGTTATGAATACAATCATTAGAAAATTACCTTTTAATGATATTGTATAATAGTTGTGGCACCCAGTCTTATACAGAAACAATTAACTCTGGCCTTTTAGGGAAGAATATTTTGGAAGAGTAAGAATTGAAACAAAGAAAGTGTATATAGTTTTCACAAATGAAAAGCTAAAGCTCCTACCATCATCTTGTGCCACAGTAGCATATTCCCTTTGAATGATGTATAGTACTCCGCTTGGTCTCTTTACCCTTCTTTGTGGCTTTTTGCAGAAATTTCTAGCACTTTGCTACAAATAAAAGCACGTCATGTTTGCATCTGTAGAATGACCCCATTTATGAACAAAGGTAGTATTAAATGTACCAGAAACTCAGTCACTCTTTGTGAACTTTTATGCATGGAGATCAAATCTAATTCCAAGACTGTTTGGAGAACAGAAATAACTGATCTCAAGACTTGAAAACTAGACTCCTGAATCTCAGATCAAGACTGCTTCTAAACTAAAGAAATACTTGTCCTTCCTTAATATAAATATACTCTTACAGCTCCTATGTAGGAAACTTTGTGTAAAAACACATATGTACTTTTATTAAAAGTAGAAGTTAATGTCAACCTCATTGGTGATTTGGGAGAGCCAGTACCTTTTCACATGCTGACCATCATGTATATTTGTTTATTAAAATGCAAGGAAGTTTGTGGGTGTCATAAAATAAGAAAAGAAGAGAAAATTTCTATGCATCTTAGAAAAAATTGAATAAACATTACAAATTACATTTGACACCTTCCTTACCAAATTTTGCTTCGTCCCTCCAACACTTTTGGAGAAAATTAATACACAAATCATGCCATAATTGATATGATTGGAGCCAAACTTAGCACCCAAAGGAATTGGAAGCAGGCGGGTGGCTTCAAATTGACCTACCAGCCTTATCCTTTATTGTAGTGGTTCAACACTGATTGGTCAATTTTAGATGGCCATTATCCCAAAATTACTGGGTTCACACTCAACTTGCCCGGCATTTTAAATATTTCAGTAAAGAAAGAAGGCAACATTGAGTTCCCATTCACCTAGCCAATCAGAATACAGAATTTGTTACTCCCTTCCAATAATATAACAGTGAGGTAGTTTCCAACTCAGTTCCCATCAACAGGTAAGTTGCCAAGCCAACACATCATTTTAACTACTTTAAAGTATGCATGGGTTCCACAAAAATTTGACTTCTAAAACTTCCCCCAAACTAATATAATTTCTATGTGTATATTCTAGAGGCGATATATCTGTTAATAATGGTGATTGAACTGAGTAGAGTGCAATTTGTATAGGTAATTACATGATTTTGAGTGCAACTTGGGACAAAGCACTGAGCATGAGTAACTTTTTCAAGGGTTGACAAAATTACCAAAGCCCATAGGTAAAGTGCAATTTTGAATTGCGCATACTGATTCATCCTAAATTGCACAAGAAAAATCATGTGATTACTAGTTAATAATACAAGCAAAAATATGATTCTGTTTTCCTTTTTAGTTGTTTTTGTTCCATGTCACGGCTCACCGGTGCAGTTGCTTGCCTTTGCCTTGCTGCCAGAGTTGTCTGGCTTTTCCCTGATGAACTTGCATCACAAGAAAGCTAATCACACTTGTAATCTTCCCAGTTTTTCATACAAACTGTGGCATGAAACTCCTTAAGAATTTTTTTCAAGCCCTTCAGTTCATACTTTCATATTCTTTCTTGAAAGCCAGATTTTTATCCAGTTTTTTCCTTCTGTTGGGTGTTTTTGTTTAAAGTATTCTCCCTCAAACTCTGAATTAAAACATTGTTACTATCTCCTCACCTGTTCTCCATTTTGTTTTCCTGTGCTTTCATGACTTACCTTTCTGCACTCAATTTTAACTTTCTGCACTCAATTTCAACTTTCTGCACTCAATTTCAACTTTCTGTACTTTTTGGGATTAATTAGTGTCTTCTCAGCGAATGAGCATGTTGAAATTTTTGCCTGTGTACTTGATCTGGTCTGACATCGTATGCATCATTAGAAATCACAAGTATGAATTAAGACCAAATTGCACAATGCAAAGTTCAATTACCAGTTTATAACATCCATTTCGAAATAGCAAAATTCAGTGGCTCAGGTACAAGATTTTTTAGTTTGTAGAAAGTTGCAAAAGTTGTTTTTTATTTTCCTGCAATTTTATTGGTTTCTTTAAACCAGCAATTGGTTGTTGTATCAGTAAAGCTTCCTCGTTAGCTGGGAAAAAGATGCGATTTAGAGCAAAAAATGATGCGATTCGTGAATAAATTGTACCAATGAGAGCCATTCAGATTACAAACATCACCAGTGATTTCAAAATGCATGCAACAAATACTCAAAACAGATTGCTGAGTAGATGAGTATACCGTACCCTAAAATGCTCATGTTTTCTTGAAAATTCTTCAAAGGATCTTAGTCGTGAGCTTTCAATCTCGCCATTTATTACTAGCGGCATACCTAAAGAAACCAAGGAAAAGGTATACAGGACTACTAAACCGTATTTTAGTGGCTAGTGCATGCCAATCTGTCCATTCTTAACTAACTCGTCTTACCGGCAAGGTGGGGCCGATACGGATACGGACGATACCGAGGTCTGCTCGGAAAACATCGATATTAGAGGAAAGTGTCGATGCTACGAGGAGCCGAAAAGACCCTGAGCTTGAGATTGACGAGAGTTTGGGCGATGAGAGCGCCGCAGCGTTGCAGATATGTCTTCCGGGTTACGCTATATCGAAGGCGTTCGTCGAGGGTAAGAGTACACGGTAATTTTGGTCAGCGGGAAAATTATCAAACCCGCGAATATTGCGAAAGCCCGCGAAAGGATGAGATCTAAAAACTGAAGACAATTTTTGATTAAGACACTAGAATGCGTAATGATGCCGGTAACTAATCATTCTTCTTTAAATAGATCGGAGATTGACTTCCTTGAGGAGAACCTTGAAAATTGTTCTGTTGAAAACCAGTACTTCTTGGGTTATTTCGACAGGAAAAGAGACGAGTTCGAGGATATTCTCGAGAGGTTTCTTCTTATTAGTTCCACATGCTTTGTAAAGAAGGCCTTGAGGCCAAAGGGGTTAAATCACAAGAGGCTTTCGAAAAATGGTACGCAGTTTCTTTCATTTTTTTAGCTGATTTTTTTACCTTTATCAATTCGGTGTGGGCCTTGTAGAGACTTGGTCATTTGCCGCAATTTTGTAAAAACTTACTCAATGCACCGGGTGTAAAAGTGTTTAAATATTTAAAAGTATTTCATATATTGGAAAGCCCTTGGAAAACACTCTAGGTGCGTAATCTAGTATACCAAAATACTTTTTCAAATTTTTCGTATTACGTAAGTAAAAAACATTGAACTTCTCTCAACGGACTCAACCCTGCAAGGAGAATCTCTCTGATAATTTACTATTTAAGAGACTACATTACCGTCTAAAATTCAAACGTTACTGTTAGGCTTATTAGCGCATTGATAACCTAGTAAATAGCTCAAACATACTGAAAACATTTTTATTAGTTTTTGTATATCTTTATCTGTGAGCCACATATGAGTAAACAAAAACAGAAAAGTATAGTTTGATGGCTTGTTTTCATGAATCTAGGATTTTGGGAATCGCTATAAACTACGCGATCACGCATTTAGTAATATTTCTTCTCCTCCTAGTGATCGATACTGGAAGAAACTAGTAACGGTGTAATGCTATTTTATGTCTTAACATCTTAACATTTAGAATGCGAGATAGTAACAAAATAATCAAGCAGCAACAACCATTAACATAACATAATAATCCGAAGACAACGAACATTAAAAGAGTGCAGGGTACTGAAGAAATAATGAGGCAACAAACGAACATTAAAGGAGTGAGAGATACTAACGTAATAATCCGGAAAAAAAAAACAAACATTAAAAGACTGCGGTATACTAACGTACTATCAGACAACAACTACAACAACAAACATCAAAAGATGTTCAACATTGGGTTTTACATTGAAAGTAACTATTCATTCCAACAAGGGAAGCTAAAAAGAACACCAGAAACTAATGTAATTATCGGGCAACAATAAAAACTAAAAGTAAGACTAAGTAAGACTTGCACCTCCAGTATGTTGTAATAAGACTTTCTTAATGGTCCGATGTCGTCGAAGCCTGCGACCGAGGGTCTTCAACCCGAAATAGGTTATCCTAGACCAGATGTCTACAATTACTGCCACAATGGTTGGGTTTATCTTATATTTTAATTAAACCATGTTATCCTAATAGATGCCGATAAAGCGTGAAGGATTCGACCGATAACTTTCAGAAGTCAAGTCTAAAACAGAGACAAGAAAAATGGAAAAAAAACATGCCCGTTATATTGATATTCTTCAGTGTAAGTTTTGTCCAAAATGATGTTTTTGATTCAGTAATACCAATGTGTCTACTCAAGAGGAGAATTTGTCGTACTGTTTTAAACAAAAAATGTTACTTCTTACCAATCCAGGATAAGGTTCACATTTTATAGAAGAAAATAACACATCATGCACGGAGGCCCAAAACATACCAATACGTTGTTATCCAGAACACACCCTTTGTCAAATGATATCAAAGGGCTGTAGCCCAGTTTCTGACAAGTTGTCATGTTTTGTCTGATCTCGGCATGTCAATATAGGTTTCAAGCAAACAGTATTAGAAGAAACTCAAATTCCACTTCAGAGGCAGCAAAGGAAAGATTTAGCGGGTACCTGAAGGAGAACCTCCAGTTACAATTGTTTCTCCGCTTTGCACCAGTGCAGTGGCTGTGACTGCATTTCTCCCACCGTCGTCTGCAGAGTGATCGCGATGCAGCATACAGGAGCATAGAAATCAGAGCCAAGAACCGCCATGCAACACTTGACAAGAAAACGTTCGTGGAATGAGTTTCCAACATTAACTTTTAAAGTTTTCATCATGGACGCCCTTCAAAGAAAAGGGAATACATCTGTTCATGTTAAGATACGTGACTAAAAAGTGTACGGGCTTTCTACATCTACATCTTACAATTTATTGACTTGATAAAATCGCAAGATATGATACCAACTGTTCAAATAAATAAATAAATACAAATAATAAAAAAGAGACCCAAAATTTTAAAAATCTAAGAGCTTAAATCATGTAGTATATAAATTTCGACTAAAAATCAGTACAATAGAATACTAAAAAATATTGACTAACTTCGTTTTAAAGCTATCTACGCACAACAACTTCGGGAAGGGAGTTCCATCGATTTAACGTGGGAAGGAAGAAAACTTGAGCACATCTTTCTTTTTCCTTAGGACTACAACCTTAGATGGTTTAGATGGCTGCTACTGGAAAATCTGTTAGATAGTGGGAGAGATTATAGATAAAAAATAGTCGGCGGTTTCCTAGTTAAGTTCCTGCAGCATTTCCGTCACGCTTGTATATGGGTTGTAGTTGCTCGTACAGAATCGCACTACCTTTTTCTGAGCTTCCTATTCCTTTTGAAAATCCTTCTTAGAAGGCATCCCGTGCGGCACTTCCATATTCGAGGGTTGATCAGAACTAAGTTGTACGCCGTTTCTCTTAAACAAGTTTCGCCGCACAACGCCGAGTACTTTACATGCTTTTGTCAAGACGATCAGTACGTGTTGATCCATTTAAGAGTCGATTAGCCTGTTTCAACCGCTCAGCAAGTAAAGGGAGGCGTGAAAACGTTCTTTAGGCGTCCAACCTAAACCTCTGTCGTTTTTCGCTCTACAGATTGCACTGTTTTCTTGCAGGAATTTCGCATCATATTACTTGCTGAACGCCTGGAAGAGGCTGGAGTTGGTCTAGTGATTTGGCGTGCCGCGCCAAGAAGCCAGTGAAAAGCCCAATGTACCTTTGCACAGCGGGCTTTCTTTAAAATTATGTGCGCTTTCCGTAAGACGTATGGGTAAAAATGGCGTACCGTTCAATGGAGGCAAAAGTCATAGAAACGATAAAATTTAGCTGTTTACCTTCGTATCCGGACGCTATATCGTGGTCGCTTGATGATAGGGTGTCTATAATCACCGATAAATGTGTTTATATATTGGTATCCTTTTCATATTATTTATTATCATTATTTTTATTGATACTGAATAGCGCATCTGCAAGAGTAGAAAGCGAAGAATGTGTACGATTAACGTTCGAACTAAATGCAGGAACGGCGTGTAATTACGTCGACACAGAACCTAAATACTAAAATTCGGTGTGGTCAAAGAGAAATATCTCTGGTCGTGTAGAGTAAACGATGGCAAAGTATTTTCTGTTAACCAACAGCTAAGAAAGTTCATATTATATTCAACAAATGGATTCCATGTTGCTGTGCACCTGTTCGGTAACAGATCGCAGGAAATGATGTTATTATTGAGATATCTCAAGTGTCATACCCTCTAAGATGGTGCACTGTACAGAAGTTCACCGGTTAATGTACTTTTGTTTAATGCTTAATTTTTGTGAAATCAAGTTACCAAGTCTTTTTTGATATTTTTGTTTTGTTGATGTGCTTTTCCTTTAGTTGCTGCAGAATAATCAGCTATTTTAAATGTCATATATCGAGTATACATTAAGCAGTGTTGTTGTAGAGTTGTGTGTTAAGGTACAGAGGGTCTTTTCTACTAATAACTGTCACTTGACAATTCCAAACAGACACTTACTTTATCTCCAACAAGATTTGGTGTAGATCCCAAAAAGACAAATATTCCTGGTTGTCAGAAAAACAGGGAATTTAATGTGGGTATTGATAAGAAACAACTCAGCAATGTGGAATCAATAGAGTGGCGTTTGGATCCCAAAGTTAATCAATCAATCCTAGCTTGTAGCTCTAATGGCTTTCTCAAGGTTGCATGGTCACCACTTAACTGTGAGGAAAATGGCAGGTAGTAAATATTTCACTTTGCATTTAACTTTCAGGTCAATGTTGTAGCATAACTAAATTTGTTTTGTTTTATAGACACAATAGACCTTTGTGGGTGTCCTTTGCAAAAAAAATTGTTAATATTTGAGGGGTAACCACCATAAATGGTATATCTATGAAAAGGTTGTTGCATACACTACCCAACCAAAATTGTTCCCTTTTAGCTTAATCTTATTGTAAACCAAATGAGGCACAACAATCCGAATCAGTCTTTTATTATGATACATTTTGGTAGAAGGCATTGTGGGGGATGCAAAACACAGAAGTTGTGGTATTCTTTGGGCCTAATTTCAAGGCAAGCCATGAAGTTTTCCTGCGCTTAATGATTCATTTAAAGAAGACACACTTGCCCAAAGAGGAAGTAGCTTTTGTCCACTTCCAGAGATTTGCAAATATTTTGTAACTTTGGGTGACCACATGTCAAGTTTAGTCAACACTCTTGATTGTTGTTCACCTTTGATATTCAGCACTTTCACCACAAACTTATCATCTATCATATGGCAATGCTTTTGTCACAACAAACTTCTCCTAAGTTAGTTTGACCTTCACTTTCATCATCTTGCTGGTGCCTGTCTCTGGTTTTTTTTTTTTTTTGTTTTATTTTATTTTATGTTTGTCTGTCATTGCTCTTTGGTTACCACTGACATACATGGAACCATGTGTTCATGCGTGAATAATAAAGGTCAAGGTTAATAAGATTCTGAATGTTATGAACAAAGGTAAATGGTAACTTTTTTGGAAAAAGATGTTTGAAAACAAAAGAGATTTAGTTTAGCTGTGTCATTTTGATATGTCTATAATTAAAAAGTAAACTTTGCAACAATGACCTGCAAGAAATTAGGTTTTTAGGCACAAGGTTTGTAGGAACTACTGCATAAATTTTTTTTAGGGATCTTGAGAAGAAGGTGAAAGCTATTGCTCTTGTTGATTTACTAATATAATTTTATTTATTTTTATTTCAGATGCATCATAGCAGCACTCTTCTCAGAATATCAGCTGTGTATTTACTTGTCTCCAGTGCTTGGTACAAAATGGAAGGAAGCTATTGATATATCTCAAGAATTTTCAGGTTATCTTGCAAAGAACAGTAATGAATTAGGTCAAGATGTGATGCAGAAAACAGATTGGCAGAATGTTTCCAGGTTGGGTACAAAAAACTGTGGGTCACACAAGAATCAGTATTCTGTCTTCAAGCAACGTACTGAAATCCTTGCCTTCACTTGTTTGCATTGGTTTTCTCAACTTTATCAGAGCAGAGAAGATGTTTCCTTAAATAACACAGAAGGGATAATTAATGATAAAAAGTTTGCAGTTTTGGGTGTTGGTAATCGAAGTGGTGCTGTGATGTTTTGGAAAGTGATGGTACCTGTTAAAGTTGACAAGGCAATAGTTCAACTGGGTGGAATCCTGAACACTGGACAGTCATGGCCTAGTTCCTTGTCATGGAAAGAAACAAACCTAAACCAAGGTAATGTTATCACAAAATTTTGCAAAAAAAGCTTGGGTGCAGCTTACACGAATCTGCAAGAACACCCGAAAAAGGTGCCTCAAATTTGCAAAAATTGCCCTTGCACTGCAGCAAACTACTGAGTAACAAGGACTTTGGGGATTTTGCGAGGGTATAAATTGATCATTGCTTTTGCAAGTGCATTGGCATCTAAGTGAGCTGTTTTTGTTCATGAGCTTAAGCTTATAATTCCTGTTTCTGATTAGTGTCAAACCTTTGTCATTAAGAGACTTCTAAGTCACGTTTGCCTCCTTGAGAATGGTACTTGACAAGAAACCTTGCCTTGTATTGCTATTAAAAAGCTATTTACTCATGTATAAGTCAACATTTTAAAGGTCAAAATTGGATTTTTCATCATTCCTAGTAAAATGAGTAAAATTCAGACCAATAGAAATTTCCCAAAAAGTTAATCTCTTATTTCTGAGAATGTATTGAAAACACAGTGAATTACACACAAGACTGTGTGAGACAACAGCATTTACCAGGTCACTAAGGTACTTTAATTGTTAGATGAAAACAAAAGTTCAGCACTGTAAACAGCAGCAAAGCTGCAAGAAAAAAATGTCTGCTCTACATATCAGTAGACAAAATAGAAATCAGCTCCAGTAAGTTTTTGTCTAAGCCTTCGTGCTGATTTTTTACATGTTTAGAAATAAATTATCAGTTCTACTTACTTTCGTCACCATTTTTTTTTTGTTCATATTTTTGTGATATCCAGACTAACCAAGGTCTTGGTAACAGTTATTAGCCTCAGCCTTTGGCTTTAGCTGATAACCCCTAACTCGACCTTTATTATTCTGGATATCACAAAAACCTCATCCAATAATTGTTTATTATCTGTAGGGTTGTTGGCTGTTGGGAGTACAGATGGTCTTATTAAGATTTTCAGTCTCAAACTGTTGCCATCAATCAGTGGAATTGCAGAGTATGTGTTGTGGGGAGACAAGGATGACATGCAAGTCCTGTACTTGGACTGGCTTCATTCATGGCAGGTGTGTAGATGGTAATTATTGTTAATTTCTCCAGTAATGCAGATGGGCTAATGACATCTATAGTATGAAGAGATTAAATTACACTGTAGCCTATCAAAACTTTTCCCTACCCCATAGAGTAAACAATCCTGTCCAGACATAATTCTCCAATCCACATATCACTTGTTGGGCTGTAGCTCTCAATTTACCAAGGTGCAAGTGATAAAGATCAGCATATAAGATTGACACCTCACATGAGTGAGTGTGCTTTCAAGAAACATGTTACACATGCAAGCTACCTTAAAATTACCAACCTAGCATCCAGTATGCCTTCCACAACAAACAACTAGTCAATCTTCCCTTTTTACAATATTTTTTGTTCTTAGTAGAATTTGAAAAGTGTATGGAGAAATGTTTATCTATACTGCAGAGGTTATGCAACCAAGTAGTCCATGTAGTAAATTAAGTACTTATTTACAAGTTGACCAAATTTTTCCAGTGCCTAGACATTTATTGGTCGGGGCTTCAAAAAAAAAAAAAAAGTCACTGGTGCTTCAGCAAACTCCAGTTTTAGATATTTATTAAAAAGAACGAAGCAATAGATCACTTTTCGGGTTTAACAAAAATGAATAGAAGAGTTGATAATAATAAATTAAGAGTTTGAAATACCTTTCTTCTGTTACTGAATGTTGTCCATCCAACACAAAGTAATATCTTGCTGGCAACTTATCATGAAATTATGCACGCATGTCCCTGAACTGAGTTGCAGTTTATCTACGGATGGTTAATTCTAGGAAACACAGACTAAAAAAAATGTGTTTTAAATTAAAAAAAAAAACAGAGAACAAACATAGTATCCACCAGGATACATACATAAGCAGGGGGTATCCTCAGTACGGTGCCACTCTCTCCAATCAAAGTAATGTTATTTTATTAGATCCTTGCATACTTAATCTGGTTTAACTTGGGCTTTTATCATTGGGCCAAAGCTAATCAGATGTTTTGTTTTTTTTCCTTTGCTTTCATAGACATGTGATGATCTTCATTATTTGGTGGCATGTAAAGGTTCATCAGTTATTGTATTTTCAGTTGTGGCAAAGAATGATATACTAACACAAAAGCCAAGCTATAAAATAATACAAGGCATTCACAAAATGCCAATCACAGGGCTAGCTTGTACACAAAATGGCACTATCCACACTTGCAGTCTGGATGGATCAGTTCAGACCACGTCAGTTGGTAATGACCTTAGACAAGTTTCATATTACCAAGTCTACTTTCATCTTCATATTCTTGTATTTACCTTGACACTGTCTAACTAAGCTGTCCTAAACTTGATCTTAACTTGAGTTGCATTTCACCAATTTGAACTCCATGTTTGTGTTCTTCTTCCTTTGGAGAGTTTCCTGTTGAGAATTTACTGGAACTTTTTTATTAGGCATGAATTATTTATCTGTAAGTAGTTGTTTTACCTAGATGTTAGACAGATGTTTGGTAAAATAGTGTCCTAATTTGACGTTCTATCAGTTTACCCAAATGTCTTTCATCACGAAGTATTTGTGACAGTAAATGGTAGTTAATTATTTTTGCTTCTTTTTTTAAAATTTTTTATTTCTTTAAGACAGTGCAATAACGAGTGCTGTGAGTTGTGCTGTAAAGAAAGGATTCACGTGCTCTGGCATAGGAGTGTCCGCTAATGGTGTCTTCATTGCCTTATTTCTTTCTCCGTCAAATCACACACAGCAATATCTGGAATCTCACCAGATTCATGTGAGTTTACGGTCTAACCAATTTTCCTTTAAAATTGTGTCTACTGATGTACACGTGTAAAAATTGCTGACTTTTATTTACATGTAGATTCGCTTTGTAAACATTGTGTGGGGATCAAATTCAGTGGAACGTCTACTGAACAGTAACGAAGTTCAACTGGATAGAAAGTGGGATGTGTGTAAAGCTATTCAACACAACATGTATTACAGCAAAAAACTACCAGAACCACTTCAACTAGTTAGCACTGGTGCTATGGAGGGCTCTTCGTTTGCTGTGTTGGCGATCATGCAATACGCGCTGACTGTTATGAGGGTAATATCACAGCAACAGGAGGATGATCTAGCTGGCAATCAAGTACAGCAGCTGAAGTGGGCAGCTCAGCTTGAATGGATTAGAGACTACATCTACAAGCGCTTAGTTTCTGCTACACTAAACAGTTGGTTAGAAGGAAGGAAAGCTGGAACTGTTAGTCCTCTAGGTTAGCAGACAACGGGTGCAACTATATTATGAGTTTCTTACATTATGTTAGTTGTGATATAAATTAGTGTTGAGATTACCCTCGAAATGTAGTGACATGAGTAAGAAACTTATACTAGTGAAAAGCTTGACGCAAAGTACGAAATTCTATTAACTCCTCAATGCTAATTGCTCAATTTGTCTTGTTAACTTTAGGAACTTCTAGTTTAATTAGTTTTGCTAGTGAATAGTGGTAAACATGTTGTTATTACTTAAGGCGAACAGTGCAAGGACTGGTAATTTCATTCTTTGTTGTTTTCAAGAGAAAGCTTTTCAATTCTTCTTTTATTTTAATAGGACTAGGCACACATAAAACTCATTGGCTTGTAGCTTAATCTTTACTGGCTTTTTACTTGTCCGACGGGAAGCAGTTTGGGATTGGATTGGTTAAATCAGGGAATTTTGGCACTGCATTAACAAAATCAAGGGATAAATATTTACCTTAAAGCACAAATTAGCCTCCAGGGGTTTGGCATTGACACGAAATACGGCATCCATATAACGTGATTCTGACATTTTTGTTTTCTCTCCACAGATTCGGTTCCAGCACTGATAATGTGCGACTGGTTGGTGACTAAAGGTATTGACTCTGCTGTCACTGATATGGTTACTCAGGGGTACGAAGCCTGTAATGATATAGAAGGTTTGAAGAAGGTCTTATCACACACTGTTAAAAGCCAGGAAAATGGCAAAGAAAGCTCTTCTGGTTTGCTGCTTCAAACTGGAAAAGCCACAGAGAACCAGTCTGTTATCTTTCAAAGTAACGCGAAGGCTGTAAAGTCACAAGTAAGTGACAAAGATCAAACCTTAGCTGGTGTCACAGACGAATCTTTTACCTTACTCACAAGAGAGCAATGTCCATTATGCCAAACTGCTATTGCTGTTGAAAGCTTGGAGTACGGAATATGCCTAAGTGGTCACCGCTGGCCGCGTTGCTGTGTGTCCTTTGTCATTTGTGCTGAATTAACACTCAGACGTTGCCAAGATTGTAATCGCTGTGTTTCAACCCCGAGTCCTGGATCATCTCCCTGGTTGCGAAGCTTATTGAAAATGACGAAGTGTCCTTTTTGTTTAGGCTTCTTTCATTAGTGTTTTTCCTTCAGTTGACTCACAATTTTGTTAGAAAGGAAAGAGTTTCATACATGAAATACAGTGGAGTTACAACAGCAAGAGGCAGATATTGGCCACCAACGGATGCTTAAAAAACTTGTATCCTACCCGTCTGTTTTCACAAGAGTACGTGAGCTAACCTGCTTATCAGGAGATGAAACAAATCACCGAAATAAAGTAATAAAATGGTGCTTTGTTTGTATATTCATCAGCATTGGAACTTTATTCGTTTATAACAGGATGAATGAGGTGCGTGAGGAAAAAGCAAACCTTGTGATGATTAATTTTTTCGAAACTTTTTTCTTCGAGCAAACCTTACGGTTTAAGTAACCGAGAGCAAAACTGTCACTGAAATCATTCTTGAGTTATCCAGAAGGTATAATTGTACAAGTTATCGAATGTTGACTACCACATTGTATCGACTGACAGACGCAGCTAACAAGCAGCCCTCGGGCTTTCCCCTGTAGATATTTCAACAGAATTTCCTTACGGGAGAGAGCGTAGGAGATGTGAGAGGGGTGCGGGATAGGGTGGTATGAGGCTGATGCCCCTTTTGGTTCTCTTCCTATTTTCCTATAATTTTTGTTTCATTAGGTTTTCATCGTCCATGTCAGTTACAAACCTTGAATTTTAAGACAGAAAAAAAGTACAGTTTTGTTTCTCGAGAACTTTCTGTGGAACGTTTTAGTTGATTTTAGGGCTTAAAGAGCGAAACTCCCACAAACCTCTGACAGTCAGGTCGGTCTGTCTTAGCTACTTTTTGTCATCGAGGTAAAAACAATTCATTTAAGGTATTTTTGTTGTCATGTCGAGTTCAAATTAGAAGAAGACACTTCAAATTGGTCCGCATAGTCCCATTTGTCCAGTGAAGGTGAAATTCTTTAGAGCAGCTGTCCACAGTGGAAACACAATCAATTAAAAATGAAGCCGGCCGGAAGCTGATAATTACAATTAATTGTTGTCGATACCGGTTGGATACGTGAGCCTTGAAGAATATTAATCTTATTTGCATGACCTGTCAACTTTGTCATGTTATTGGCAGAAGGGAGCTTTTAATTTTGTCACTGTTTACCTTTCTCAAAAGCGCACGGGCATCATCATCACTTCTGAACGCGCACTTCCTAGCAAAGTCGACATGAAGTAATTGCTTCTAAGAACTTCACATTGTTAAAACTAAATTGGCGGAAAGTATTGCCGTTAAAAGGGCGGTGGGTAAATCAGTGCGGCGTGAACCGGGCATGAATACTGCGCGTACATTCTTGTTTTTCATCTTGGTCGTCTTGCTTGACAGAATATTCACTTGTTGTGCAGGTAAAGATTAATTTTCACCTTGGTTACTGAGACTCGCCTTCAGTGAGTTTAAATATTTTTTTGTAATGTAGTTTCTTGACTATTAAAGCCTAAGCGAATACAAGGAATGTGTCGCGGCTGTTGCAGGATCTCTATTGTCACGTTGATGTAAAAGCTGTTGTTCTCCTGGGCAATATAAGTTGAAGGTTTTATTAATCGGGTTTCAGTAGTCCATAGAAGTGACGTGTTTCGGCAAGTGTGGTGATTGTATGTTATTTATTTCACTATGTTCAATCACAAGTTAATCCGACTTTATGAGATACATTGCCCATGTTTTCATACAGACAATCAAAGTTCGCCAGATTTTATAGCAACCGAAATATGAAAGCATGAAGTGACGTTTAATGAAATCTCCGAGACGGCGTGAGTTCATCGATACAAAATCAGCGAGGTTACTTCACTTATAGAAGACGATTGGAAGGCGTGGGGCTAAATTTTTTAAAGAAAAAATTGCGAGAGGACTGCTGAATATTTTGGAAATTTTAAATGAGGTTTTTCATCATTTTTAATTACGTTCTTGACAAGTACTATTGACAACGTCATACAACTGAATTATCATAAATCCAGGCAGGATTTAGAATCTTTCCTTTCTCATTGGTGTAGAGTAAAAATCCTACATCCCTCGTCGTTAATGCATTGTGATTCGTTGTATGAAAAAGTCTACTGATCTGTTTGCGATAAAGTTAAGGAGCATATCACCTAGCTATCACTTGTGTCTCTGTTATGCCTGTTGTGGCTTTTCACGGAAAAATGAAAGCCACATAAAACTCTCTATATAATTTTACTCTCGTTTTGTCTCCCCAACTTGCAAATTATACAGAGTTTCGTCGAACGTGTCTAGTACAGGGATCAATATAAGAATTATTTAGGTGAGAGGGAGAGATGAAAATTTCCGATATTTCGCACTAAGGAATAACATTTTATTTCAAAAAGCGGTGAAAATTACTTGGATGGCTAAGGTAAGTCTTTCTCATAAATTTTGAAATACGGCAACGCCTGTAGAATTTATTTGTAAGGAGTTACGTGACTTAGAAAAATCAAAACCTAAGTTCGATGGCGGGCATCTGCATGAAGCTATTGCATTTTGTACCCGCATTCTTTGAAGTTGTCGATGGTAACGCGTAAGCCATGTAATTGTTTGTTTTGGAGACAAAAGAGGATCAGAAGAGCAATTTATATTTTCTACTGTGATTACATTTGATAATGTGCACCCTCTTTCCTCTGCAGAGCTTAATTCATCTTCATCCATAGAGAACTCCATCTCTCCACAAACCAGATCAAGTGGTAGTCTTTTAGTTAAATCTGCGCTCTACTCAAATTGTATTCCGTCTACGGTCCAACCAAGTATTAAAATCAGTTTTACTTCGTCAATTAAAAGAAGCATTCAACTGGAAACTGACACAAGATACATGAGAAGTTCGTTGGTCATGATGACTTCTGTCGCAAGTCCAACTAAAAAACTGGTCGTCCACACCACCAAACCTGTGCGACAGCCTCCACCAGCACCACAGCTGACTTCATTTGGGATATTTTTAATAACGTTTGGTGGTGTGTTAATTGTATGTATGATCATCGCTTTAGTTTGGATATGCTGTGGGAGAGAACGCAGGTGAGATACTTAATCGCCCTCTACAGGTTATTTTAGACCTTATAATCATTTCATTTCGATATGTTCCATTAGAGACTTTCTGATTTTCAGGTTTTGATCGTCTCTAGTTTACAACAGACCTATTTTAATTTTCGTTTCGAGGTCATGGAAAATATTACTTTTCCCAACTGATCGAGTACCCTGTCTGGGCTGGTATTTACCTCAGCCACAAGGATTATATGTAAATACAATTGATTTCATACTTTAGTAATAAATAAAGTGTAACTGTGAGGCTCCCCATGGAGCCTTGGTATTAGAAGCCTTGGCACAAACCAACGGGAAAACGATGCCACAAATAAATAAAATGATTGATCATCACAGCTGAATTGAAATTGAAGAAAATGATTCCCCATGCAACCTTCAACCCTAGTCAAGTCGTCTAGTCTAGCCTAGTCTATAAGTATAGCCTAAGTGTCTGTGTATCTCTCAAGCATACTAATACCTCTGTATCATGTTCTTTCTTTTTTTTTTTTTTCAGCCCTGAAGCGCCACATCCTCAAGTGAAACTGAAACCCTGGAGGTACTGAGTTTATAGCACTAAGTTCTATCTAATCCCGGCACCAGTGACTCAGCGACCGAAGATGTTATTAATGAAGGCATCACTAGTTGAAAGGCCAACCTGAGCAGTACTCGACTTTTCCCAAGAGTGAAATTTCTTCCCATGGGAAATCTGTTCAGACTTTTGAAAATATCGCTTCTTTAAGCAAAAGAAATATGAGAGATTTCGAGCTCGGCATAGCATTAAAGAAAATTCGCCTCGTCACGAGCGCGGGACAAAGAAAGACATCCCAGTGCCAATGAAAAATGGAATCCGAGATTATTTGAATCCGTTATTGTTGTATGATACTAGTTTATCCTCTGATAAGTTGAACCATGCTGAAAAAAAAAAATACTGTTGATGAAGAACTTATTTCGTGTGCAGATGGTGGGTTAGAGCGTTTTTCCATGTTCAATGTATCGTGTGGAGGAAATTAAGGACATTTTTCCTATTTTTGCAAAAACGATTGTTTGTGTCTAGAATTGTCTTCCGGACAAACGCGTTTTTATCTATGAAACTTATTGCTGTAGATATTTTAATGAGGAGAGCCTGTAGTGAGAGTGTTATTTTTCTTTTGTCAGTCATAGCCCACCGGAGCAAAGTGTCAATGATACTGCTACCGAAGTAAGTGATCTTCCAAACAGCTATCAGAACCAGGGATTAAATAGGTGAGCGTTTAAATGATTTCCTTTGCTTCAAGCCTTGCTTTTAAATCTCAGTTGACTTGGTTGGTAATGTGTAGTTTGTGACATCGGAATAATTTTTCACTTTGGAGTCGAAATATGCCATAAAAGTAAGTAAGAATTACACATATATTACTCTGTAATACACGAAAGATATGACACTGAACCCATTAATTTTTTCTGCCCAGACAGATGAAATACTTGGACGAGTTTATCATGAATACATAATATTCCTGGGTACTGACCGATATTTAGGCCCCATTTATAAGGTCTCGGGTACTCGAGACAACCCTTCCCCCGAGACAACTTTACGGAGTGTTTATAGGAAATTTGACATCTGCTAACCCTTGTTCGGCCAGGTTACATATTAGACAAAATGGCGAACGAAAGGGAAAGAATAGCTGTAAACATTCCAGTCACAGCTTGCGCACGCATTTTCTGTTCGAGTTGTTACGTCTCGAGTGAGCGAGACAAGCTGTTTGCATGAGGAAAAGTTGTCCCACCTGCCAGGGCTACCCTACCTGCTGAGGTGAGACAACTAGCCCTCCCCCCCCCCCCTTCGAGTTGTCTCGCCTTTCCGAGACGAGTTCACAACTTCATGTAAACGTAGAAAAGGTTGTGGTTATTCATCGTGGTGAATAACCATAAAAGCTAAGTTTTCCGTTTGTCTCAAGATGCACGCGTGAATGATGTAGATCGCGACGTTTCGACTGCATACTGCTGGTCTTTTTCAAGCGATGAGGTCGACTGGTCATGCGTGATCTTATAAAGCATGATGCTCTGCTGTGATTAGTTGTTTTTCAACAGCTCTGATTGGTGCATTTCGATCCTTACTGTTCATTCAGTGACCTGCTCCCTCGGCGGTCTGCTGTCGCACGGCTCTCTTGTTGTTGTTTTTGGATGATGTTGATGTTGTTAGGGTGAAGTCTTATATGAATTGCCTCTTTGACTCTGCGCGTGTAGTAATAAGGGTCACGATCAATAAACTTTACTTCGTTCCAGACTGGCTTGTGTCCGGTGTTGTGGGCATGCTCTGAAACGGCGGAGGTCTCGGTACGGGCGAGTCGAATGTCTCGATCGTGCTCCTTAATTCTGTCTTGCATAGGTCTTCCAGTCTGTCTGATGTATACCTTGCCGCATTCACAGGGAATCCTGTAAACTACGCCATCTTGTTTAGCCGAGTCGACGGCGTCTTTTGGTCGTAATTACTGAGATCGTAGCGTAGTCTCCGGCTTGAAAACAGCGCGTACGCCTTGTTGTTGTACGCAACGAAAAAGGATAACCATTAGATACCAGAAAAAATGACAGATGTTTTGTCTCCTCGGAGATGACGGAGGGTTTTGTCACGAGACGTTTGGCGCGCTCGTAAAGGCACTTAACAATACCGCGTTTTACTGATTGAGGGTGGTGTGAATCATACGCTAAGTATTGATCGGTGTGCGTGGGCTTCCTGTATACGCTGATGGTGAGGCGGCCGTCAGGTTCTCTTAAAACTGCGGTGTCTAGGAAGGCGAGTTTGTTGTCTTTCTCTGTCTCCATGATGAAGCGGATGGAAGGCTACTGGTTGTTTAAATGCTGTAAGAAGTCATCGACGTTTTCGCGATCCAGGATGGTAAAGGTATCGTCCACGTAGCGTTTCCAGATTCAGGCTCGTAGGATGATGTAGTTATCGCCTGTTCTTCGAAACTCTCCATGTAGAGGTTAGCAATAACAGCGGAAACCGGACTCCCCATGGCGGCGCCGTCTTTTTGCTCGTAAATTGATGTAGTTATCGCCTGTTCTTCGAAACTCTCCATGTAGAGGTTAGCAATAACAGCGGAAACCGGACTCCCCATGGCGGCGCCGTCTTTTTGCTCGTAAATTGATCCATTATACTGGAAGTATGTGGATCTCAATACGAAGGTCAAAAGGTCAGGGATCTGTGCAGGCGTTAGCGTGGTGCGGTCTGCAAGGCTTGGGTCGTTCTCGAGTTTCTGCAGTGCGGCTTCTACAGCGGCGTTGATAGGAACGTTGGTAAACAGCGATTCTATGTCGAAAGATACCATGATCTTGTTGTCTGAGATCGTCTCATTGCTGACGGTGGATACGAGGTGGGCTGAATAAGTCACCGTGTACATTGACTTTCCTGTTAAAGGAGACAGGATTTTGGCTAAGTAAGCGGATAAATCATATGCAAAGGTATTTACACTCGATACGATAGGTCTTAGCGGTACATCGGCCTTATGGATCTTCGGTAAACCGTAGATTCTAGGCGGCTGTTCGTGTCGGGGTCTGATCTTGTTGTAAACGGCCTCTGGCAGATATCCGCTTCGCTACAAGGTAAACAGCTTTTCGAACAACTTGCGGGTCAGACGGTCTCTCAGATCTTTGTTGAGGAGCTGGTTCGGTCCGTTCTCTATAAGCGTAGACATCTTAGCTCGGTAGGTGTCAGTATCCATGACTACGCTAGCGCGCCCTTTGTCCGCTGAGAGAACCATGATGGACTCGTCTTCTTTCAGGCTTTTAAGTGCATCTCGCATCTCCTTCGTGATGTTAGGCTCTGGTGATTCTACCTGTTGAAGGATACCGTTAACAGCTCTTCTGACTACGCTAAGATCTCAGCTAGTACGATCAAAAGACGCCGTCGACTCGGCTAAACAAGATGGCGTAGTTTACAGGATTCCCTTTGAATGCGACAAGGTATACATCAGACAGACTGGAAGACCTATGCAAGACAGAATTAAGGAGCACGATCGAGACATTCGACATTCGACTCGCCCGTACCGAGACAGGGATAGTGGAATAGAAATTACAGAAGCGTGGATGCTCACGATCAAAAGGAGCAGGGACTGAATGAACAGCAAGGATCGGAATGCACCAATCAGAGCTGTTGAAAAACAACTAATCACAGCAAAGCATCAGGCTTTATAAGATCCTGCATGACCAGTCGACCTCATCGCTTGAAGAAGACTAGCAGTATGCAGTCGAAACGTCGCGATCTACATCATACGTGACTACATCGTGAGACAAAAGGAAAACTTAGCTTTTATTCATGTAAACGGTCAGCTGAATTTTGTAAAGAAATAGGTGAAAAGTTAGCTCGCCCAGGGTATCTGGGGGGGAAGGTTGTCTCGGATACCCGAGACCGTGTAAATGGGGCCTTAGTTTGTGCCAAGCCTGATGATTAATTTAATATTTGGTTTTGTGCCAGCTTTGTACAAGTCTTTATGCAGAGATTTCTCTTATTAAGCTAATCAAGATGGTCAAGGCCATGTAATATGAGAACAAGTGAGCTCTGACTGATAGCTCAAAGTAAAAACGGCCGGTTTGTTTGATATCTGGAATACCTGAAGCACAGTTTCAACTTTATTACTTGTTCGTGTCGACTACATTATAAGAAGAACAGTACATGATATAACGAAATTAGTATAAGTTAGAAATCATGTTCTAAGCCATGACGTATTTTCCAATGATATTGCATTGGCTTAGATTCAGAAGAAAGTAATAAGTCTGAACTTCTTCAACAAAGAAACTGAGTTCAAGAATAACCGCAAAGAGGTGAAACTCCTGATTTTTAATATATTCAGCAAAGAGAAAGTACAAGTATTGAACACCAAGATGGCTTTGTGTTCTTGGCCGCGAAGGTCTTTAAGAAGGTGGCACTGAGGAAGACATAAAGGGAACATTGATAAAAAAAAAACAATGGCGGCGTATTCCAGGTTTATGAGTAGGACTTAAGATCAAAATCTTTAAGTGTAATGTCATTTCGGTGCTGATGTAAGGGCGCGAAACTTGGGTAATGATTCATATGTGTGCCATGCCAAGAAGGCCTGCGAGAAACGGAGAGATTAGTGGAGGAGGGAACATCCTTTCTAGAAGTGAAGAAGATGAGCATGGCTGGGTCACGTATTACTCTCACCTAGATATCAGAAGGCAATGGAAAACGATAACGAACAGTGAAACGCAGCGAAGGACTTACGAAACAGAGTGTAGGCAGCGGGGATTAAGACCATCCTTTTCGTCATTTTAGATTGTGATTATGATTTTATAGCAAGGTAGAAAGTATGAACTGGTTTTGAACAGAAAACAAACAAAAACAAAAACTTGACCCACAACAGAAACATTTTTCAACGATAAATCTTCAACAACAAATATTTCAAGATGAAATATTACGTGGTACTGAATATTCCGCATTATCCTCAGCTGAGTTGCTTACAGTTGCTTACAGTAGTGAACAGTTGATTTTTTACCAAAACGAGAGAAACTCAAATAAAAACAGTCCAAAATTCGGCGGTTGTTTTTTTTAAATTAATAGTGAAACAAAGTTGAGTGCAGAAATAATGCACTCGTGGACCTCTTTCCTATATGACAGGACTAATTTCTATTATTTTCTATCCATGTAAATTAGCCTTTTTGGCCTCGACCAGTGTTTAAAAGTAATAAATTTCCACTAAAAAGTGAGGCTAATAAGTTGAATGAACTTAAAGGGATGATAATAACGCCCGCCATTATGAAAGAGGCCTATGACGCGTAACTCTCTTCCCTTATTATTCTTACCACAATTTTAATCAGTTTTCTTTCTCTGCCGTTCTAGTTCGAGTCCAGTTAGCCCTTCCACAAAAAATACCAATACCAGGAGAACAACAGAAGATTTCAGGTAAATTAAACAGATCTCAATTTTATAGAATCATTAGTAAACTATGTGAACTGTACGCTACGCATTATTGTCCTCCTACAGGGAGTCACCGCTAATTTAGGGATACGACTGAACTCACCTTTTGAGGTAAGGAAAATCTCAAAGAATTATTCGGATGTTTACCTTGGTTATATTATATAAAAATCTTTTTTAAGTTTATGGGTGAGGAGCATGTGCGTGTGAATGAAAATTTTATAACCAGGATTCTACACTTACTTCCCGTGCACCTATTTTTGACATTTTTATCAAGATTCAATCTCGTTTTGTCCTCTGTTTGCTACTTTTTGACGTCATGAAATATATTTGTTTTATGA